ATTGCCATGATGACACGCATTGGCTCGATTAAATGCTTGTATAAGTGTTTTTTGTGGAGCAGAAGGGGTGCTGATGTGCGAGCCGCCCCGCCTTTCCACGTGGAAATTGACGGCTGGACTGTATATCTCAAACACACTTACGTGAATGCTCTGCTGCGTTTGGTACCCTCGGAACTCATTATATATACACTTCCGTGAGTTTTTTGCGCTCTGGGGTGACAGGTGAGATAATGGCTGGGAGTGTTTCATCGGCACCAGCGTCTCCTGCATGTTGGGCCGTCCCTTGAGGGTCGTCGTTGCGAGTATTTTTGCGCATCAATATTCCTTTTTCACAACGGACATCTGAACTCATTGTATTAGTTTGAACAAGATATATCATATGAATAAAGTCTTTCCCGGGCATCTGATCTCAGTGTACTAGCGAACTCTCAAACATGCTTATTAAGAAAGGACAAAAGTCCCGACTTTGAACCCATCTCAAGCTTGCAGTGAACGTGATACATGACACATCTTAGTAGCCTTCCTGTTGATCTTTACATCGTTTCCAATCAATGCATAAGAATATTCACGAAGCCAATGGGCCACGTGAAGCAGGATCATCTGCCATGCGTCAACATCCTCTCTTCTCTATTTCACTTTAAAAGGCCACTTGAAAATTTCGAAGAGTAAGTTGTATGGTCTCCTGGCTCTTCAGTTTCCGTTTGACCCTAATAAAAAGAACCAACTGGAAATCTATTTGGGCACACTTTCCGTTGCGCGGACGAAATCTTAATCCTTATGAGAAAAATAAATTCTGTAATAATCAGTTCACCGTATTTTGAGTATAGTAAGATTATTTAGTATTGGATAGTGCTGAGCCGCAGCAAATTTACGATGATGATGATGATGATGATGATGATGATGATGATGATGATGATGCCCACATTAACATATATGTTAATACGCATCGACTATTCATTATGAAGCGTGACTGAACAACGATGATCCAATGGAGTACTGCCCAGAATCCCAAACCGTAGTCCGAAGCCCAAGAAAGTGCATTGATTTCCAGCATTTTGTAAAAGAGCGACCTCGTTGATGATGTCCTTACACAAAAGACGCACAGCTGATTGCACGTAGTAAACGAGAAACCATAGCTTCAGAACCTTCCACAATCTAAACAACCCAACAATCAGGATACAGCGAATCGCCAGATGACATAGTCCCGCCGCCTGCCCCATCTCCCCTTTCCACACAGCAACGTCTCAGCCTCGCGCTCCAGTCCCACAAAGGACAATACCTGCGCACGCAACAGCAAACCGCGAAAAGACTTACCAATCCCCAAACACCGACTCTCCTCCCTAACGGCCGAAGCCAGCCAGATCCACACGCCCATCGTCCATCCCCGGCCGATCCCTCGGCATCGCCTCGCTCCCAGCAAGCCCCCGCTAACGGCCGCTACCAGAACCCTTCCATCACTTCCGCTACCCTTCGTCATGCAGCGCCACGGCCCTGATCATCCAACCGGGCAGGCTCCGATGCTAGTCGAACGGGCGGTTCCGAAGAAGAAAGAAAGAAGAAGTGGTTTCGGAAGGGGGGAAAAAACCGCGCGCTCGATCAACTGCGATATCGGCTTCCCTTCTCGGGCAAAGATTGACCGGCCGGGCATGATGGTCTTTTGCAGATTTTTTTTTTTGGAACGGAGATTAGAAAGGAGAGACGACCATGGTGTCTGTGTCTGTGTGTGATGGGTGGTGTTTGCCGTGTGGATCGGATGAGGCGTGCGAAAAAAGCCGCGGAGGAAAAATGAAGGGGTGTTTGCGATGGAGGAGGCGGAGTGGAGTTGGGTCTCGCGAACTTGCACCGCGGTCGTCGCGGGTCTGTGCCTTAGTTTGTCGGATGTCAATGAGAGGAGCATGCTACTGTAACGGTTGGTGGAGGCTCTGGGATGCTTCGGTATTCTTGGTAGCGGCCACCACGGAGGTCGAGTGCCCTGGTTTTTTTATGTCATCATCAAACCTAACAGGGTCTTCTTCAGCAACGTGTTATCATGAACAACACCCTCTTTGGGCACGCCTTTCTTCATTCGCCTATACAAACACCATGTAGTAGCAGCGTTTAATAGATCATCCAGCTACCAGCTTCTCTTCTCCACCCGGCTGTGATCACCCGACTGACATCATCCAAAGGCTGGGTGTCTTGAATTTTAAAGTGCGCTGTAGAAGAACAAGTCTGTCCAATACGGATATGATGGTTAAATTGGGTGTCAGGTCAGTATAGGAAGTACGGTGCGTCAGTGTCGATGATGAGATCATCGTGCGTCAGTGCAAGGAAGCGAAAAGGAGAGCGATTGATTTCATGTCGCTCGTCGGGACCGAAGTGTACACCTAGATCTGGCCGTGTCGGTAAGCGAAGCATGTTTCCGGATGTATGGATGAGGCCATCGATTCCAGTGCCATTTGACGCATCATCAATTGTTGAACCTCATCATGAAGATGATGATCACATGTATCACGTACATCAGAACTTCATCAACGCATCATCATGATCAACCCTTGCTATCCCTTTCTTCGCGCACATATAAACCACCAGTAGCAGCAGTATTCAAAAAACCATCCAGCTACCAGCTTCGCTTCCTTCACCCGGCTGTGATCACCCATCCGACATCAATCAATGCGGTGTTCCCTCCAGCGATGCCGAGGGAGATGTCGGGCAAGGTATAATGTCGAGTTTGACTCTACAGCAGGGGCTTCACCAATACACTTCGCTTGGTCGTAACCATTAAGAAGAACTATTCCGGGTATATCGTGCAAGCCGTAGTCCAACGAGAGATACTATGTATGTTCGTAAGTACTGCACGGTAAAATCGCTGGTGTAAGGTTAGTGCTATTAGTATCTTTCTATTAAACAGTGGGGTTGATTATATGGCTAGCCCTTCTCTTAATGCTGTATACGGATTTTTATATTAACGATGACTTTACTAGAATGTGATGAAAACAACGGTGGGAATAATAATGAGCATGGCGTTGATATTCAGTATATCTTTATAACAAATCAAAACAATAATAGATCATAATGTTTGACACCCTCAAAGTACTGAGACGATTGCCATAAAGAGGTATTTACTATCGTCAGCGCAGGTGTTTAGCACTTACAGTTGTTCTGCGAAAACTGACCGATACGATTCCGAGCGCATAGAATGTTTCGTCTCGAAAAGTTACTGGAGAGACCTACGACACTACCTTGCCAAATACTGCTTTTGCTTAATGGATACACTTGGTTTGGGAATGTAGGTTTCCGTGTAGCTCCACCAGCTTCATTACGTATTCTTCGAATGAAGTTTCCGACTCTAAAGAGTCCGATTTAGGATATTCTACGTCGTACGTGGATTTCAACATCTCCACAGTAGGTTGAGATCATTCCGTCGTCTGAGATTACAAGAATAGAAAGGAAGTTTTGTGTAAGGACGGGCGAAAGCCCCAGGCTGGTCAGAATACTTGTAGAAATTTCAGACACGTACACGAGCAACCGTCACAGTAGATACAGAAAGGAATTGATCCCACATACATACATCTCACGAAGGCAATACAATCTTTTATCTGGATGCATTTGTATAGCTATAGTACTTACATCCACGTCGGGTTGTGTGGTTTGACTGTCAGCGCAAAGAATCGCCGTAGGTCGGTTTCCCTCTGCACCCGCCCTGCCGCCATTCCGGATTGTCTGGCGCTTTGCTGGTCATGATCAGGAGAGGATCAGGAGAGGGTCAGGCCATAATTCGCACAAGAGCCAGCTGTTTCTATGCAATAACATCTGGGATGCGGGTTGACCCAAGTTTGCATAACGATTATGAAGCAGCAGCATCATCCCACACGGCATAATACGACGACGTTATGCAAGCTTGCTGCCGGTTTTCCGTGCCATCGTCGATTGACTTTCCACCTGAAACAGTCCCCAGCAAGCTCTCTAAGCGGCGCGGCCATCCGGCATCCTCTTATCCGTTCACCAGGTGTCTTAAAGGCACCTACGTGCTCTCCCAAAGGAGCCAGCGTTACCGGCCATTCCTGAGACTAGACTGACAGGTTATATTTCTTTCAGACACCTCCCCTTTCATCAACAGCCGGGTCTGTGGTTTAGTGGTATAATACTCCCTTAGCATGGGAGTGGTCCGGGGTTCGGTGAGTAAATCCACTATCAAACTAAATCAGCATCAAGCTAATCAACTCAATAGATTCCCCGCGGATCCATCAGTAACTGGTTCGATTCCAGTATTATATCTTTTTTTCTTTTTTTTTGCCCGAAGATTCGCAGCGGCCGACCTTGTGCATCGGGCATACCCCGGTTCGATTCCCGGCGCGTTCAATAGGCCCGGTTCAGTTATGGGGTTGTGCTTTCTTTTGTGCGTTCCTGTTGAAGAGGAGACGATGGGGGTGGTGTTGGGAGGCCAGGAGGGCGTGGTGGCGGGTTTTGATGATTTTTTGTTGCCACACACAGATTTGCGACAAGAGCGCTCGGCCAGACCAGCGAGAGACGTGCGGTTACCGGATTATAATTTGCTCTTGCTCTTTGAACAGGTGTGGCCGTGCATGCGTTGAAGTGAAGGTTTTTGATGCAGTGGACCACGTTTTGGCGAGCGCAGTGGAATACACGTCGTGCAAGGCCGATGCAGCGAGGACTAGTCGACAAGAAGAGCATCAGGAACTTGTAAAGCTCGGCTTTGACTGATGGTAGATGCGAGATCACTATCACAGTGATGAATTTACTTTTGGGGGTCGGTCATATGTACATCAAACGGTAAGAAGGCGATTTCCTCAGAAGCGCTGCTTGTTTGAGTATAAGCGCAATTTGTTGTAACAATCAGTGGTAGAATCACCGGTGTGGGGAGTGGGAAGCGCCTAGCGGTGGTCGGGTGGGGATCGGATGGGATGCCGGATCGGGAGTTGGATCCGCCGACGTCATCGAGGGGCCGAGCAACATCAACACCTGCCCCGCCGTCGCCGAAACACCAGCCACAGAACGACATGGAATACGACACCAAGACACGTGCGTAGGCCGCTGGCATGCACACTCAACCAATGCTGACCCCGCTGCTCAGCGCCGTACAGCACCAGCGACGAGACATCGTTCGCCTCCGTCTCCGGCCACGAGCGCTGGCCCGTCATCATCGTCAGTCCTCATCCATCCACCTCAGCATAGCCCGACACTGACCTCGCCAGACCGGAGGCATTGATGACGTCCACCGCGCCGCGCTCGCTGCCACCGATCCCGACGTGGCAAACGAGGGCAAGCAGATTGTCCAGGCGCTCGCAAAACTCAAGCACGAGCTGCAGCACAACCGCCAATTGACTCCCATCCCCGACGATGGCGAGCCCGACGTAGCCGGCTACAACAAGGAGCTGGAGGCTCTGGGGAACCCGCAGTGGTTCAACGTGCCGTGGCTCTTCTCCGAGTGCTACCTCTACAGGTGATGCTGCTCGCCGCGCCCTCGTCGCGCCGGCCCGTTGTTGACCCACTCGTGCAGACGCGCAAACACGGCCTTCACCCTCTCCAAGCACTGGAAGAACTACGACATCTTTGCCCGCCAAAAGATGGACACGTTCCGCTCCTCGCGCCCCGCCGTCCTCGAGCTCGCCGCCCGGTACAAGGACCTCGTCGCCCAGCTCGAGACGGGCCAGGCGCCGTCGCAGGAGGACAAAGAGGAAGCAGACAAGATCCTGTTCATGGAGATGTGCGAGATCTGCCTGTGGGGCAATGCCACGGATCTGTCGCTCCTGACGTCCCTGACGTACGAGGATCTCCAGAAGCTGCAGGGCTCCGAGGCGCGCAAGGCGTCGGAGAAGAACATCCTGGTCAACGACCTCGAGGCCGCCTACGACGTCCTGCACGCCGCCAAGAAGGCCGGCAAGAAGGAGCGCAGGGTCGACATTGTGCTGGACAACGCCGGCTTCGAGCTCTTCGTCGACCTCGTCCTGGCAGGCTACCTGCTCTCGGCAGGCCTGGCGACCAACGTCGTCCTCCACCCCAAGTCCATCCCCTGGTTCGTGTCCGACGTCCTGCCCCAGGACTTTGCCGCTCTGCTCAACGCGCTGGCGGACCCGCAGGCCTTCTACGCCACTCAGACGGACGACGAGAAGCACGTGGGCCGCGCGCCACACCCGCTGTCAGAAGAGGAGGCCGAAGACCTGACCTTCCTCTTCCAGAGGTGGAGCGGATTCCACGCCGAGGGCCAGCTCACCATCCGCCCCAACCGCTTTTGGACCGAGGGCGGGAGCTACTGGCGCCTCCCCGGGACCGCGCCCAGCCTCTACGAAGATCTGAAGGAGAGCGAACTCGTCATTTTCAAGGGTGATCTCAACTACCGGAAGTTGACCGGCGATGTATGTACTCCACATGTCTCTTCATTTCCACAACGCTGACGAGTGCCGCAGGCTGCCTGGGACCCTACTACCCCCTTCGTCGAGGCCATCGGCCCTCTCGGCCCCAAGTCTGGCGTCCGTGTTCTTGCGCTCAGGACGTGCAAGGCTGATGTGGTTGTGGGCTTGCCGAAGGGCAGAGACGAGGAGTTGAGGAAGATGGAGGGCGGTGGCGGAGACAGTGGCTGCCGCAAATGGGCCTGGAGCGGCAAGTGGGCTGTGGTGCAGTTTTCCGATGGCAAGGCGTGAGCAAGCAAGGGTTTGTGAAACGATTTTACAGAGTTCTTGCTGATAGAATAGAGTAGACGGGGAAAGGAAAAAAAAGGGTACAATAATCAACATCATTCGTCGTCGAGGAAGCTCTATACATGTGGACGTCGTAAGTCGTGCAAGACGGTCCTGCCAGCAGAACCAACTTTTTCCTCCCTCCTCCCAGCCGTGGCGCTCTCCACCAAGCCGCACTCCACACACCTACAACAGCCACAACATTGCCGTCTGTAGCCCCGCCGCACCCACCCACAACAAAACCTTACCCCACGAAGCCGTCGTCCCTCCCCCACCCGCCGCCGAGGCATCCGACGCCGAATCCGTCTGCTCAGCACTGGAAGCACCAGCTCGCCCTGAAGCCGCACCGGCCGACGTCAGCACATCATTGTTCCCGTCACGATACTGCACGAACAACGCCTTCTGCGACTGCTCCATCAACAACAGGTGGTGGTCACGCTTGCCTTGTCCTTGTCCTTGCTGCTGCTGCGCCTCCGCGGCGTCCGTACTGTCGTTTCCGTCCCCCCCTCCCGTCATCGACGGCGTCAGCCGCAACAGCGCCGCGTCGCCGCCCCCGTCCAGCGTCCACGTCCACGCGTCGTCGTAGCCCAGGTCGACCGTCGCGTTCGCCCACACGTCCTCGACGGCGTAGTAGCCCGACGACGCGAGACCGAGGTCTTTGGGCGAGAGGCGGAAGACTGCTGATTGGTCGCCGTCGCTGCCGCTGCCGCTGCCGGTGTCGTTGTCGTTGTCGTTGTCGTCCGTGTCGGCCGACGCGTAGATCGGGCCGTCGTCAACGCCGGCGGCAGTGGCAGTGGCAGCGCCGTAGTTGGCCAGGACGACGACGACGACGCCAGAGGTCGGGTCCGGGCCGGCGAGCCAGATTTGGCGTTGTCGGCCGTGGGTGAGGTTGGCGTTGCCGAGGGTCGGGACCATGGGGTGGGAGGCGGTGAATTGGGTGGCGATGCTGTTGGCGAGGGGGTTGCGGAGGAGCCCGGCGAGGAGGAGCTGGGTGGAGGAGTCGGAGGAGGAGTCGGAGGAAGAGGAAGAGCTGCTGGCGAGAGCCGTCATGTCCGTCCCCAGCAGCAAGGGGGACCCCGCGCCGATCCAGTGCGTCAGCGCGGCGCGTTGCTGGAGCGCGGTCAGGCCGGCGAGCGCGGCGGCGTTGCCGACCATCAGGTCGCCGAGGTCCGGGCGGATGGTCAGCTCGTCGGCGCTGTCAAGCCGCGGGAGGATCCATTGCCGGTAGCGCTCGGTGGCGCGTTGGATGCTGGGCCAGTCGGTGAGGGTCGTGAGGTTGGTGTTGACGGGGGTGCGGTCGGTGCGGAGGGCGTCGGCGCTGACGTTGGGTGCGTGTGTCAGTCTGTCTGTCGGTCGGTCGCCTTCTCGGAAGAGGGTACGTGAAGGAGGAGGGGGAAGGGGAAAGAGAGAGGGACTCACTTTGACCGCCAGATGTCGTAGTAGGTCGCGTTCTGGTCCAGCTCCCAGCCGATGTGCAACCGTATCTCTCGCCCGGATTGCTGGATCGCTTTGTGGTAGCACGCCACGCTGCCGCTGTTGTCGCTGGAGAGGTCGGCGCCGGCGCCTGGAGAGCCTGGGGTGACGTAATCCAGTTTTATGAGGTCGACGCCCCTGTTTTGGGGTGATCAGAATCATAGTGCTTCGGATCAAGAGGGGGGACTCACCAGTCAGCGAATTGTTTGACGTTGGAATCGCACCACTCCTGCGCTCCGGGCTTGCTGTAGTCGATATTGCAGCGCGACATGGCCCGGCACGGCTCGTCCTCGTCGGCCTCAATCGACGAGAGGGCGACGTCGGTGCCCTCGATCGTCTTGCCGGCGTCGGCGCTGAAGAAGCCCGGCACGATGTAGACGCCCAGCTTGGCGCCCTCGCCGTGCAGGTGGTCCGCCAGCGCGGGCAGGTCGAACGCGTCCGGGTCGTACGTGATGCGCCCATGCTCGTCGCCCGACGCGGCGAGCGACCACCCCGCGCCGAGCGAGCAGTACTCGTACCCGTACGCCCCCAGCTCTTGCCGCATCGCGTCGCATTGCTTGATCACGTTTTCTTGGTTGAGGGTCAATCTTCCGGCGCTGGCGGGGGAGAGCGATTGGAGCGCCGACGAGGTCCATCCTCGTGCCGGGGCCGTGAAGCCGTTGGGCGTCTTGCCGTAGCGGAGCGTGTCGGCGTCGACGACGGGGAGGAGGGATGTTTTCAACAGCACGAGGGCGAGTGCGGCAAGGAGCATTGGTGAAGACATGGTGGGCCACACAGGTATAACGCGGGGGACCAAGGCATGAGATGTGAGCCCTTGCAGCAGGCGGAATGCAAGAGCATCTGCCCGGTCGTTTTATTTGTACTCGGGACCTGCGATCGGACGTGCATCTCGAGCCTGCCGTGAGAGGCTGGCATATGTATGCAGAGGCTGGGGCTCTGCCGTCGCCGCCAAACGCGTTGAGGACCGCCAACTGTCGTGGGATTCCGGATTGGCCGGCCCGTCGAGTAGTGACACTTTCCCGCAGCCGGGCGCGGCCGGGCGGGAGGATCGGCCTGTTTCATTGTGCGGATTGGGGGTTGGGGAGGACACGGCACGGGAAGGTTTGGCTTGCAGGGGAAAGTCTGCTCGTTGTCAGTGCTGGAAACGGCGTGTTATGCATGTAAGCACGCATAGTCCGGGGAAGGCATTGGTCAACGTACCTTGCCTGACGTGACACGACATCATGCTACCAGCCATCTTTACCAGCCTTGGTAATCGGAGACTTCCTGGCCGTTCGGGCTGTGTTCTCATTCGCCGGGAGCCGAGACGGCTCTGCATGACCCCATGTCTGGTCTGGAGGCTGAACACTTGAAGGAAGCGACACCATGCTCGTACGAGCTGAGCGAAACTCGCAGACAGCGGAGAGAAACAGACATGAACGACACTCTCGTCCATATCGACCCGGTGCCCTAGAGGATACTTTGGCGATAAAAGTGGTCGGCGTGTCCTTCCCGTATTTCCAGGGCCGAAAGTGTATGCAAGTGAGATCTTGGCAGCTTACCTCCGCTCGTGCAAGACCCATGTCGACGGCTCAGGGCGGGGTTCCCGATGCCGAGTCCCGATTTGGCTCGGCAGACGACCTGTATATTCTGTATCGCGGAAGAAGATGAATGTATCGTGCAGCTCCTCCCACAGGATATCTCATTTGCCATATTGTTCGCTGCACTTCCGAATGCTATTATATGCACCGTATTATGTCCCAGTGACGGTCTGTCAGTCTGCGGATATAGAACCTTGAGACGCAGATTTGAACTCAATATACACTGCCCGGATTCAAAGTGATCCGAAAAAGCAATTTCCGCTAAAGGACGTTGTCCCCTTTGATTTTGCCAGCAGGCGTTGTATCGCCAACGTTCCAGCCAGAGTGTTTCCGCAGAGAGATTGATCTGTAGGCCCGGAGTCAATCTGTTGATGAGTAAAAGGCTGATTAGGACTATTCTCAAAGAGAAAAGTTGGCGACCACAGAAAACCCGGTTGCAAGAGGCCGGCCGACTCTCAGCAAGCTGCGGAACTCGATCATCATAGAAATCCTGCTCACAAAACCCCCAGCACCTCAGACTGGTACAGACAGGTTGGATCAATTGCTATCTTGTGGTATTCTTCGGGAGGTGGGCTTGAATTAGGTAGTCGACTCGCATCTTCCACCTCCGGGGACTTTTTTTTACAGTACATATTGTCAACAGTCAGCGCCCACTGTCACGTACGACCATAGGTCGCAGAATATAGGGCTTCCCGTCCGCTCAGCCGTACTCAAGCTGCGAACCGGCCGATTAGTACTCAAGTGGGTGACCATTGGGGAATCCCGGCTGTTGTACGTTTTGAATTTTCTTTTTTGCACACCGGAAGAAAAAGCACTGGCTCCGCTCTGCTCCGTGCCAACGACCACACGGCAGGATACAAAACTTTTGGCTTGCCCAAGCCTCCCTTGCTGGATTCCATGTATTTTGTGGTGGGCAAGTAGTTGTCTGTGCGCTTTATGCACTTGCTTCTGCGTCGGAGTTTCAACCTCAGGTACTAACGAACGGAGACCACAACATTTATTAACAAGTTTTACTACAACTACTTGTTTTACCTTCTGCTGTAACCGACGCTGGTCCGTAAAGATGATAGCTGAACGGTTCCTTACATGTTCCATATCGTTGTTGTTACTGCCAGTTTCCGCTTTGTGGGAATACTTGAATACTCGTTCAAAGCCACTTTGCTTTTCTTGAATGGATTGTTCGATGTTTTGATAGCGTCAAGTTGCATAACGCTTTGTAGAAAGCGGAGATCCAGTCTCAGCTTACGCGCCATGTCCCATCTATCTACCGTATTCATGGGGGGTCTTACTGCCTTATTACTGCCACCACCATATCTGCCTTTTCATATTCCCGACCGCAACCCAAACGGAACGGAACAGAATCCTCCCTTCCGTTCAGCCTGTCTTTTCTTTCCTTCCCATTACGTGAAAAGCAAAAAAAAAAAAAAGCAAAAAACGTAGTGGTATCAAATGAACGTCTCAGCAAAACCCAAAAGGAAAGTTGTCTCCCACTCACCCACCCTTCTCCTTTTTTTCACACTAGCTCCTCCCTCTTCCTCTCAGATCCTCCAACGCCACCGGTTCCGGCTCAAACCACGCCGCAGCCTGATGTCCCGTTGTCCTCTCCTCAAATGTAGCGCCCATAAAGCCCTCTGTCGGTCCACCACCAATCCCCACGGGAACACCCCCACCACCTGCGCCTCCACGAGCCGAATCGGCGGCCGGCTCTCCCCCAAACAGATCCCCCACCACAAGCTCCGCCACCGTCGGATCGCCGTAATATAGCTTATGCCTGTCGCCGTCGTACGGTAGCGAGGCCGTGTAATGATGTTCGCGGCGATACTGGCTGCTCGGCCTCGCCATAGAATTACCAGCACTATCCTTCCTCTTCGCCTCTCTTTCTTCCTGAAACCCATCCGCTACCGCCACGTCCCACCAATCCCGTGTCAGCCTTCGCTCGCTCACGTCCGACGAATCGCCGCTGCGGCGCTGCGTCGCCGCGATGACGGCGATGGCCGATCCGTTCTTGGCCAAGCTGGCGTCATCTCGGTCGGCGAGGTCTTCGGGGTCGTCGCGGCGGTAATAGGGCGAGGGCGAGGGTCCGTTGGAGGATGAGTTGGAGAATTGGTATGGTTGCTTGCGCGGCTCCGAGTGCACGATGACTTCTTGCATCACCTTGATGCCGGACATGCGGATGGCGGACGCAAGGTACGGCCAAAAGATGGGCATGGAAGCGGTGACGATGGCCAGGTTGACTTCGAGAACGGACATGAGGACGATGGGACTGTTTGTTTTATCCGTGGTCAGTCGGTTGGGGTTATGTGCCGGGGAATGGGACGAGGGAAAACACGTACGGTGCGTACCACGGCGGGTCAACTGTCGGGTAGGTGCCGGCGCGGTTTCTGACGACGAAGCAGAGACGGAGAGAGGCGGTAATGACGACGCTATTTTCCGGAGTATACCTCGTTAGAATACTTTTCTAGATTCCCATTGTCTTTTTGAGGCGTTCAGCCTCGCTGTCAACAGGAAAGACTTACAGTGATCCGGCAGTGAAGAGTCCAGCCATGCCGAGCTTCGCCTGCTTGCCGACCTTTGTCTTGTACAACAGCGGTATGGGTGTGATCAGGATGACGGTGTCCAGAAACATGTTGGAGGAAGTGTGACTGGCGTACGCCGCGTATGCGTTTTGTGGATGGAAGTCGCCGAACATGATGCATTTTCCCGGTTTGGTCAAATTCCATGACTTATCCACCGGATGACATGCGAAGATCATAAGAAAGAGAAAAGTGATTCCCCATGTTGCAACGATGGCGATGAGGGCGCACAAGATGCGGAACATTCGTGGGTGGATGTTTCTCGGAAACAGGCGGACGTATTGGAATAGTAGGGATAGTTTGATGCTGGTTGTGGCGCCAGCGTAAGAGACGTTGGTAAGGTAGAACCACTGACTGACGTGAGTTATTGGGTCGGGCATCGGACATTGCTGTTGGGCGTACCATAAAATACTTTTCGTAGGTGTCGTAATTTGAGCTACCGTCGGCATTCGTTGTGACGATAGTCCACCAATGTAGGCCCAACCCGTGGGGAATCTCTGTAGTCACGTCAGACGGAAAGGCACAGCTTGAGAGTGGTAGGCAGGGTATCGGCTTACCATTAGTCAAAGTGATAGCTCCAAAAAGTGCCCAGCCCTACATCTGTCAGTATTGCGACATGCAGCCACGGGTGCTGGGCGACGTACTGCTGCTATGCTGACGAATAGATCATCCCAACCAAGAGCGCGTACCAACTTCCAGCGCGACCATAATCTCAAACCCACGGCCACCCAGGAGACAATCTGGCGAAGTCAGCGACAAGACGAGCGGGCGGGTGGCGGAGAGGGATACCATGCAGGTGATGGCCGAGGCGCGAATGGTGATTCCGCGGTTCACGACGGGAACGTAGTAGTCAATTGGGTTCAGAACGGGCGCCATGGCTTCCCGCAGGTGTGGAGAGACTTCACTTGCATGCTACGACATGCGAGGATGGGTCGGCTTGACTGGGACGGCTGAGAAGGTAATGCAAGGCAGCGGGAAAGGGAAATGGGCTTGAAATGAGTGGATGAACCCGCGGGCGTGGGCAGCTGGTGTGGGGAGGTTTCAAAAGGTGAACGGCCCGGGCTCCACTCTGCCAGGGTCGTCTTGGGGGTCGTTATGCTTAAGAGGAGCGGATATGGTGTTCGTGCCGGCGGACAGAAAGTCTCAGGCGGGCCGGTCGTAACTAGCGGCCGATCGTGCTGGGGAAGGATGATTCAGGAGTGGCGCCGTCGCCGCGGGCTGGCACAATGACAGTAGCACGCACGGCAGAGAGGCCGAGCGAGGGCGAGAATCTGGGTGGTCCCGGTGCGGTCCATGTGGCCGAGCGGCGTCAAATGCGGGTCCGGCGGCGCAAAGCCGACTCGGGGGCGTTATCGCGAGGGGCTATGGGGGGAGAGTCATGCCGCAACGCGCATGGTTCGATGATCGGCAGCTTCTCGGGGGCGATGGGATGCCTGGGGCCCCAAGCCTGGCGCTGCACATAGGTACAAGTGGCGGCGACGTTGGTTTCGCGCGCCGTTCCTGCTGGCTTCCTTCGCCAGCGGGTGCATCCTCTATCTCCAGCGGGGCGCCGCGCAAGTCCGAGTGCAGTCGCGGGTGCAGTGCGAGAGGCGGGCCGGGCGGCAGGCGAGTGCTGGAAGAGCCTCCTGGACAGTGGGCCCGCGCGAGAGACGGGCGGCGATGGGAGGGCGTGGGCGTAGGCGCGGGCGTGGGCGTGATGTGTGATGTGTGATGTGCCGTGCCTGGAGAGTGACGGCTTCCGGAAGGCACGCAGGAACCAGCCGTGGCAGGAACCAGCCGTGGCAGCGCCCGGGTTGCGCCGCCGGCAGCGGCTGCCGCTCTTGCACGCATGCGACTGCTGCTGCTGCGCTGCGATCTACCCGCTGCGGCGCAGGCCAAGAATGACCCGGTGGCTGTCCCAGGCTCCCAGCATCATCTTCTCACATGTCTGCTGTTGTGCCTTACCCCAGCTTTTCCCTAGTGGCGGGCAGCAGACCGGCAGCGCCAGCCAGCGCCGGCCAGCGCCAGCCAGCGCCAGCCCGGCAGCCACCCAGCCACACCCCGTCAGCAGTACCGCTTCGCATGCATCCATCTCCCCCCGCGCTGCACCAATTGACGACACCTGAGCGGGCCCCCGCGGGTCTAGCGTACCACCGCCGCAGCAACTTCGAACGTCTTGCAGAGTCTCCACTTGCTTAATCTGGGGAGAGAGTGTTGGATAGGCTTTGGTGCAGTTGCCGGCTGGCACCCAGTGCGGACGCTTCCCAGCCGGTGCTGGAGCCTGCTGCACCCACGTCGGGCGAGGGTGAGCCTGCGTCCCGACGCTCCCAAGACGCTCCCACACTCCCAGCCGCCAATCCGCCAACCCTCGCGACACGTTGCCCGTTATACCTCGCACTCCTATTATGTGACGACGCTGCGTCTCAGCCTGCCGGGGCCGCTGCTGCCGGTGCCACGGTGCTGCCCACCGACTCGCGCCGGGCCCGCTGCGCAATTCCCGGCCTTGCTCGATGATGAAATAAAGTGTGGACCTCGTCCCCGGTCCACCAATAGCGCCCTCAGCTATTCGTGCCCAGCAAGCCTGTTTCTTCAGCCCGCCGTTCCTGACCCGCTGCACGGGGCCAAGCCGAGCATCTGCACATCTACCGGCAGCACCCTTCGGGACTGACCCCCGTGGCCACCGCCGACTAACGCTGCACTCACTGAGATTGCAATCTGAATCCAGCGTCGCCGCTGTTGCCCTCATCAGTCACAGCATCCACCGTTCCAGTCTCATCCAGTGTCGGCCCAACGTCACCGATGCAACATGCTAGTACGTAGGCACGCGAGTACCACGTGGAATCCGACAAGCGGACGCGTGGTCGTAGGGATTCCCAGACGTCGTGTGTCAGGACTCAGGAGCTCCGAGCTGTGCATGCAGCAGGGCCCAATCCGAAGATAGATTCGCTGCTGCTTCGTTTTTCGGTCCCTACCGGTCGATCCCAGGGAGAAAGTTGATTATCATTGCTGTGCCGGAGTCAGGTCCGCCAGGGTTTCATCAATTGAGGCAACTGCACGGCGTATCACAAGCCACGGATCTACGCATCTTCGCCGTCTCTAACCTGCTTGGGCTGCGCACGAATGACTGCGCGCCCTGACATCCCATCCGCACTCTAATCCGTAAATCCGCATCTCGTCGGCTTCCACTGGCCTATCCAATTGCCGGTTCTAGTATATCCGCGCAGTGGTAACACCAGTTGATTCACTGTGTCCTGCCCGTGCGGGCCTTGAAACTTTGTTCGTAACTCGCGCTGTCGCTCTATCTGATCCTATCGATCCTTCATATTGTTCCCCATCACTTTGCCATCTATCCTCAAAATTCTTAGCTCAAGCCGACCGACCTCTCGACCGATCGACCTCGCAACTCCCCTTTTTTTCATCCCAACCATCTACCTACTGTACCGCACTGATCATCCTGGTCTGCGTGCATACGCACCTCCCGATCCCATCAAGCCTACCTAGATAGACTTCGGCTGTCAACTTCTCACTAACACCCCTTAGTGCTTGGCTCGCGAGAACAACTTCTCGCGCCACCCGTCAGTCATAGATAACAATCCACAGAATACGCCACGTGCCACTCTGGACATAATATCAGAATCGCACCGTCCTCACCTTCTTTATTGACCATGTCCAATCCAATGGAACGCCTCACTTGGCTTTGCTCCACTATTCCGTACATATGTCGACAACGACGACCCGGATCTCTGGATATTACGGGCAACATTACTCGAACTACCGAGAAAGAGCACCGATTATCGTCCTTATCTGGATGAATTGCATCTTGAGAGTCCGGTCCGATAAAATACTCCGCGGTGAAAAATGATTCATGAAGCTGCGATGGAAAACACCGAGCACAATGTCACTTCACTAACCGAGACTATACCAGTGGGTCATCTGGACAAAATCTGAGCAAGAATGGGGAGAAAAAAAAAGTACCCTTGTCACGCTGTTTACCGTAGGACAGAGTGAAGGCGGCCCGTGGAGACAGGAAAATGTTACTGTGAGTGATGAGCAACAAATACTTTGCCCGCTGGATAGTACAGCAATAGCCATCTTCAAGCTCGGGTTTTCTACAATTTATTACGAGCATTAGCACCATATCGTGCGTGGCCTGTTGGACTGAACGATGCGATCGTAAACTGGGTGGAGTTAAAGCCTTCGATTACGAGAGAAGGAAGAAGAGACTAAGAATGCTGGCCCGCCATAGTCATGTCCTGCTTTACACCGTCCTTTTTCTATCCTTGATCCGGACGTTTTTCGCACTATAGGTCCAGCAGAATTTCGTTGGGGTCTCCATATATCCCATTGATTTCAACATGGCGTGCGGATACACTTTCCCAGTACGAGCAGTTGAAGCAAACGTTCGGGATCAGATATGCACAGGCCTGTCGAATGATGTCAGAGTGTTCAGATAGAGACTTCAATTATTTATAGATAGACCCTAGTAGCTCTGATGGGTCTGGTTGAAGAGGTGTCAAGCTTTTGCAACGCACTGCGCCGGCATGTATGTAAATACCATACTCACCTCTTTCGCCAATGTGTGAGAAGTCTTTGCGAATCAGTTACTTGCATATGCTACGGATTTCAGCTCGTATAGGTGGATTCCGACAGATGCCTCCACCTTTCCACTGCGAGCATCAAAGATCCCGCTTGCGTCTCAACCCGCAGCTATTACTCTGGGTGCACCCATCACTGTTCTATCCGTACCTTCTCAATTATAGCAAAATCAGTTCCATCATCGACAACCATCGTTTCGTTCCTTTCAACGCCGATAACACCCATCATGCAAATGCCTTTTTTTTCCCCTTCCCCTCATCCGACCATCCCCCCTCAGAAAGCTAACATAACCCTCACTTCGCCTTCACTGCAGCCAACTCCGCACCATTCCTAACCACGCCAACCATGGCGCCGGTCTGCAGCATCTCGCTGCCGCCACCGCTCAGCCTATACTCCACCTCGCTCAAGCCCTCCATCCACGTAACGCGCGCCTGCGGGGGCACATCGAGCTTCGCCAACTCCTCAGCCAAGGCGGACAAGATGTCAGCGAGGGCGAGGCCCTTTGCAGCCTTGAGGCGCTGGATGTCCTGCAAGCAGGAGCGCACGTTGCTCGTCTCGAGCAGGGTGCGCAAGACGAACTTGACGTCCTCGGGGTGCGGCGCGGCGATGCAATCGTAGATGGTGGTCTCGGTGACGGTGTCGCGGCCCTCGTCGGCCCTCGTCTTCGCCCGGGCCGCGTCGTCGCCGCGCTCGCGCAGCGGCGTGCTGCTGGCGTGGCAGGCCTGCAGGACGTTGAGGGCGCGGCGCATGTCGCCCTTGCTGAGGCGCACGAGGCTGTCGGTCGCGGCGGGCGTGATGCGCACGTCTTCGGCGGCGACGACGGCGTCGACGAGGCGGCGGATGTCGGGCTCGCGCAGCGGGCTGAAGCGGAAGCGCGTGCAGCGCGAGAGCAGTGCCGGCGACAGCTTGTGCGTGTAGTTGGCGATGATGCAGAAGCGCGTGTTGGCCGTGTATTTCTCCATGATGCGCCGCAGCGCCATCTGCGCCGTCGCCGTCATCGCGTCGGCTTCGTCGAGGATGATCAGCTTGAAGCTTGCGAGCGAGGCCGAGCCGGCGTTTGGGGCAGGCGCGGTGGAGAAGATTTGCTTCGTGCTGCTGAAGGTCTTGATTTGTTCACTGTGTGGGAATTGCGTGTGAGCGGCGTTGCCTGAGATTTGCGAGAATGCGGACGCGGGTGACTTACCGCACGACGTCAATGCCTCTGTCGTCACTGGCATTGAGCTCCAGGACCATTTGTCGCATGTTCTTGTTGCCATAGATGCGTCGTGCCAAGGCGAGGACTGTAGACGTCTTACCCGTACCGGGAGGGCCGTAGAGAAGGAGATGGGGTAGCCTCTAGATATTTGTTATTAAGGAGCGTTCAATGTCGCGTCGTAGGTGCGTACGTTGGAGTCGACGAATTTGTTAATGGTTGCGAGGATATCGTGGTGACCAGAGACATCGTCGAGGGTGTCGGGGCGGTATTTCTCGACCCTGGATGCACGATCAGCTACAGTATACACTATGAAGCCTGAATTGATTTCTGCTTACCAGGGAAGGGTGTCCTCAGCCTCAACAGGCAGATTCGCAGCGCTGCGCTTGCCCTTCGCAGCCATGTTGGATGCGCTGAATTCGATGGCGGGCGCATCGACGTCCATATCGTCGCCTTCAAAGTCCGACATGGCAGGCAACAGTGCTGGGCGTGAGAGAGGAGGACCGTCAAGCGAAGAACAGCGTGGGCGAGTGGCGGAGAAAGCAGGACGCGTGGAGGAATGGGAGACGCGCCTGTGGCTCACGCGGGGCGCGTAAAGTGATGCAAACACAGCAAACGTCAGCCCTGCGGCGGTGGACGTCGGGTTCGGGCAGGCCCGCATCATCATAGGACAGCGCCCGCCCCCCCCAGAGATTCCCCCGTAACCCAAGCTCCATACATCCCACCACCGCCAAAATGCCCGTACGTCGACACAATCCTGCGCCATGCATGCTCTGCTAAGATCCCTGACAGGCCTACCACTCCGTCTTCCTCGATGAGCCCAACCAGCACATAATAGGTACCCGCTCCCGCCGCAGCCCCCGCCAGCTCCCCGCAGGCACCACCACGGAGCTGCATCGTCTCGCACACTTCTCAACACCACCAATGCGGCTTCCGACGTCACCATAACACATCGCCCCCACGAACCCGTTTCCCTCCGTTTCTCCGCTCACACGACATGTTCTTTTGTCTCGCTCCACAGGCAACCTCGCGCTGCTGCCGCTGCGGACGCGCACGCGCGGCCCGGCGATGCAGCTGCCCCCTCTGCCGGCCGACGTGACGGAGCTGACGGTCGAGGCGTCGCACGAGTCGTACGACCCGGTCGACGAGATCCTCGCCCTCTTCCGCGCCAACACCTTCTTCCGCAACTTCGAGATCAAGGGCCCCGCCGACCGCGTCCTGATCTACGGCATCCTTTTCGTCAGCCAGGCCTTGGGCAACATCAAGCCGAGCATGAGCAAGAGGGAGGCCGAGAAGGTGCGTTTTCTCCCTGCTTGAAAACCCTCCTTGTACAATTCTCTGGGAACAAGTCAAGGACTATTGTTGGTGGAGGTGATGTGAATGGATGGAAGACGGGAGAGGGGGAAAAAGGAGGAAGGGAATGATTGCGGTGTAAGGTGGTTTTGGGTCATTGGAACAGACGCTGACGCTGCCTTTCGGCGTGACTCTTCTAGTCCCTGATGAACCTCGCGCTCGACAACAACTTCGCCATCCCCGGCGATGCCAGCTTCCCGCTCAACCAGGCCTTTGAGGCCCCGGCCAACCGCAACGACGCCGAGACCCTCCGCCAGTATCTCGCACAGGTGCGCCAGGAGCTTGCCGTGAGGTTGCTGAACCGTGTGTATGCGGAGGACCAGGCGGCGCCGAGCAAGTACTGGCTCAGCTTCATCAAGAGGAAGTTCATGAACAAGTCGTTGTAGATGGATGGGGTATGAGTAACTTCTAGAGAGTTGAAACGTCGGGGAGAAGGATTTTGCAGAAGCAAGCGCAAGACCGCAGGACTGTGGTCAATGGAAATAGCGCCGGTGTCACTTCCAAGATCTCGTGTCGCATGCACGACGAGAGCATAATCAAAGAGCGTCTGGTTTAGATTTTTCTAAAAGCAAAACATGGTCCGTGATTGCAGCATCTCTCTAGCAGCCAGATGTGTCTCCCTGAGTGAAAAGCCCACTACACATAGCCAGTGTAGCCACCCACAGAGTATCGCAACAATCGTTCGAATCATCATGTTACAACCTTAGGTTTATCAGCCAGTACGCAGCCTCTTCGCTGCCGGCTGCTTGAATTCTGAAGTCAGAGCAATCTCCCAGAAATCAGTGTCGTTATTGTTGTGATCAAAATCAGATGAAGCCTGTTCTTTGCGCGAGAACGTTGCGCCATTCTGCTGCTTCGAGAGCGAGTCTTGAGTCATTTCCTGATCGAAGTCCCAGGATGGCTGCCTCGCCCCTTGTATGTCCATGCCTTCCTCTTCTTTCTGCCCAGCTAACGAAAGCTGTCTCATCTCTTCGCGTATGTCCGCTTCATTGGAATGCGATGAATCTGGCACGGAGGAGCGCAGCGGGAGGTTTTGCTTGGCGCTGTTAGCATGGTAATGTATCTGTATATCTTGTTTCTTGCTGTAGTTGTTCTGTGTTAGGAGCTGTGTAGGAATTACTTGCTGCTGCTCTTGGTTGTCCTGGTCAAGACTCTGTCTAGTATTGGAATCTTGCTGCAACACGCGTCCTGCAAGGGACTGTCCAGTCGCGGCCAAAGGCGGTCGAGATAGTTGAGTAGCTTCATTACATTTTGCGGGCGCCCACTCTTCAGATGCAGTGCCTCCCCAAGTTTGTGGCGGCCCAGGAATTTCTGAATCTTCACCCAACCCCGTCGATGAAGGTCTTGTCGAGCTGGCATCCGGGCAGGCAGCCTCTTCATCTATGACTGGCATCACTGGCGATTGGCCAGATAAAAGATCTACCATAGGGAGTGGGCGGCGTACGGGCAACGGAATTGGTGGGAAGAACTGAGATGTGTTGAGCTGCATCTGCGGGCGAGCTGAAGGAATGTGCTCGATTATCTTAAAAATCCTTCGTCGAGGCTCCCAGTCTTTGGTAACATGCTGATACACCGCTTCGAATTCATCAACATGGGCTCGATTTGAGAACCAGTCATGCCGCAGAGCCTCCTTCGCACTGAGTCGGTCATTCTCGTCTAACACGACTGTCCGACGGATGAAATCTTTCGCTCGGCGGCCGACTTTCTGCCAGGCGGGATCATTATCCAGAATGTCAAGGTTGCATCTGCTGCTCAACTGCTTGACTGCAGCTTCCTGGTTTTCGGCATCCTTGTCGTGGAATATCGGCTTACCAGTCAAAAGTTGAGCGGAAACACAGCCTACAGACCAGATGTCGACCGCCTTGGAGTATCCTGAGCCACTGAGAACCTTTGGATTCCTTCTGAAGATTTCACTGTAACACAGTGAGCAGTTTATGGCAGCTAGCAACATAACGATGCATGAACGTAGGCTATATGGGCGTAATAGCAGATATGCACCTACGGGGCATTGAAACCGAGCGTCCCCGCCACAGACTTCATTCTCTGGGCGGAATCCTCGTCAGGCAAGTTGCGCGCTTGACCAAAATCAGTAATGACGACTCGAGATGCGGTCTTTGTTGATGTCAGTAAGATATTGTCTGGCTTGATATCCCGATGGACGATTCCACTGTCATGCAAGTACTCGACGCCTTTGAGAATTTGATACGCAATCACAGCAGCCTCAATGGTGGGCATGCCGGATGCATGCCTGTTCGTTATGAAGGAGAACAAGTCGCCGCCGGAGACAAGTTCTTGGAAGATGTAGCTGTACCAATTCAGTAAGGCTCACCGAAGTGGCGGAAAAATTAGCTTACAGGCCTGCATCACTGTGGTAGACCTTCTCTAGCTTGATGATGTTCGGCTACTCTGCATTAGCAAAATGAGCACTATGAGCGGCTTGCACACGTACGTGATTGAGGTTTTGCAGCACCTCAAATTCGCGTGTGAGTCTTTCCACACATCTTCCTTGTTGGTGCAAAAGGTCGAGGTTGACGACTTTACAGGCAAGCTGACGTTGAGTCTTCCGGTGAATGGCTACATGAACTGCACCATAGCCGCCCTCTCCAATCACGCGAGGCTTGACTTGATATCGACGAGAGATGACCTAGAACAGTAAGACCTTCACTTGATGGCAAGAATTCACATGTAGCTTGCCTCTATGTCCGATTTCAGCTCAAGGGGAAAAGTGCGGTCATTGCCGCTATGTTCTCTTTCCACACGATACCGGAGGAACTTCAGAGGAGCGAACCATAACTCGTCATTGTCTTCAAGAAGCGTGGTCGGGAGGTGGGGGCGCATCATGACAGTATCATAAGCTTGGGCTCTCTTGAGGTGAGTGCCATTCGTCGAGGTATCCTCGGCGTAGACAAGAGGCTGGATTCCCCATTGTCCGTCATTATCGAAGAGAATACAGTGAAATTTGAGATGACGTTTGGAGATGGTCTGATGCGCATAGTCCAATTCTGGCGAGTGCCTTCCAAGGTGGAATTCTTGGTTGGCGTGGATTGGTATCCGTGAACTCAGCTCTATCGCGAGTCAGGTGTGGATTTCAAAGCGGACGCACAATCACAGACCTGAGTCTCTTCCATCATACTCGTAAGCTGCATCCCGGACATCGAGGAAGGCGACCAGGGGCCCGACTTGACCCTTTCGAGGTGGTGCAGAGGATTCGACCATCTTCCCCGCTCGATGGCCCCTCTCGACGGTTGCGATTCCCCGCCTGGGCAGACGGACGGCTCGAAGACGGAAGGGTGACGCGTTGCGGGTGGCAGCGAATGGTCAACGCGCCTTGGCGTGTGTCACTGGCGAGCGGTCGTCACGAGGACTCGGCCTAGCTTTCTGACTAATCCGCGCCATTCCATTAGTGGCTAGACTCGCTTAAGCACCACACAAGAACACTGCGGAGCAGCTTCAGACCATCTTCTTTCCACACCAACGGACCTCATCTCGACAACCAGGTAAGTGAGAATTTTGCCCATGTGTGCCGCTCAATGGCTGCCAGAGGGTCGCAGTGCTACACTGCTCCCTACGGCGAGCTCATTGAAGCGAGTGCACCCTCTTGTCGATCACACGGCTGACGGTTCTCAGTTCATCTAGTTTTCAAGATGAGAGCGAAGTGGAGGAAGAAGCGCGTCAGACGCCTCAAGCGTAAGAGAAGAAAAGTTCGCGCGAGAAGGTATGTTTGCTCCCAGCACCAGTGCTACCCCGCTTTCGACTTCTCGTCGGCTGACGGAATTTTTAGCAAATAAACGACTCGCCTTCTCGAACACTGTCACCCCCGACCTACCATGACAACAACCTTACGGATCAACAACAATCCTTGATGCGGTTCGCAACCGACTTCACCAACTCAGCTCTCGGAGCATTACGTCATTCCATCGGCGACGAAGGTACGGCAGCTACGGGCGCGGAACGTGGACCGATTCCGAGTTCCAGTCTTGGATTGTCGCATCGTGGAAGGATGGGGCAACTGGTCGAAATTCTTTCGAGGATGATACCGAGCGTTTTCGCTACCACAGTCAGGCAGACCTGTTTCTAACACCGGCACTCTGGGGCCTTTGAAACCGTCTCGCCTCAGTCGATTAGGCACCAATGAAAGTCCTGGTCAACAATGAGATTCAACCTGCTGCATGTGAAGTTGTGTACACACGGAACCTCATTTGTCACGCCAACATGGAGGTAAACCTACTCCATCATTGGCCCTCTTTCAGTTCCAAGAGTGAAACAGAGCGAAAAATTGACTTGACGGCCTTCATCCCACGGCTCGCCAGGTCTCATTACGCTCTGACATGCAGTGATGTAGAATTAAGTTCAAAGAGGTATCAACGCACAATCGCTTAGGCCAATTTCTCCAAAATGAACTGCTGCGTCACGTCCAGTGCTGGAGCGGCGTGCTCGCACACGGACGGCGGAAATAAGGCAAAGGCGTGGGGCGCCCCAGCGAAGATCTTGGTGATTCCCTCGCTCCCGGTACATCTCCACTTGATGGCCATCATCAGGGTGTCGTCCAAAAGAGGATCCTCGGTCCAGCACGTGAACAGGGCCGGCGGCAATGCAGCCCTCCCGAACTGACGCAGATTCTCGTAGAGGGGAGAGATTGTTGGATCACGCCGCTGCTCTTGGGTTCTGCCGGGCAGATATGCGTCGGTGAAACGGGCCATCTCGCTCAGATCCAGGATGCCGCGTCCCCCGTAATTCGTTGCTTGCGGCAGACTGTGGGACAGGTCATAGACGCCATGTTGTAGAAGCAACCCCCGCAAGGGGAAGCTCGAGTGTACCTTGAGAAAATGAAGCACGGTGAGGACGCAGAGATTGGCACCAGCCGACTGTTGTGAATGTCAGCTGAAGCGCGGCTGGCTGAAGACGGTGGCGTACGTACATGTCCGCCGATGAACATCAGTTCAGCGCCATAGTTGGGCTTCGCCTTCCTTGCGAGCCATTCCGCAGCGTCAACACAATCGTCGAGCGCGGCAGGGTAAGGGTGCTCAGGGGCCAGCCTATAGCCGATGCTAACAACAGCGAGCTGGCAACTATCGGCGAGCGTCTTGATGTACGTATCGGAGCTGGACTTGTTCAACGGAAAAGCCGCGACGTGCAGACGGCGGGAGCCTACTATTTTTCGGAGCATAGCACGAAACCGCCGCCGTGGATATGCATGAGGACGCCCCTCACGTCGGCGCCTGCGGGCTTGAACACGCGGCAGGGAATGTCGCGGCCGGAATCCCGGGAGGGGAGCTTGAAGTCAACGCCGGATTCGATCACGACGGGCTTGTTCCAGCACAGCTGACGGAACTTCTCTGGCCCGACCTGCGCGCGCAGAGCTCAGCATGCGGTTCCTGTCACGCCGTGCGACTTGAGCCAAGACACGACAGCCTTACCTCGTGCCACTTCGGAATGCTTGCCTGCGTGCCGGTAAGTTTCTCGTTGAGGGCAGCGGTTGCGCTGCTGACTCTGGAGTCGTCGAACTTGGAGTCGTCCAGGACGAGGTCACTGACGAGAGGCATCTTGAACGCGCTCTCTCGGGCTCACGGTTATGAGAGCGCAGACATGACGGAGACGAGCCTTGTATCGCGATAATGCGCCTTCTGTCGCGGCAGCCTGGCCATTGTCCTCGTGAGCCAGACACGGCATGCTGATTGCTGGCTATCAGGCCAGACAGTGGGGGCAAGCGCCAGGGCCCCGGAAAAGCGGCCGAAAACGCGGGGCGGGAGGATGGCGCATCCGCCGGTCCACAGCTGCAGCCCCGTCACTCGCCCACTACTGCAACCAGCACCTCCTGCGTACGACGCACACGCGCACCGCACCGATACCTGATACCGGCAGCATGCTCTGACTTGTCCAACTTTCTCCGGCCTCACAGCAAGACGCAGCGTGAGAAGTGCTAGCAGGTGGAGACTTGTTCCTTGCCTGTCGACCAGCCAAGAGCTCTGCGCATTCTTGGCTCGTCCCCATTACGCATTTGATCACGAGGGCCGACCGTGCCTCTTCCTCATCTCTCAACAATCTCGTAGGTGGCCTCGCCGCGAATCTCTCATGCCGCGCCATCACTGGCCACTGCTCAATCTCCCAAGTCCGCTTGGGCGATTCATTGCCTGCGGCCTCCGAGCTCGGCCAAGAACCCAAGAACCCAAGTACGGCGGAACATGCCCAGCCACAGCAGTCCCGCGGTCCAGCTGGAGCTAAGGCGTTTCCGGCTGCCCCATTGAACGCTGGGTGGCGGGAGTTGCTGACGCCGGCACATCGCAGTGGTGAGGCGACGGGAGCCGAGCCACAAGCCAAGGATGCGGCACTGGGCCCTACACGGCAGCCCTGGTCTATTTAACGTCCACCCCGCGACCCCGCAGCCTGGTATACGTCCTTTCTGGATATCGTCCTTTGTGACATCCCTCCCTCTGTCTGCCGCCATTCATCCGCTTCCCCGGGACCCCTCATATCGTACCTCAGCCTAGTGAATGGGGATAGAAGATACCACCCTTGATGTCGAGGAGACGACTGAACCTCCTATACGTGGCCCCGTAGAGGAACGTACATCCAAGGGCACTGCTTCTCCCGCCGAAAAGGAAGCCGGATCTGCCGGCACCACTCTGACCTCTCCGCCATCGACCGACCTCTCCACAGACGACGGCAAAGAAGGCTGCGGCTTCAAGGACGCCCACACCGTACCCGCGGCCATTGTCGCCCGGGTGCTAGGCGTCGATCCTCAGTAAGCCCGTTGCCTCCACCCAGTCGTCGTGCCCATGGCTGACAGAAGCCAGGAATGGACTCACTCGTGCCGAAGCCGCGTCTCGCCTTGAGCGAGACGGGCTTAACAAAGTTGAGGGAGCTAAAGGGCTTTCCCTGTGGAAAATCATGTTGAGACAGGTCTCGAACAGCCTGACCCTAGTATGTAGACCAGTGACTTTCGCCACCAACAACGGGTGGTCAAGGTCGCGCACTGATGACTTCGTCGCGAGACGACACTCAGATGCTCGTGCCCCGTTCCTGCATCACTGACCCAACTAGGTTCTCCTGATTGTCATGGCTCTTAGCTTTGGCATTCATGACTACATCGAAGGTGGTGTCATAACGGCTGTCATTCTACTTAACATCGTCGTTGGGTGAGACCAGCCAGTTTCCTTGTGCTGGGAGTTCTGCTGATGTTCTCGACCCAGATTCGTCCAGGACTACCACGCAGAGAAGGCCATCATCTCATTGTACGCGCTATCTGCGCCCGTTTCCAAGGTAATGCGAGACGGAGCAATTGAGCATGCCAAAGCCGAGACTGTCGTCGTCGGCGACATTGTCCATCTCAATGTTGGCGACATTGTACCCGCAGACTTGCGGCTGATTGATGGTATCAATGTATCCACCGATGAAGCCCTTCTGACCGGAGAGTCACTGCCCGTGAACAAAACCCCACACAAGATTTTCGAGAATTCTGACATACCTGTCGGAGACCGCACCAACATGGCATACTCGGCCTCTACCATGTCTCAGGGAAGAGCCACTGGTATTGTCGTGGCAACCGGCGTCAACACCGAAGTGGGACAGATTGCCGAGATGCTGCGCAGCCGTGGCCGAGTGACTGAAGGATCCAACGCCGTCGTCCGTTCCTGGAACCGTTTCAAGAATGGCTTCAAGGTCGTTTTGGGTCTGGAAGGAACTCCCCTGCAGATCAAGCTGAGCAAGTTCGCTCTGCTACTTTTCGCTCTGGCCATTCTCCTCGCCGTCATCGTCTTCTCCGCGGCCAAATGGGACGTTCGAGGCGAAGTCCTCATTTACGGCATCTGCGTGGGCGTTGCCGTCATCCCGGAATCCCTTATCGCGGTGCTCACAATCACGATCGCAGTCGGCACCAAGGCCATGGCCAAAGGCAATGTCATTGTCAGGAAGCTCTCCGCTCTCGAGGCCGTCGGAGGGGTCACCAACATTTGCTCTGACAAGACGGGAACCCTGACCCAGGGCAAGATGATTGCTCGGAAGGCGTGGATCCCGGCCATGGGAACGATGACGGTCCACGACACTACCAATCCGTTTGACCCTTCGAGTGGGTTTATCAGGATGAATGACTGTGACATCGATATTGAAGAATTCGACGAGTCGACTCATCTGAACACTTTCTTGAAGGCCATCGCCCTATGCAACCTCTCGTCCGTCTACAAGTCTTCTGCGGACGACGCCTCAATCAGCACCACCTCAGAGGCCGGATGGGTCAGCGTCGGCGAGCCTACAGAGATTGCTCTCCAGGTCCTCGCGATGCGCTTCGACTCGGGCAAGCCCACTCTAATGGAGGACGGGAACTCGGAACTGCTGGCCGAGTTCCCCTTTGACTCCAACTTCAAGCGCATGACGGTCATCTACAAGGACAAGACCGAGCCTGCTGCCCACGCTTACATGAAAGGTGCGGTCGAGGTCATGCTTCCCGCTCTACTGAGTTCGGATTCGGAGAAGAAGCAAATAAGTGCCGTAGCCGAGGAAATGGCCGGCAACGGCCTTCGCGTCCTCTGTGTCGGTCATAAGCTGGTGCCGTACGATGACCCGAAGCAACTCACCGATCGAACTACCGCCGAATCGAACATGGAATTCGTCGGTCTCGTAGGCCTGTACGACCCACCGCGCCTGGAGACGGCTGGAGCGGTGCGCAGGTGCCAGATGGCCGGTATCACAGTGCATATGCTGACGGGCGATCACATCAAAACGGCCACGGCCATCGCGCATGAGGTCGGCATCTTGAGTGGTGCCGCACCTAATGCCAACTCGGGGTCAGCCATCATGCCGGCATCTGAGTTCGACAAGCTCTCGGATACCGAGATTGATGCTATCGAGACGCTACCCCTGGTGCTGGCCCGATGCAGCCCCAAGACGAAGGTCCGCATGGTCCAAGCCATGCACCGCCGCAAAGCATTCTGCGTCATGACAGGCGACGGCGTGAACGATGCCCCTGCCCTTCGCATCTCGTCGGTCGGCGTGGCCATGGGCATGAACGGCAGCGATGTGGCCAAGGAAGCGGCCGACATGGTGCTGACGGACGACAACTTCGCATCCATCGTCAAAGCCGTCGAAGAAGGCCGGCGGCTCTTCGACAACATCCAAAAGTTCCTGCTGCACCTCCTCATCTCCAACATCTCGCAGGTCCTCCTGCTGCTCATCGGCCTCGCCTTCAAGGACGACGACGGCAGCTCAGTCTTCCCCCTCTCGCCCCTCGAGATCCTCTGGGTCAACCTCATCACCTCGTCGTTCCTCGCGCTGGGGCTGGGCGTCGAAGAGGCCCAACCAGACATCATGCTGCGCCCCCCGCACAGCCTCGCCGTCGGCGTCTTCACGCCCGAGCTCATCGTCGACAAGTTCATCTACGGCACCTTCATGGGCTCGCTCTGCATCGCCGCCTTCACGTCCGTCGCCTTCAGCGCCGACGACGCGCTCGGGCGCGACTGCAACGAGGGCTGGAACGACTCGTGCGGCACCGTCTTCCGCGCCCGCGCCACCACGTACGCGACGCTGTCGTTCCTGCTGCTCGTCACCGCGTGGGAGGTCAAGCACTTCAGCCGCAGCCTGTTCAACCTGTACCCGCACATCCAGGGCGGCGGCGGCGGCGGCGGCGGGTCGAGGTGGGGGCTGTCCGTCTTCGGTGCCGTCTGGCGCAACCGCTTCCTCTTCTGGGCCGTCGTCGCCGGCTTCGTCATCACCTTCCCCGTCGTCTACATCCCCGTCATCAACCGCGTCGTGTTCAAGCACGAGGCCATCACGTGGGAGTGGGGCGTCGTCGTCGCGTGCGTGGCCGCGTACCTGGCTGCGGTCGAGAGCTGGAAGGCGATCAAGCGGCGGTTCGGCTTGGGCAGCGGCAAGTACCGCTTGCTGACGGTGGAGGATGCGGAGATGAGGGCTGGTTTGGCGCCTGTGCCCACGGTGGAGAAAGTCTGAGCGTTTGACGCTCGCTTCTCTGAGGGTGAAGTGTGCACCGCCTGCGTTGTGCAGAGGAGGAAGAATGGGTGATGGTGATTGTGGGAAGTTGGAACTAAATTGTCATGTGAGCCGCAGTATAAAGACTGATGATGGGACGGGGCACTTTTGTTTTTGGTAGTTGGGGTGGTTTGGATTTCTGGGGTCTTCGGACATCCGTCCGCTCATTACCGTCATGATTTATGGGCCAAGATAGCGCACACACTCCTTTTGATATACACCTCCCTGTGCAACAACAACAAGCACAATCCAGACAGAACGTAAAATCGTAAACGTTTTGCTTCATATCTCCCACGCCGCTCCCACGCCCCTCCCGTTGTCACTCACCCGCGCGTATACCTCGTCTCACTGACATAATCCTTCTTCGGGCCCTTGACAACGTACGTCACCACCATCCACTCTCCCCCTTCACTACCACCGCCACCAAACACAAACTCCGCATCATACACATCCTCCCCGCACGGATGCCTCCCCTTCGCCCTGAGCCTCTCCCCCTCCCCCTCCCCACCATCCACCTGAACCTCCATATCCAAAAACAGATAATCCACTTCCACCCCACCATCATCATCATGATCCCCCACCTTGACAAACCAAATCGAAACCCTCTCCCCACCTTCTCCCCCTCCCCCTCCCCCTCCTGTTCCCCCTCCCCCCTCATACCTCCACACATACCGCCGCCCCGCCGCCATCTCCACCCCCGTCCGCCCCGTCGCCTCGTCCTCGATCGCCAGCACCCCTTCCTCTGCGTACAACAGCTCGCTCGCGGCGGATCCGGATGCGGCGGCGGTCGCCGAATGCGGCGAATGCGGCGGCGAAGACACCGGCACCGGCACCGGCACCCCGCGCGGAGTGAAGGTCGCGGTGCCGGTGAAGCGGGCGGACGGCGTGCCGCCCCGGCTGGGTGGGAGGCGCGAGGTCAGGGTGCGGGTGAGGGACCAGGGGCGGCTGGGCTGTTGCTGTTGTTGGTGGTTGTCGCCGGTGGTGGTGGTTGTTGGGGTGGTTGTTGTGGCGAGGGCGGCGAAGGTTTTGGAGAAGGTGGGTGGTGGGTGGAGTGGCGCTGGCGCCGGCGCTGTACTATTAATTGGTGGTGGTTGTACTGGGCCGCGGGGGTTGCAGGTGTTGTTGGACTCGGCGCGGGGATCGTAGGAGAAGAGGAAGGCGTTGACGGATTGCAGGGTCGCGCGCGAGGGGCTGGCGGCGGGGAAGGCGGTCATGATCCAGCTGAGGCGCTGGCGGATGAAGGCTTTGGTGATGGGCTGGGCGGAGGTGGTGGGGTGGCCTGCAGTGGCGGTCGTCAGCTGGGGGTGTCGTTTTCTTGCGGTACGTAGTTACCATCTGGGGCACGATGTATGCACTTACCCTCGTCGTCCGCGTACAGGCACAGCACGGCCAGCGCCACGCCGACGGAGAGGTCCTTGCCCGTCGGACAGCAGATGGCCAGATTCTTGGGGCTGCCCTCCTCCCCCGGCAAGCAACGGCGCCGCACAAAGGCCTCGATCTTCGAAATCTCGTTCCGCAGGTCGCGGCTCCCCAGCTTGCCCGTCCCACACCTGAGATGCAGATAGCCGCCGCCGCCGCCGTCCTTGAACTCCCTCCCAGCCATCACCGCCTCGTCCGGCGCACCGCCACCGCACTCAATCACAGCATCGAACCGCCCCCTCGCCCGATCCTCCCCCCTCAGCGCATCCGCCGCACAAACCCACACCCACCCCGCCGGCGCCATCCTTACCGCATCAACCCCACCACCTCCACCACTACCACCACCAGCAGTCGCCGCCGCGTCCGCAACCAACCCCCCAACCAACGCTGGCAACTCCCCCTCCGCCGCCCCCAGCAGCGCCGCCGCATTCTCCCAAAACAAGCCCGGCGTCAGCCCGCGCGCCCAGCCCTCGGCGTCGTCGCCCGCGCCCTGCACGTAGCCGGCCTCGCTCGCCTCGCCGCCGGGCACGCGCCGGCTGGCGGTGCAGAGGACGACGGGGTGGAAGGCGGGGAAGGATAAGTCGTTGTTTTCGTCGTTTTCGTCGTTTTCGTCGTCGGGGTGGTGGTGATGTGTCGGTGGTGGTGGTGGAAGAGGCGAGTCGCGCGTCACCCAGAGCGGTCGCAGCGGCTTCTTGACGAGGGTGCGGAGGCGGGCGAGGGGGAGGTTGAGGGCGCGGGCGGAGGCGAGGAAGGAGGGGAGGAGGGAGGCGATTTGGGCGTGTTCGGAGGCGGAGACGGTGGTGGGGGGGAGGTGGAGGGGGATGTTGTTGGGGGGAGAGGGAGAGGGAGAGGTGGAGGTGGAGGGGGGAAAGAGGAGGGCGTTCCAGATGGCGCACCAGATGGGGACGGTTTTGGAGAGGGCGTCGGGCATTCCTTTGGGGGTGGGGGTGTTAGTGGTGGTGGTGGGGTAAAGTTTTCATTTGTGTTTGACGGATGTCGAAAGAATCAAGGTGGAGTCGAGTGGAGGGAAAGAAGAGGGAGATGAGAAAACTGGGTTCGAGGATGATACGTACTCTTGCCTCGTCTGGTGGAGTCTACAATGATGCATCTGCCACGCCATCATGAGCCCGTGATGATTGCAAAGATGGCCGTACTTACCCGTCATTCGCGCCGACGACCTCGAGCACCTGGATGTTGAGCCGTCTCAGACTGAAAGACCACTCGCCGGTGTGGCCGTCGGTGCTCTTGAAATAGGCGCTCGCAGCCTTGCGATCCGGCGGGATGTACCAGCTGCCACAGCGCTCGTTGGCCACCAGCGGCCGGCGGTACGCATCGGCTACCTCGCACACAAAGTCGGCATCCTCGGAGATGGACCGCAGGCGGTTGGAGATGGACAGCGTAGCCCGCTTGAGCGTGGAAAGAGTTGTGGAGAAATCCGTCGACAGCTCTGGGAAGATGATGTCCGACGTCTGGATCGGCTTGGACATGACGGGCGGGACTCTGATCAGCGCGCCCGATCCTCCCTCATCCGGCGAATCTGCTCAGCCTGCTATTGTGTGCAAATCTGGTGTTGTTGGCGGGGGTCTGGTGGAGGCTGGCCGGGTTGGCGTGGTGTTATCGATAGGTCAAAGTGGTTGAGTTCGGGTCGGTTCGGTCGGTGCGCGTGGTGTTGAAAATCTGGCATCCTTGCTTCCGTTCCCTTCTCAACCTCACTTGCACGAAAAGCCGTCCAACAATCGTCCCTCACCTGAATGCACTGGCTTCAGTTCCCATCGCTTACTATAATTAGCTGAGACTTGTGCTACGTGGTGATATGCAGGAAGCTTTGTAAGGCATGGGCAATAGCCAATCACCCATGGCGATGGTGGTACGTTCAGGGTGTAGGTAGCCAACGAACTGCAGCAAGCTGGCAGTTCCGCTCCCAAAATTGAAGCGGGGCTCATGCATACGCGCCTGCACAACACTCCTAGTCAGAATTTGCGACGACTCTCGGTCTGATGGATTATCATACATTAGAAGAGCCCTGCGACTGTTTGCTTCTTTTCTTCCCTCATTGCCCCACGTCCACTTGGTGACTACTGCGTAGTTTCACTTGCATTCTTGGCGCGCCATCTACAATTCCTTTGCCTGGACCATCATGCATGGTGCTTCTTGCGATAGTCGTTTCCGCTTTGACCGCGAGAAAAAAATCAAGTGGGTACAGACAGCGTCTCGCCAACTCTTCGCTGCTAAGATGCCGTCACTCCATAGATGGACGCCTATAAACATTGCTTGGTCCAAGGACGGTAGCTTTATGATAAGCTATTGCCGAAAGCCAAAGGCCGTTGCTACCGATGGTTCATCCGCCTATCCAATCACACGACCATGCGACACCAAAGGAAAGAGCCAGGGACGGAGTAAAGCCAGCAAGACTCTCCACAGGCTGTTTCGGTCGAGCTATTCCGAGGGTTTAATTGCTGAACCCACAGCCGAACTTTCACACGAGCTCCCCACCGCCCATCTCCGGGTATCTCAGCCTGCGGAGCTCGACGCTTCATATCCTTCGGCTCACGAACTTCACCCGTCTCCTGTGGCTTTCGAGCTCGCCACCTCTCCTTCGTTGCCACCAGCAAGGAGCCGAACTCACATCAATCGACAATCTGTCCGGACTGTGGCAAACCCCTCGGAGGAAGCCGTCGCGATGCCAATCGCAACTTGAAGAGACATGGCGATTCCCATTGTCCTAGCAATCCAAAGAAGAGGTTACCGTGTCGCGCTAAAGGTTGCAGTCTCACCTTTGCCAGAGCGGATGGGAGGAACTGCCACGAACAGAAAGCGCACGGTCGTTCATGTCCTCCGAGCCGCATGGCATCTTGGGTTCCCTCGGCCCTTGATGGATAATATGTACGTGTCCTGTCAAATTCGATTACTGCTCCTCCAGTCGAGATTTCCGTCAAAGTCCTACAGTCGTGTGGTGTTGTGGTCCAGTTCGGTAAGGCATAAAATTGTTTGCTGACCCGCGGCTCAAGCTTCTCCAGGGCCACCCGAACTCGGGCTTAAAGAGACCGTGTTGATCCGCGGTCAGTATTCAACGATGGGATGGGAATCGTTTTCAGGAATGTTGTGAATGCATCGAGTCGAAGAACGGCGGCGGGCGGGACTGCGCCCGGATAAACCTCGTCCCAACAACGCGTGGTAGGTAACCTGTAAAGAATTCAAAAAAAGAGCAAACCACAGACGTAAACTCAGACTGCATCACAGTGACAGAAAGAGATGTCTTCTCAAACCGCACAAAACGCCCTTCCTTGTTAGCCACTGTCTCTTTCACCAACACAGACAATTTTGGATACTGCCAGTACGTCCACAGGGCAAAAGGAATTTCCCTGGTGTCTAGAAAGTAAAAACGAAGCTCCCAACACGTCCGAAAGGCAAAAAGAAATTGATGAGGGCCTCTGAGAGACCCAGACTTGACGTCTGGCGGTGCTGGGAATCGAACCCAGATCGACACGGAATTGTTGATGATGTTGGAGGCTGTGGCAGCGCTCCAAGAGCACCACAACGTGGCATCTTGCCATTGGACCACACCACCGTGGAAGCTGAACCAGTTGGTTCTTGCCGTGCTTGATGGAAGGTCGGTGGATCCGGAGGCTTTATATATCCAATGGTTTGCCTTTCGGCCCCTTCCTCTTGGCAAGTGGGTACTCCTGCGACAAACTTTCGTTCCACCTCACCTACAAAACATGAGTCAACTTGAGGGTGCAAGCGCTTGTCCTGAGAGTCTGTTGTGGTATTGGAGGAGGGGAATATGTGCATCCTTGGGTAAATGACGATAAGGTGGATTTAGAAAGGCAACATCAAATTTCAAAGACGTGAGGACTCAGGGAAAGAGAAGACGGAGAAAGTACACGCGGGGAACTGTAGGTTTATCAATGACTGGTGCGAGCTGAATCAGCCTTGTCACACGACCTACCCCTGACAACGCCGCGGCGCCCCATTAACCGCACCGCATAGCTCGCATAGCTCGAGCTTTGCGTCCATAGGTATCTGCATTTGTATCGTGCATCAAATTTTCATAATATGGGTTTATGCCTTGTGACGATGAAGATCGTAGCAATGTCAATCAAGTGCCGCACTTGCGCTGCTCCGCTAGAGAGGTGGACCGCTTTTTCCACCGTACATTCTCAAGATGCATGGAAAGGTACCACAGCACCACCTAGCAAATGCACTAGATGGTTACGTGCAATGTCAAGGGAACAGGAATGCTGCGCCGGACGTCTTTATCGAACTGGTTGCCGCACATTCACCTCGATGTACGACGCCGCTGCCTCTTCACTCGGTCGTCGCTTTGCAATCGTCTGTGATACAATATCCTAGATATGCTTTGCGGGAGAATGGTGCGAACGATCCGAGTCGCCCGCATGAGGTCTGAGACCGCTTTCAACATCTATGACGTCATGAAGGCCCTAACCAAAAATGCGCAGTCAACATCCAAAACAATCTAGTGTCGCATCCACGCTGCTGGGAACTGCATTATTTACAATGTTGCGGCTCAAACCCTCCCGCCAGTGTCCCGTCAACACCATTAATTGCTAACCCGCACCGTCCCGTACCGTCGAGCTGATTAAATCGCGGGCCTCACCATGAATTCCGTTTACGGTAGGACAGACATCCCTCACATCCCTCTCCCCCCCCTACTCCACCACTCCTCCAAAAACACCCCGCCAACACGGTGTCCAGAATACGTCTTCAACGGCGACTACCTCAACGCGCTGCTGGACGGCGGCTACCTGCCGTCGCCCGTGATCCGCATCGGGATCCGGCAGCAGCTGCGGCAGCGGCTGGCGGCGATCGCGGCGACGACGCTCGAGGCCGCCTGCGCGAGCAAGATGCGGTACGTGTCGCTGCTGCGCTCGCGGCCCATCGCCGTCGAGACGGCCGCCGCCAACGAGCAGCACTACGAGGTCGGCACAGGCGTGCTGCAGGCCTGCCTCGGCCCCCGCATGAAGTACTCGTGCTGCTTGTATCCCAAGGGCGGCGAGACGCTGGCCCAGGCCGAGATGGCCATGCTGAAGCTGTACGTGGAGAGGGCGGGGTTGGTCGATGGGATGAGTGTTTTGGATCTTGGGTATGTACTGTTTTTTTTCCCTCCCTCCCCTTTGTCTCGCTTTCCCCTTCTGCAATTCCTCTGTGTTTGTGGGAGGAATAATGGTGCTGTGGTTGAGACTGAGTTCTGATGTGATTTATCCATGTGAAGCTGTGGCTGGGGATCCGCGTCGTTGTATTTCGCCGAGATCTTCCCCAATAGTTCTGTGACGGCTTTCTCCAATTCCCGGACGCAAAAGGAATACATCGACTCTTGCGCCAAGGAGAAAGGTTTGGTGAACCTAAAGGTCATCACCGGAGATGTGGTGGACTACGAGTTTGAGCCCTCACAGTTCGACCGCGTCGTGTCCATTGAACTGTTCGAGCACATGAAGAACTACGAGCTCCTGATGGCAAAGGTGGCTCGGGCCTTGAAACCGGGCGGGAAGCTGTTTGTGCACATCTTCGCGCATAAGAGTACGCCGTACGACTTCGAGAGTGGCTGGATGACGGAGCACTTCTTCACGGGTGGAACCATGCCGAGCACAGATCTGCTTCATTACTTCCAGAGGGACCTGTACCTGCAGGAGCAGTGGTGGGTGAATGGCACGCACTATGCTAAGACATGCGAGGTAAGCCACATGAAAGAATTCGAGAGTTTTGGGTTTCTGACACCGCAACAGGACTGGCTGTCTAAGATGACCGCCCACAAGAAGGAAATCTGGCCCCATTTGGAAGAGACGTACGGCAAAGAAAACACTGCAACATGGTATCACCGGTGGCAGATTTTCTACATGGCTTGCGCAGAGCTGTTTGCGTACGAAGGTGGTGAGACATGGGGTGTCTCTCACTATCTGTTCGAGAAGCCAACCGACAGGGTTGAGTAAATAGCGAGTTCGAGATGCATCCATGGGCGCAAGAGCGTTGAAGCATGTGATTGAACGTTACGTAGAACTTTCGACAGATTTCTTCTAGAGTTAAGTGGCCTTGATCAATATCTTACCATTTCGACGTCTTCGAACTTAGAGGCCTTCATTGATAAAGGTGGCAGCGTGATTCGATGGAATATTCCCAGAAGAAAAGGGCATATTTTGTGAAGCATGCTCGCAAATGAAACCAAAGCCAACATTCTGTCGACGAAGTGCACGTGTACAGCAGGCGATAGGCAATTGTGGTCATCCCAGCCCAGCTCACACCAATTTCCCTGCCGAAGCAAGAGGTTCACCGTGCCATGGGCCAATGCGCACAGCATCGGAGCCAATCTCGGCAAAGCAGTTTCTGAGTATTAACGTCCGATGCATGACTGGCTTGGCGCGGAACTGGGTGCATCAGCCATCGTAGAAGGATATCAAAATCTCAGGGCTGCCTTGGATCTCTCAACGCAAGCTTCTCTTGCCTCAGCGTGCCACACGCGCATATGTACAAGCCGCAGTATCCGAGCGCCTTTCAATTGCAGAGAATTCTATTGTTCTGGTACATTCCCTTTCCCGAAACGTGCGCGTTCAGTGGTCCCACGGGTGCTTCCAGCCCATAAGCGCAGCACCGTCCTTCTTCGCGCGGTACATCAACTGCAGCTTCGGTCAGCGTCGGAAATGGCAACGGAGTCATGTCGGCGTACGAAGAACCACATGCTGGCGCCGAGGCCGGTCGCGAAGAAGCGGTAGAGCGGGCGGACGGGGTGGACGTGGATGGGGTGGCCGCCGTGGCCGTGAGCACCGGTAGGGCCAGCCATTGTTCGGAGTGTCTGCCGCGGAGGGAGTCAGCCAACGGGCGGCAGTGATCGGAGGCGATTGCGCGTACCGAGCGAGGGCTGGTGGTGGGCGAGGTGGAGTACGGATGTGCAGCTGTCGAGCACCCGGAAGCGCGAGGTTGCTTGCGGGCAGCACGGGCTAGCGGCGGGCGGGAGAGCCAGGAAGGCTTGGCGATCTGCAGCGATGGGAACAGAATCTCGCCCTGCACTGGACAACGCGTACCTTCTGAACCCTTGCCCGTCTGTCAAAGCCGTGCCGCCCGGTGACGCCCACTCGAGAAAGCACGCCGCCGCGTCGCCTCCGGCCATCTATCGCCCGCACGCGCATGGCAACTGCTGCGCCGACCGCCCTGTCTCCTGCCGCCGCCGCCCCGCCCACGCGCCGTCTACATGTCGCGACGACATAGGCAGATCGAGCCTCTTCGCCACGCCGACGACTGAACACTCAGACGCGAAACCACCCCGCGACGCTCCGGCAGCACCCCAATTTTGCAGCGCGTCCACCATGGCGCAAGTAGCTGCATCCTCTACGCCTACGCTGGGCCTCGCCCACCGCAAATTCCATGGCTGCTCCGGCATCCGCGACTATGAGATCATGGACAAGCTTGGTGAAGGCACTTTTGGGTAGGTTTCCACCCCGGCGCGTCCGATGCCGTTCCCGCGCTGACGACGGAAAAGTGAGGTCCACAAGGCGCGCTCACGCCGCAGCGGGACAGTCTTTGCCCTCAAGAAGATCCTCATGCACAACGAAAAGGACGGCGTGTGTACTACGACTTCCTGTGGTGTTGACAGACTCTGACACGACTATAGTTCCCCATAACTGCGCTCCGCGAGATAAAGCTGCTCAAGCTGCTCAGCCACCCGAACGTCCTCAAGTTGGAAGAAATGGCCGTTGAACGGACGAGGGGTGTGTACGAAATGCTGTTTGCTCTACGGGCTGGTGCTGACTAGGCTGTAGGTGAGGGAAGGAAGCGCGCGATATTATACATGGTGACCCCTTACATGGACCACGATCTTTCCGGCCTCCTTGACAACCCCGACGTCCGTTTCTCCGAGCCGCAGATCAAGTGCTACATGCTGCAACTTTTGGAGGGACTTAGATATCTGCATGATGTATGGATGATAAGGCAGCGCAGACAGAGAGTACGGTTGCTGACTTTTGCCATAGAACCACATTCTACACCGCGATATGAAAGGTTAGCCCAAGGCTGTTCTCCTTTTATTTCCACGCTAACACAACATAGCTGCCAATTTGTTGATAAACAACAAGGGTATCCTACAAATCGCAGACTTTGGTCTTGCTCGTCATTACGATGAGCCGGTGCCCAAGCCTGGAAAGGGCGGTGGCGAGGCCCAGCGAGACTACACTGCGCTAGTCGTCACTCGCTGGTATCGGCCCCCGGAGCTGCTACTCAATCTCCGTCGGTACACCACGTCAATCGACATGTGGGGTGCAGGGTGAGCCACGCGGTCTGGCCTTCATGAAACAAGCTAACTTGCACCAGCTGCGTTTTTGGTGAGATGTTCAGAAGAAAGCCCATTCTCGCTGGAAACAGCGACCTCAACCAAGCTCAGATCATCTTCGACTTGGTCGGCACTCCGACCGAAGAGAACATGCCAGGATGGAGCCTCCTACCTGGTTGCGAAGGGGTCAAGCAATTTGCGCCGCGAAGGGGCAATCTTCCCCAGGTTTTCCGAGAGTGGGTGAACACTTATTAGTATTCTGAAGCTTTGGCTGACGTTAAGTATCAGGCAAGGATCTTTGGCGATCTCGCTTCTGCAAGAGCTTCTTAAATTGGACTGGAGGAAGCGGATCAACGCGATCGACGCTCTTCAACACCCGTATTTCAAGGAACACCCGAAGCCCGCAAGACCTGAAGATCTCCCGCGTTTTGCAGATTCCCACGAGCTGGATCGCCGTACTGCTCGTGGCAAGCAACAGGCCCTGCCGCCCGCGCCCGCCGGTGGCACCGTCGGTATGGGACCTCACCCTAATGGTGATTGGCCCGGCGGTCCGCCGCCACATGGAGCATACATGAACGGAGACCGGTACCCTCGCGATCGCGGTCCCCCAGGTGCTATACCTCCAGGGCCTCCACGTGGGTACGACGGGCGAGGCGGGCCCTATGACCAACGAGGTCCTCGTCGTCAGCCGTGGGAAGCTGATGTGCACCGCCATACCAATCTACCTTATGCCGGGCCTCCGGGCTCGCGCCTCCCTCCGCCGCCCCCTGAAGGAAGCAGACACCCTCTGCCACATCCTCCCACAAATCGAGCCTATGGGACTGGTGTGGCCCGTCCTATTAGAGTCCCGGGAAACGTTGACACATACATACCAAGTTATTCTGACGGTGGTCGCCGTGGTTCAAATGATAGAGAAAGAGACGACCGCAGTTCCCGGGATAGGAGCAGACCTCCGTCCAGAGACAAACAAAGAGGATACCGGGATAGACGTCCCCGTGACGATGATGCGCTTGATTACGATGAAGGAGGACGGCGCAAGACGCGCAGCAGAAGCCCTGCAAGCGATGCTTACGAGCGCCGCGACCGCGATAGGGACCGCGACCGGCGCGAGCGAGAAAGGGATCTTTACAGGCGATGAGTTTCTAGCGGTTGTTCGTCACCATGTCATTCGGCGACAACGAAGCAGCACGACACGGCGCTACGGCAACGTGTCTGGGATGGCGTTGATGATTTCTTCTTCTTCACGGAATGGGCGGTCGGATGCATAGCGCGGCGCACCGGGAGGGCCATACAGCTTTACAAAAGTCGCAGCCGACAGAAATACCCCCCATTGGTAGAAGTAACAAGAGCTGATGACAGCGCACGACCTAATACAATGCCGCACGACGGAGGGTGGGCACGGTGCAGTGGTTCAATGTAAGCGCCGGGGAGTGGGCGCGGGCGATAAAGGTGGGTGAACCTTTGTTTCGATCATCGTCAGTCTTTATTCACTGCGAGGTCTCTCATTAGCGGCCGTTTTGCATGCTCGCGGTGGTTGTTCAGCATGCATGGGACATGTTTGCGCACTTCCATGGTGAAAGGCCCTTTCGGATGCGCTCATCGGGTTAAGTCGGCGCGTTGGCATATGTAATCGAAGAAAGTTACCAAAAGAAAGGAAAGTCATTGTTAAGAGTTGAGGAGATGGGGCGGGCGGAGGTATGTGTCAGTGGTCAGGATCTCTACGCTCGGGTGATTGACGAAGCCCAGTACCTGGCTGGCTATCTTGCCATGTGGTCCCGTGAGACGCCGGACAAAGGTCGCGCCTTCCGTTTACATTCACAGGTCCAAGTGCCGCTCTTCCCAAAACAGGCAGTGGCCGCCACAACAACACGCGCCGTGGACTATTTCAACTCCTCGCCCGACTCTCCCTCGCCCTCCTTCTTCATACCCGCCCACACTTACACTTGCCTACTTGTGCCAAAACTAAGTAAGGCATCGCTCACCCACCACAGTTGCTCCTTGACTCCACTACACTTGAAAATGGCGTTGGACAAAGACAAGGACAAGACCCTCTCGACGGCCGAGATAGAGGCCATGCTCAAGCAAAGCGAGAAGCAGGAACAGGCGGCGCACAAGCGTGCCACGAAGGCGGCCAAGCGCTTCGCCAAACATGAGCTCAGCAAGTTCACCTCGCCCAAGACCCATGGCGGTCGGAAGTCACTGATACATGTCCGTGTTTCGCAGCGGCCGAGGAAGAGGACTTCGCGACCGGGATTCGCAAGCAGCTGGCCAACGTGGGCGGTTACCTGTACAAGCCGGACTACCAGCATGCTCGCCTGAGGACGGAACCGCCGTGTAACCGACCCGAGCACTCGGAGTACACCAAGAAACAGATGAGGGGGGAGAAAGAAGAGGAAGGGAAGCAGAAGGAGAGGGTCGAAGATCCTGAGATGAAGACGACGGGCGTGAAGGACTTTGCGCCTCACAGCGGCCCGAGTGCCAGTTCTGGCTTGTCGACGAAGAAGAAGGTCGACGAAGCAGCCGAGGCTATCATGCCAAACATTCAGAGGCTGTCATTGTTTGCAAACCTTGAAGATTCTGAAAGTGATGAAGACAGTGTCATCTCCTCCGCGCCGAGCAAGGGCTCTGGTAAAGGTTCGCCTATGACCGCCATCCCCAATGTTGGTCTGAGCAAGTTCAGCTCAATCATGGGAACCACCGCCGTCGAGTCGTCCACTTCTCCCAACGCGAACGCTTTCAAGTCCGGCCAGACCTCATCTGCTATACACAACGACAAGCCTACTGAAGTCAGCTCTGCTGCTCGATCCCGTTCATCAAGTGCTGGCCAGGGTACGATAAAGCCTGTACATGAAAAAACTGGAGAGCTCGATTCAGCGGAGCGTGTTCATCCATGGCCGAATCTCTGGTCCGCCTACGCGCAAAAGCCCCCCACTCTGGCCCCAAACCAGTGGTCCATTATCAACGCTAACCTGAAAACTCTGAATGGACCGGAAAATGGCAGGATCAGCCCGTGCGACCAGGAGAATCTTGAGGCTTATAATCAGGTCCATGAAATCTTGGAGGAATCTTGGTTGGTGATGACCGGCCAGGTCCCACCTGATGGCAGCCTTGTCGCTCAAAAGATTGTGAAGCCTATGCTGCAGAAGGAGAAGCCCGACATGGGAGCAAGGCTGAGAGTCTACGAAGAGAAACTGACGCTCCGAAGAACAGTGCTGAAGCTACCTGGAGAGGAGTGGAAGCGCCTGTCGGGCGAGTCTGACAAGTCGACATCTTCTTCCAGCGCGCCGTCCATGGGAACGCCAATACCGCTCGCCAGCCCGCCATTCATGCCTTCCTCCCCTATGGGAACGGGAAGTCCGCTTACTAGGTCCTTCAACAGCCCGTACACTGTAGGCCCTGATGACTTCACAGATTCTCCGACCTCACCCAACACAAGCAAACGCTCGTCTGTATCAAACATGCGGGACTCGACCCAGTCCGACCTTCAGAACTCGGTGGATGAAGCTGACAGCAAGACCTCTTCGGCCCACTCATCCTTCCGTGGCCATCCGGGTGCTCAGACTCCCTCGAGGCGCAGTAGGTTGGCGTCATTCACCAGTGCTCTTAAGGTATCGAAGTCTCCCAAGAAGGGCTCTAAGTCACAGGACACCAGCGGCGCAGCCGGTCGAGACATCGTAATGACTCCCATTGATGCCCCACCTGTCCCGATCATCCCTGCGACCTTCAGTGCCCAGAACACTCCACAGACCTCGTTCGATACCACTGCATCTAGTACAGACACGCCACTCACCAACGCTAGTCCTCAAGTTCCGAGCCTGAATAGGAAGGTTTCTAGGAGTTTTGGCGGAAACCCCAGCACGTCGATGGCGGGTTTGATGAGAAAGAAGTCCACGTCCTTTGACGGTACCCTTGGCCTTGGAAGCGGCGAGCAGCAGACGAATCTGGAGTCTGCTGATGCCACCATGAACGCTCAACTACTTGCGGAGAAGAAACAGTCAGCTTCCTTCAGCGGCACATCGACCACTGGCGTGATGTCACCTGCGATCCCGGACCTCAGCATGTTCAGCCAGTCAGCAAGGACGCCGGCAACTCTAAGTTCTGCCGATTTCTCATTTGTTTCCGGAGCTGCCCGTTACACACCGAACGCTTCGATGACGGATCTGGGAGCCACCAAGCGTTCAAGGAAGCATAGCCGCACCTCGTCTGGTGTCAGTATGTCTAACAATGCCATCGATGCTCACCTCGATGAGCTCCTCAATGAGTACAGGGCCTGGATCGATGGCAAAGATGGACTCATGGATGACAATAGCAGACGCTCGGAGCGACCTGATGTCAAGGAGATCCTCAAGCCGATCGATTACGAGGAAATCCGCAAGCTCAAGCCTCGTGAGTTCGAGGCTATGGCTAACGAAGTCAAGAAGATCACGCACGCCGACCTGCGCGCCCAGGTTTTGAAGGAACATCACGATGCTCGCTTCCCGCCTGGTGTCCCTGGTCGCCCGGCGTCCTCGTTCGCTGCGCTCCCTTACCTTGCCCTCCGTATTGCGCGCAATGCCCTGGATGTTGTCAACGAACATTTTCTTCATCAACTAAACTGTGACTACGAAATCGAAAACCACCACTACTCTAAACGCGAGCGTGACTGGAGTGAGGCCTGTCCGGGTGCCGTGTATCCCTACCCGGGCGTCTCTCGTCCTACGAAGAAATCTTACCTCAGGGCGGGATACGCTGCTGCCTGGGCGACGCGGTTCGTACAGTGGGCGCAGGAGCAAGAGCAGTTGTGGAAGTACGAGAACATTGACCTGCCGACCATGGGTGAACCCGGTGGCGGCTTCAAGCGCCCGGGTCGCACGCTGGAGGCAAAGCTCTTGCTCAACATGGTCGACGAAGAAATGGACATCGATGGAAGTACGGGCGATCTTAAGGTTGAGGGCGAGGGTGCGATTTTGAAGGAGGACCAAGTGCGGGAGATGTTTGAGAGGCTGGCGAGGAGGGAAAACCAGAAGGGCACGAAGAAGGTTTGGGCAGCCTGTGAGGAGCAAGTCAAGAGGTTGGCGATGATGATGGACTTGGAGAAATATGAGCGCCTGGGAACGAGTGTTGCTACCGGCAGGTCTTCACCTGAGGAATTTCTTAGAACACGTCCCAAGGAGTCGGCGCTTGCCAGGGCCGGCCTGTACGCAGGCGTTTGAACTTGTTCGTCAAGGGTGGATACTATATTCACGGTTGCAAAGCCGGAACCTCTAAGCAGACAGATTGTTCGGGTGAGTGACTAGCGGATCCTTTACAATGACGATTGTAGGTTGGCGGTTGGAGGGGATCAGTTCCAAATAGAAACCCTGACAGTAGTTTGACTTATAAGAGCTCTAGCCTAGCGAGGGCTTAGGACTAGACTGCTATATAGAATCGAGACTGTCAAATCTCACCCGTTGCCACCCACCTTCTAGTAAGCACACGGAGCGCAGAAACAGCGGAGTGCATCCATTTCCTGAGGGGTTCGTATTTCGCATTCAAAGCTTCGCGTGCTTGCCACCCTTCATTTCCAGTTCCTCTTCCCTCTTGACCTCAGCTTCGATCTCGTCGTCCCAAGGAATTCTAAACTTGGCATGCTTATTGTTCAAGGAAACATTGACTTTGTGGTGCTCAGCGGTAGCGTAAACGATGCTGCCGTCCAGCGAAGTCATGTCGCCCTTTATCATGGCCATGGTCTTGCCGACTTGAACAACACGCGAAGTCAGAAGCACGGTAGTTCCAAGGGGAACCGCACGAAGATATGAAATATTGAGGGTGCGGGTAACGCCGCCCATGAAGCTACAGGGAGTCATCAGCCGAGAGTAGTAGTGAGAAGAAGAGCGGCGCACGCACAACCAGAAGTCCGGGCGCGACAGGGGATTTAGTGCGGAGGTGGTAGCCATGTCTGTAGCGCGTCAGCTAGCTCTGGCGGGGGAACCGACACGGCGGGACGGGGCGTACCAAATATAACTCCAGCAGCCCCACCGTGCATGACATCGTTGAGATTCGAGAACTCGTTGCCGATGGTCAGCTCGAACTGGACGAAGCCTTCGGGGCCGGCGTCGACGAGCTTCATCTTGTTCATCACCTCGCTGTCAAAGTCCTGTGTGGGGAGGCGAGGGTTAGCATGGGATGGCGGCTCAGGCGCGCGCATGGTTCTGGATGCGGAAACTGGCGGATGGTAGCACCAACCACATGGCCGTGTGGGCGCTGCGCAGCAATGAGCTTGTACCTGTGCGTCGCTCGTAAGCGTTGGGCGAGAGAGGCTGTGGTGGGGCAGCGCAATAATCATGGAGCCTACCGGTCGAACAGCGCCTGCACGGCACGCATGGCCTTCGCCCGGCCGTCAGCATTCGCACTCGCCATGGCTTGCGTTTCTGGGGGCGGACACGGCAGAGGCAGAGCTGATGAGCTGAGCTCAGAGGGAGCAGCAGGCTGATAACCACTGGTGCACTAGCGGAGCCCCTCCTCGCTTCGGCTCAGCCCTGGGAAGACACCTCGGGACGGCGGGGATCTACGGCTAGCGCCGTCGGTGGCGGCTGCTCGCATGCAATCCGAAACCCAATCACCGCGACGCGAAACAAGTGGTGCTGGCTGATCATACGTCCCACGTCCACATCTCGAGACCGAGCCCTAGCTCGACACGTATATACTTCGCATCCGCAGCTGGCCTGCTCCACCCTCTCTCACGTTCCCCCTTCCTTCTTGTCTCTCTTCACAGCGCTGCTCTCCCGTTAGAGCCTTTCTTCACCTCCGGCGCGTCATGGCTTCCCCCGCTCCACCCGTCACCAAAGAGGTCCGCCGCAAGGTGCTCAAGGTGCTGTTTTTCTCGCTGTTGCTGGACCTGGTAAAGACGCTTCGAAGCCTCCCGCTCCCGCCCAATTGCTCACAGCTCGCCCTGCGCAGATTTCCTTTACCTTCATCCTTCCGCTGTTCCCGAAGCTCCTCGAGTTCTACCGCGACCACGAAATCGCCAATGCCTCGTCCAACACCGTGCTCAACCGCGTGCTCTCCGGCCTGAACGCCTACAAGAACGCCTTCGCAAAGCCCATCAACGACCGCTACGACATCGTCCTCCTCGGCGGCGCCCTGGGCTCGCTCTTCTCCTTCCTGCAGGCCATCGCCTCGCCCATCATCGGCAAGCTCTCGGACAAGTACGGCCGGCGGACGGCGCTGCTGTGGTCCATGACGGGCAACATCCTGTCCGTCGCGCTGTGGGTCGCCGCGACCGACTTCCGCACCTTCCTGGCCTCGCGCGTCGTCGGCGGGCTGAGCGAGGGCAACGTGCAGCTGGCCATGGCCATCGCGACCGACATCAGCGACGACGCCCAGCGCGGCGCCACCATGGCCCTGGTCGGCGCCTGCTTCAGCATCGCCTTCACCTTCGGCCCCGCCCTGGGCGCCTGGCTGTCCACCATCACCACCGTCGCCGCCAACCCCTTCGCCACCGCCGCCGGCTTCTCGCTCTTCCTCATCCTCACCGAGACGCTGTACCTCTACTTCGCCCTGCCCGAGACCCTGCCCGTCGTGTCGTCCTCGGACAAGGCCACCGCGAAGCCGACAGCCAACGGCAACGGCAACGCCAACGCCAACGCCAACGCCAACGCCACGGCCACCAAGCCCGAGACCGAGACCACCACGGCGACTCCCCGCGCCCGCACCAACTCGCACGCCCTGCTCAACTTCACGCACTTCGCCTTCATCCTCTTCTTCTCGGGCATGGAGTTCTCGCTGCCCTTCATGACGTACGACCTGTTCGCGTACGGCTCGCGGCAGTCGGGCCGCCTGCTCGGCTTCATCGGCCTCGTCGCGTCGGTGCTGCAGGGGTCCGTCACGCGCCGGCTGCACCCGCTGCGCGTCGTGCAGACGGGCGTGCTCAGCTGCGCCGTCGGCTTCTTCCTGCTCGGCCGCGTCACCACCGAGAAGGGCTTGTACGCCGCGGCGGCGTGCTTGGCCGTGACGAGCGCGACCGTCGTCACGGGTTTGAACAGCTTGAGCAGCTTTGAGGCGAGCAGCGGCGAGAGGGGCGGCAAGTTGGGGAATCATCGCAGTTGGGGTAGGTTGCTTTGACTATCACCTTGCTTTTTTTTTTTTTTTTGTTTGCTAACTCGGTCGCTGCAGGTCAAATTGGTCGTTCCCTTGGCCCGCTGATTTTCTGCTCTCTGTACTGGTGGGCTGGTCGTGAGTTTGCTTACGCTGTCGGTGGAGCTGGCATGGTTGGTGTGTGCGGGCTGGTATTGGGTGCATTGAAGGCGCCGCCCGGGACAGAGGTTAAGAGGAAGAGTAAGGAGCAGCCCGCAGCGGGAGCGGAGAAGGTTGTGAACGGTAATTAGTGTTGGTAAATAGTGTGAATATCTCCATAATATATGTGCTTGAATATTTGCTTCACTGTCTGCCGAGTTTTCAAAATTTCACAAGTGCTGTAGTGGGGGTTGGAAATAACCGCTGTCCGTGATGGGTATGTATTTTTGTTTCTTTTTCTTGAGCGTACATAAGATCCCAAGCTCTCCCAAAAAATTGCCAGCCCAAGTTCCCGATAAACGCCAGTCGATGCTTCACATATGGTACAGAGGCCGAATGCAGCGGTCTGCCGTCTATTTCTTCCTCTTTCCCTTGAGTTCTGCGGCATCCGTTAGCATACAGTCCCAACCATACACCAAATCTTGACCAATTCTTACCTGGTGGACCCCTCTTCTTTTTCGGCGCGCCCTTTCCACGGGCCTTGAGCCTGTAAATCCACAGCCATCAGCACGCGTCCAATCGGATATCATTCCTCGCAACACCACCACCGCGACGATTTCCACCTCCACCGATGCAGTATCTCCGTTTTGACCACCTTTCCAGCCAGCGAGCAAGATGATGACGAGTATGATGACGTACGCAGCGACCTTCTCCTGCCTGTCCCACTCGTACGTGTCCAAACCCTCCCACTCCGGATACAGCTTCACGAGGTCGTTGAACGTGCCGATGCGGCGCGGGTAGTACGCCGCGACTGAGGGGCCCTTAAGGCGCTCGCGCAAGACCTTGGTGCCCAGACGGTGGCCCTCCGGGTTGAAGACGGTGTTGAAGACCTTGCATTGGACCTGATTATTTACTGTAGTGTCAGCCTTTGCTTCGCTTTTGGAGTGTGTGGGTGTTTCGGAGGCTGAGGCGGGTCCAATGGGTACGGAAAGAGGCGCGGAGGAGAATTCTACGCACCCTCATGAGGTCGACGATGCGCGCACGTGGGACCGCCATGGCTGCGCGTGAGGTTGGTGATGCTTATCGTTGATTCACCCGAGAGCCGTGCGGTCGTCGCGCGAAGTTGAGATGTAGGCGGTGAGTATTTTCTGCCTCTGGCGCTAGTACGCAGGAGGTATAGCTCCCGCTTTTCCAGCGGGGCGGCAATTCATCTCCGTCGCGTCACCGTCGGCAACGAACTTTTTTTGATGTCCACCGTCAACAACTACCTTGACTCGCCTCCACCAGCGCGCTCGCCAATTTTGTTGGAGCTTCCGAAGCTTAAACCTTGCATACCCGCCGTGCCATATTATACTACCAGCATTGAGCGGATCGACCGACCGGCGCCACTAAATCGCTCACCATGAACCATAACGGCGGCGGCCCCAGAGGGGGCGGCGGCCGCAACGCCAAACGCCCGCGACCAGATGGCCATGCCCATTCTCACGCAGACAGAGGCAGCCCACACAAGCGCGCTCGCGAGAACAACAGAAACAACCGCAACCCCCACCGCCAGAGAGCACCGCCGCAGCCATCCTCCTCCGCCGCAGCGCCCAACCTCGCCGCCATCACCGAGCTCCCCACGCCGCTCCCACCGCTCCCACCCATCAATGACCCCACCAACGCCACCCTCGCCTTCACCCATACATCCGTCACCAACTACGCGACCGAAACCTACGACCGACTGGAATGGTACGGCGACTCGGTCATCGAGATGGCCGCGACGGACCTGCTGTGGGACAAGTACCCGTCGCTGCCCGGCGGCCGGCTGTCGCAGATACGCGAGGCGCTGGTGAACAACGCGAGACTCGCCGCTTTCGCGCGGGGCTACGGGTTCGACGACATCGTTTCAGGCAGCGGCGCCGACAAGAACGACGGTACTAGCGGTGGCAGCCGTTGCCGCCTCCGCATCGACCCCCTCAGCTGGGCCAACGGCAACCAGACCAAGATCCTCGGCGACGTCTTCGAAGCGTACATCGGCGCCGTCGCGCTCGAGGACCGCGCCGCCAACAGGGCAGCATCATCATCCTCTGCCATCGACCCCGTCGACCGCACCACCCCTTTCCTCCGCGCCCTCTGGACCCCCTCCCTCTTGCCTACCCCGTCCTTCGCCGACGAGGACGACCGCGCACAGGAGGCCGTCAAGGCGGCGGCCAGCCGCGCGTTCGCTCCCTCGGGGACCGGCCTGAAGACGTGGTATGAGGACGTGGGCGACATGGAGTATGAGAATAAGGCGCAGCAGCGGTTTCGCGTGGCTTTTTACGTCAGGGGTTGGGGGCATGAGCGGTTGAGGTTGGGCGAGGGTGTGGGACAGAGCAAGAAGGTGGCGAGGGCGAGGGCGGCGCAGGATGCGTTGGATAGGAGGGAGAGGGAGGTGGAGGTGAAGGAGTTGGCGGAGCAGGTGGAGAGGTATTTGCTGGAGAGGAAGAAGAAGAGGGAGGCGGAGGAGGCGGAAAAGGCGGAAAATGGTGGCAAGGGGGAAGTGGAGGTGGAAAGGGATGGCAAGAAGGAGGTGGGGGATAGTTAGAAGGAGAAAAGTCAGAGGGGCGGTTAGTCAAGCGCTGTGGGTTGAATAGGAGAGATTCACTCTTCAGAGAGTAAAAAAGGTTCGGACTGCTGAGGCTGACTCAAAAGGCATACTTATTGGACGGAGTTATTCTCGGCTGGCATTGATTCGGTTTGTTGGTAATGATACCCACCCCCAGATGACAATATCACACCATCTTCAGCTAATGCTCCGGGCCGAAGTGGCTTTGGCCTACCTCGGGGTTCAAAGAACCGTCGTTGGCGTAAAAAGCTCCGCCTTACTCTTGTGACGGTAATGATGGGTGGAGAGATCATGAATTCTTCGGAGTTTGATATTTACACATATTCCCCACACTATCTTTTGGTATACATGTTCGCTCCCAGAAAAGGGAGTGGTCCTCAACTCACCGCATAGCAACCTCGGTAGGGCTACTTGGGTTTAAGACTAACGTGGGGGCGAAGATTCTACGGCAGGATATTAGACAACTACACTGTACTTCCCTTCTGGCCTTCGGACTCCATGGCAGGAAATGCCCCTCTCGGACCACTGCTTTCCTCGTTCATTCAAACTTGGCAGGCTGAAACACAGGTTTTCAACACCGAACTGGAGTACGAGCCAATGACCATACTACATAGGTCAATTGAAAACGTCGATTATACTGCCTACGACATTGACAATAAGGCTTTGAACGAGTCTGGGATGATGGCCTCGATTAAGTCTGCATCAGACGATGGATGCACTTACGGCCTGGCGAAATCTACTGAGGTGGCTCTCCTGGAAAGTGGTGGTGCCTCATGGGCTAGCATATCAAAACCCCTCAAGCCACCGTGGCCCAGGATCTCATTATATTCTTGGACGATAGATGATTCCATCCCTGGTACGATTTACATGAAGCATTCCGAGGAATACCAGGATAGAGAGTTGATTTTTCTAAGCACTCCTTGGCTTGCGCCCTCAAACGAGAGCTATTTAGCAAACTGGACGTTTGTATCTGAGTTCCGCGCGTCCGGACAGCTGTGCACTAACAAATACTACATGGCAAACATGACGGTCGTAGCACACTTCTCAGACAGCTCTTCTGAGTTGAGCTTCGATGTGAACGAGTATCGGAGTAAGCGGGTATCGGTACCAGACAGCCTCACTTTGTTGCAAAACGTGACACTGAACGACAACCGGACATCTCACATCTACCCTCCGTCGACCAGGTCCAGTCCACGTTTCGGTGGGCTTTCTGTCCTGCTTGGCGCTCTTCACAACTTTGATGTGGGGGGAATCATTGATGACCATGACTTGGTAACTCAAGCAGCGAAGATCAAACAGAGATTCTTTGGAGAATTGCTCCAGTCGTCCTTGTCGCGTCGAGGAGCCTCGAACACCGAAACCATCGAAGGCCGCACCACTGTGGTCAATCGACGGATATGAGCTTCACAGCGGCAGGACCCCATTCACAAACAATTTCTTGGATATGTCGTTCCTCGGCAACCCTTCGCGGCCTATTTGCTGCACCAACGACTTAGCCGGTGCATCCGGACAAGCCAACGCCGCCATCGGATACTGGTCTCCGCTCGACGCAGCAGACTTCCCGTTCCCGTCAAGCACATGGCCCCGAAACTTCACAACGAAATGGATCTACGGCGACCTACGAGGCGGCTACAACATGTCAACGAAATAACGCGGATCCGGCTCCGTCTCCAGCTCCCCGGAGCACTTAGTCTACAAGAACAAACCATCAATCCAAGCCCTCCACTGCGCCCCGATCCTCGAGTCGGCCACAGCCTCGGTCACCGTCGACCAAAACACCAGCAAAGTCCAATCCTTCACCATGCTCGACCTGCCCCTCGCTCTCTCCGCGCCGTGGACCGACGGCCTCCTGCGCCACCTCTCCACCGCCAACCGCACGTCCGACGCCGACGCCGTCACGTACAACGTGACAGCCAGCTACGGCGTCCTCCTTTTCCTCGCCTCGCTCTTCGGCGCACCCGACACGGCCGGCTACGCCGCCGAGAACCTGATCGACAACCCCTTCAACGTCCGCGACCGTGACGCCGGCCTCAACGCCAATCGACTTCATGGCGTACGCCATGCCCGCGGCCACGCTTCCACCACCGCTTCCACCGCCGCTGCTGCTGCTGCCGCCGCCGCCCTGCTCGACGCGCGCGCGCTGCACGACCTCGCCAACAGCGACCTTTGCGACCTTCCAGCACTTCGGAAAAGCGTTCTAGACAAGACGTGCATGTGTTCACCCAGCACACTCAAAGGCAGACCGACCTGGATATTATCTGAACAACTTTCCGCACGCCGTTCCCAGCTCAATCTATTATGTTTCAGCACGTAATTGCCCTCCGAAGTGTTTATGCACAGCTTCTTCTCAGGACGGGCAAAAGGTCATGGACCTAATGCCCAGTACTTCTCGGGTTGCCGAGGTGATGTGTGGAAAAGAGCTCAAGATATGTGGTCTGGAAAAAGTCAGAGCTGGAAGGTTGCGGACATGGGGATGTATTTGCCTGTGTATGTATTGCGAAGCTAAAAAAAAAAATCGTTGGCGTCATGAGTATTGCTTCCTTCCGAATGCACCAAGCCGCACGAAAATCAAGCCATAGTTCCATCTATGCAGATCGCCCCTTTGAGTCCTCCAGAGGGCCTCTCCGGCGTGAGGCCTTCCCCCTAAACCCCCGTCCCAAATCTCGACTGCTGGAGGGGCGAAATTTCCCCATCCGAACAGCCTGATCTTGAGCCTTCCGACTCTGCTCTAAGCACACTCACCACCGGTGCTTCCTTTCCCCTTCCATTCTTTTCAGCCTTCTCGTCAAACATCTCGTCAACCGACGCCGGCGGCGCCTTCAACCTCGGGTGTGTCCGGTCGCTCAGGTCCAGCACACCAAGCCTCTCCCGACTCTCGGTGACAGGCACGTCCTTGTCGCACCGCCGCCAAGTGCCCAGTCCGAGCTCTTCGTGGGCCATACGCTGCAGCTGCAACGTCTCGTTCAAGCTCCATTCAAGCCGGGCGTAGACGTCGAGGTTGCGGCGGCGCTGGATCCACGCGACGAACGGCTCCAGCGTGTATGAGACGACGATGATCAAGCCGCCGATGACGAGGATGGTGGCGAGGCCGAAGACGGAGAAGTTGGTGTAGGCGGTGCTGAGGATTTTCTGTAAATCTGCAATCAGTTTTGCTCATCGCGCTGGACGGCCTGGTGGCGGTGGTTCGACAAACCTGGTTCTTGCACAACCGCTTCTCCGCGCCCGTCGACGCCCTGTCTAGCCAGCGGTCCGCGATCCGTGAGTCCGAAGGCCCGGCTGCCATGCCGACAAAGTCTCGCTGCATGAGCGCCAAGCTCGCGTTGTTCCACTTCTCGACGTCGAGCTGCCACTGGTTCGGCGGAAGGTAACCCACCTCTCCCCTGTATGTGCGAGAGAAAGAATCCAGCCCGGACGGCCCCAGCATCTCGATCTGGGCCCCGAACATGTCGAGGGGCCCGGCTATGACCCCCAATACCCACTCAAACATTTCCAACTGTCCATCGTCTTCCCACAGACTCTTGCCAGCGCTGGAAACATCGCTCCATCCGGCTAGGGGTGTGCACCCAACGCTTTTATCCAAGCTGGGGTTGCAGAATTGATGCTGCACCGTGAATCCCATTGGAGATGCTACCTCGTCGCCCCAGTACACGTCGGTCAGGCCATCCGTCCCTTTGTGTTGCGATTCGCCCGCCTGGCTGTGCGCAGCATACCACGGATCGTCCACTGGCTGAGAAAACAAGACGGTGTTCGTGGACAGGAAGAACAGGTAGACGTATGCGTCAGTCCTTGCAAGCTTCTCGATTGGTTGAAAGCCCGAGTCCTCCTCATCCAGAGAGCCGTTGGTGAACGTAGCGCCAGTCGCCCTACGAAAAACGTTAATAAGAATAAAATCAGGATCTAAATTGGGCTTCGTCACTTACCCTACATCGAAACTCGCCGGGGGGCCTGTGAAATCCGTCGATGCGAATTCTTCTTTTTGGAGGACCGCGTGTTCGTACGTGTAGTTGAAAGTGGCGTCGCCTTTCAACCTCTGCCCGTAGTAGTAACGCATGTAAGGAGTGGAGAGATTCGGGCCGAGACTCGGCACTTGCTCTTTGTACCCCTCTGTCACCAACGGAGCGCAGTGGATGACTCGTCTGTACTGGTAACGGTGACTTGTCGGCATGTTCAGGCCGAAGTCCTGGTGGCTGTCGAGATAGCCCGTGTCCAGCAGGATGTTTGAGTCCTGAGACTTGCAGATGTCGGCCTCGAATGGACAAGTTGCGTTTCGAGTGACCTTCGTGGGAAGGTTCGTTTGCACGAACCTGTCGCAGCCTTCGTTGCTCTGAGGATTGACGTAGCATTGTTGTGCGTAAGTGGCGCTGGAGGCGTACAGTTGAGACAGGTATGGCAAAAGAAGAGTGCTGAACTCCGTGTCGTTTTCGGTCGATCTCATTAGGGTCAGACCGCAGTCATTGCTTGAGACGAGCACCGCGTTCCCAGTAATGGTCGAAATTCGAGATGAGTAAGTACTGGCAACAGCGAAGGCTGCCAGAGTCAGCAAGGCGAATGCTAACGATGGTAGGATCCGTTGGTAGCGCCTCCCTGGAGATGGTGTTTGTTGCCATGCGTAGAAAATCTGAAGGAAGCTTGCGAGCCCGGTCGCTGCATTCGCCGAGTTTCGGAGCACTGCTTGTCGTTGGTGGTAGAGGGCGTCGCCTGAGGATTTTGTAGAGCAGACGGAATGAAAAACGAAGCAGCCGATTCTCCAGAAGTGGGTTCCAACAATCGTCACGAAAAGAGAAAGGAAGGCGATGAGAAGACTCCCGCTCGTGCGCGTTGTCGTCAGAGTGGCGCCGAAGATTTTTCCGCGGGACCAATTGGTCCAAAGGCCCGTGTAGATGTCATAGTACGTCGTCGAGTCGGGAACCGCAGACAAAGCGTCCATCTTGAACACGAGAAGGGGTGTATTCTGTGGGACATAAGACCGAAACATGGCTTCGCAAACGCAATATACCAGCGACAAGCGGCCCCCACCAGGCCGCGAGCCCTAGAAGGCTACCTTGCATGCTGTGTAATAGTCGATGTGGATTTTCAACGGGGATATCGAAAGGCTTGAACTATTTTAGACGAATTTGCCTAAAGTGGAACCAATCGTGTCATCCATGTATATCTTTGGTGGGGTTGTCTGACGACGCTACCCTGTCAGAAGCTTGCTTCGCCTTGCCAAGTCACCCAAGAGCCCATCCACTCTCAGCTTCTTTGCATAAAGGTACTTCCGAATGTGTAGAAAGTAGCTGCATGCAGTCGATATTGGCACTAAGAAAAGGCAAAGAAAATCATAGGCAACGAGACCATGCCAGAACTCGGGAGCCGTGCGACTACTTTTCCCCATTAGGGCAGTTTCAGAACGGCGGAAACCTACCTAAATCCAAGAATGCAATCCCAAGTAATTGGTGGAGAGAAGTGGCTCACAAATACTTGTTTTGTTACATTTGTTCACAGTAGCTTGTTATTCTCTGAACATACGGGGTTTCATACTTATACGTGATGCTTGGATGGGCGAAAGGAACGACTCAGTGATGAAAATTCAGCCTCGGGCCTAGTACGGCCTCGCAAAGCACGATGATCACAACCAGGACCCCGTTTTTTACCCGCAATACTACGGTGCTTCGGAGGATTATTGCGGGAGGATTATTGAGCGCGCTTGATGATGACATGGATCACATGCGCATATCACGGAGTTAAGTACCGGACTTTGTAGCGCCCGCGGATGGGCACCATGGACTGTTACAAATACCTAGATTACCCGTCAAACGGCTTGCTATGGCAAGGAGACGATGAAGTTTTGTAGAAAGCGGGTTGAGAATGATCATAGCTATAGGTTTCAAACCTTTTAGTGGCTCGCTCGTGTATTATACGTATGGTATCCGGAATGGGAAGAAGAACACAAAGAAAACATTGATTAAGACTGGCCAGCCACATGCTTGTGGTAGTGACCCGGCATCTCTTGCATCCCTCCTGTAGCGTCCAGCTCGACGTGTCTCATCGACTCGAACATGCCCTGCTGCTGGCCCGCACCGTTCGGCCCCTGGTGCCATCCGCCCTGTCCGTCCGGCACCATGGTCGTCCGCCTCTTCCGCTTCTCCGCCAACAGCAGCCAGAAGACGGTGACGAATGCGATCAGCAGCGGCACGCCTATTCCCACACCGACGCCGGCCATCTGCCCGCTCGAGAAGCCGTCTGTGCAGTCTGACCCGGCGGCACTGCTGCTGCTGCTGCTACTGCTGCTGCTGCTGGAATCACTCGATAGTTGGACCAAGGGCGTGAAGTTGGCTGAGATTTTGAACGTGACGGCCGAGTTGGTGCAGTCTTCGCTGCCGCATGTCCATGTCGAGCCGCTGGACGCGTTGCGTTCGCAGAGGGTGATGGGGGCGCCGGCGCTTGGGCTGTCTGAAGATTGGGCGTGATCAGTAAGAAGTGTGCGAGGGTAGGTGCTGTGGGGAAGTCGGGAAGCCGTACAGTCTTGACATTGCTGTGCGCAGGCATCACTTTTCCACGACGAGTCGGTGCAGGAACCGCGAGAGAAGAGGCCTGCTTTCAGGCAGAGGCCGTTGGCCATGCACGTCGATCCCGAACCACAGCATGCCGAGTTCTCGGCGGACGAGTCGCACGGCGTGTCGTCAGACTTGGTGCTGCCGTCCGGGTAGTAGCAAGTCATGGTTGCTGAGGCTCTCCGGGAAAGTAAGCAATGCGAATGTCTTGGGAAAAAGCTTGTGTCAGGAACGGAGATCAAGAGCGGGAAGCGGTGTTGAAAACAGTCGTTGGCGGTCTACCTGCAGGCCACTGGCGGAGATAACATGCGAGGGACGATCCTTCGTAAGCAGGAAACCTCCGAGATACTATTTTCAGTGGAGAGTCCGTGTTCTTGTCAAGCAATGGATGGGGGCCAAAACCGTATGTCCAACCATGATAGGCTCTTGGGCCATGTCGCGTCCACGCGTTCAATGGATTTATGGGGATCACTCGGAGTTGGACCCACAGTAGGACAGGCCATCAGTTTCCGTCTCGTCTTGCAACAAAACCCCGGACAACTGCCCGTCTAACAGTTCTTTGGCTTAAAGTCCCGCTTCTCACACTCGAGGGCTCGAAACGCATTATTACGGCGACACCCACTGCCCAATGCAACGACATACAGGATGCTCAGCAAGCTTCATGCGAAGCCATGCGTTGAGACACGCTTTACTCTTGAGGTCTGCCTCAAAGCGAAGATCTACTACACCTCGGATGCTTAGTAAAGCAAAGACGGTAAGACCAGTAGGCTGCAGATATGTTGCGGCACTGCAGTCTTTATACGGAGCATTGACCTCCTAAGCGCTCTGCTGCTATTGACCTTGATAGTGGAATGTCCACGACGACAGAGGTCTTGTATCATCCTCAGCCCGTCCTAGCGGCCGCGCACCTGATCCTTTCGGGACTCGGTCGAGCCCCCGATTGGCCCGAGCGAGCGTGTGGGGCTCGGCTACGGCGCTGGGGCTGCCCCTTATGCTGACCATGGTTACTCCTATTTCGGCTCCTGCAGACTGGTCTCACACGGTCTCACACTTTCCCTTGGTGTTTCCTAGCCGCGCCTCCCTTGGACTATGAACGCATCATCAACGCAATCCTGCATACTCTGTTCCAGGATCTTCTCGCGTAACCAGGGCCGCTACTCGCCGTGGGCGCTGCTCTGTTCGAGCTATAGTGGGGTCCGCCATACTGTAGCGCGGCTTATTCTCGAGCGATCGGCGCGGGCCGGGTGCAAACTATGTCGGCTACTGTATATCACGGTGCTGGAGGCAGACCAAAAACAGGCCCAAGTTGAGCACGACGAAAGGAGCAACGGGCATCTGGAAGAGCTGGACGAGCAGGCCAACTCCGAGGAGATCAATTTCCAGTTCTCGTTTGAGAAGAGATACGACGAGAACAGCACCAAGATCATCCGCCCCGTCCTGCACGTCACCCGCCTCGACACCATCTTCTCCCGGACCCTGGAATTCGATGTAGGAACCGTCGATGGTGCGCCAATGCCCGTGCTGCATGAGGAACTCGCCATCTTTGCTGACCGACTGCGCCAGGCGATCCTCTGGGCGAGCCACAGGCCATAGCCGTACCGCATGTGCTTTCCATCGCCGACGACAAGCTGCGCGCCTCGTTGCCCGTCCGCAAGCAGACGTCCGACAGGGGCACGCGAACCATCTTCCAGATGATCCAGGGCTGGGTGAAGTCGTGCGACGAGCGCCCCCCGGAGAAGGACGTCGCCCATTGCTGCTCCCTGAGCCCGACGGTGCCGACCCGGCTGATTGACATCTCTGGAGCGCCCCAGAAACTCCGCCTGGTTGAGACCGGAGGCAAGGCGCACGCGGCGTATGCTGCATTGAGCTACTGCCGGGGCGAAACAGAGCCGCTCAAGACGAGCCAGGACACGCTGGCCGCGCACATGGACGACATCGCCATCACCAAGCTCCCCTGGATGTTCCTGGACGCCGTCAAAACCGCGCGGTGGCTGGACCTCAAGTACATCTGGATCGACTCGCTGTGCATCATCCAGGACGACGAGGCGGACCGCGAGCACGAGATGGCGCGCATGCACAACGTCTTCCAGAACTCGTACGTCACCATCGTGCCGGAGCGGGCGCGGTGCTGCCGCGAGGGCTTCCTGAAGGCCGACAACCTCTGGAACCCGCTGGCGACGCTGACGGTGCGGTGCGAAAGCGGCGAAAAGGGCAAGATGCTCCTGACGCAGAAGAAGGACAACCTGCCCCGCGACGAGAACCACATGGCGCGGGAGCCGCCGCACGAGCGGGCGTGGACGCTGCAGGAAGTGGTGCTGTCGCCGCGCGTCCTCATCTACACGCACGACTCGGTGGTGTGGAAGTGCTTCTGCCACGACAAGGGGCTCGTCTACAACTCGCTCACGGGCGAGGCCATGGGCCGCGACTGGAACGGCTACTGCGCGTCGGCCGGGCTGACGACCATGCGGCTGTGCCCCTCGGGCGTCATCCTCCAGCCCTCGGTCGCCGCCACCATGCCGTCCTTCCTCCTCCGCCAGCTCGACCCGGGCGAGAGCGGGAAGCTCGGCCGCGCCCAGACGCGCGCCCGCCAGCTGTACCGCATCTGGGAGTTTCTCGTGCAGGACTACTCGAACCGGCGGCTCACGCACCCCGAGGACAAGCTGCCCGCGCTGGCGGGACTGGCAGCCTACTTCCAGCGCGCCCTCGGCAGCAACAACAACAACAAGAACAACCGCATCAAAAACACCAACAACGAGGAAAGCAGCGACAACAACGACGACGCCGCCTACGTCGCCGGCCTCTGGAAAGGCCACTTCATCCACGAGCTCTGCTGGACCGTCGACACCAAGCGGGCCACGGCGGCAGGGACGCGCGTGGTGCGGCACACGTCGGCGACAGGCACCTGGCGCGCGCCGTCGTGGTCGTGGATGTCGATCGACGGGCCCATCGCCTTCGAGGCCAACCGGCACACGACCTTCGAGACGTCGTCGCACATCAAGCGGTTCCGGTGCGTGGCGGAGCCGCTGCTGGCGCACGCGCCCTTCTCGCGGCTCGCGCCCGGCGCGCACGTCGACGTCGCCGGCCTGGTCCTGCCGTACGACGCGACCGAGGACTGCCGCGTCGTCTTCGACGTCGACGCCGCTGGCGGGTACGGCGGCGGCGGCGCGAGGGGCAGGGCGCGCAGCAGCATCGGCGAGATCGTGTGCACCAGTCCGGCGGGGGCGAAGCCCGAGCTGTGGCTGCTGCTCGTGGCGACGTGCCAGACGTTTTCGAGCCAGAAGAGGCAGGGCAATCTGCTGCCGAGCGGGAGTATTTGGGGGTTGGTGCTGCAGCCGGCGGCGAAGACGGCGGAGGGGGGCGGGCCGGCGGATCAGTCGACGGGGGCTTTTGAGAGGGTGGGGTATTTCACGGGTGGGTGGCGCGCGGCGCAGCAGTTTCCGGGGAATGAGAGGGAGGTGAGGATCATTTAGGGAACACGGTAGGTGCTGCTGCCATACCCCTAGCGTAGAAATACATGACTTCTGTTTTGATTGGCCAATCGAGTCTCGATAATACCAGCACTAAGCCGAAATCGTCAGTCCGATATTTCGCCAGCCCTCGAACCAGTCTTCACCTCCACACAACCCTTCTCTTGCTCACCTGCCATCTTCCCATCCCCGACGAACTCTCGACACGTCAACACTGTCACCCCTTCCTGAGGCCGCATGGAACTCGACGCCGTGTCATGCGCCATGGTTCGATAGCGGAGCTTGCGGCGAACATGCCGCAATATCCAACTGCCCAATACTCGACCACTCTTCGACATATGCCACCGCCTCAACCTATTCCAAGCAGCAGGTCCTCAGCGGACTTGATGCCTTCCCTGGGAGATTAAACCGCTCGCTGTGATGCTGATTTGGCTCCATCGCCGAAGCCGTGCACTACTTTCGGCATAGTGCTTATCCTTCTGCTGCACAACGACTATATCGACGCGTGGAACCCGCAAGCCCAAACAGTGGTTCAGCTATGTGGCCATGGAGTTCGACTACGAGCCGCTGGACGAAGCACGCAACGAAATTCGCGTGCTCTCTTTTTCCCAGCCTGACGACACACCGCCTTCGCCCGAGCATGCAGACCTCGTCCGCTGCACCCTGGAGCGCGTCTCGCTGGATGAGACGCTGGACCACTACTCGCAATTTGTCGTGTCGACGCCGCCGCTGTCGCGCCGCAGCAGCTATGACCTCTGGCATGAGGAGACCAACAACCGCTACCGCTCGCGAGGAGCCGACACCCCGCCCGACCGCGCTTCTGCCCATGCCCGCTACCACCGCTTCGCCTGGGGTGACTACGGCGCCTTGAGCTACACCTGGGGCGACCAGTCGCAGTCCCGCCCCATCCTGCTGAACCGCGTCCTCTTCCTCGTCCGTCCCAACCTCGAGGCCGCTCTACGCCGCCTAGCCCGCTACCCCGACTACGCCAACGGCTTGAAGCTATGGGTCGACGCCATCTGCATCAACCAGCGCGACCTGCGAGAGCGCAGCCGCCAGGTCCGCCGCATGGGCGACATCTTCAGCCGCGCCCTGATCGTGACCATCTGGCTGGGCGAACTGTCCGACACCGAAGGCATGTCGGAGCTGCAAGGCCTCGTCTCGCGCTGCCGGGACCCCTCCACCACCCACGACGCCGTCGAGAGCGCCCTCGCCGACCCCGACCTCAGCTCCGCCCTCCACGCCGCAGTCGACCGCCTCGTCACCGTCACCTACTGGACCCGGACGTGGATCATCCAGGAGAAGTGCCTCGCCCCGTCCAACGCCTCGCTCCTCTTCGGCCCCCACGTCTTCAGCCTCATCCCGCTGCGCAACTTCCTCGCCTGCGCCAACAACATCGCCGGCGCCATCGCCAAGCGCGAAAAGGCCTGGCACATCCTCCAGCTCATGGACCTCGCCGTGCGCCACCAAGAGCGCCAGCCCCTCCAAGACCAACGCAGCGCCGCCGAGCAGCGCGCAGCCGACACGGACGACCTCGCCCTGCTCCTCATGCTCGGCCGCCTCGCGCACACGACGGACCCGCGCGACAAGCTGTACGGCCTGATGGGCCTGCTGCCGCGCCCCGTCGCCCGCCACATCGACCCGGACTACGCGCTGCCCGTCGCGCGCGTCTTCGCCGACTTCGCCGCCGCCCTCGTCCGCGGCCTCGGCTCCCTCGACCTCGTCCTGACCGGCCACTCGCCGCCTGGCCCCTCGTCCTTCGCGTCCCCCTTCAACGCCGTTGTGCCCAGCTGGGTCCCCGACCTCGCCGACCGCTGGGACCCGTACCTGTGGAGCTCGGGCGGCTGCGACGCCACCCGCGGTCGCCACGAAGGGGAGGAGATGATGATGGAGTGCGACATCGTCGACGCCGGCCGCGTGCTCGTCGTCAAGGCCTTCTTGTGCGATGTCGTCGCCGCCACGGCGCCGCGGCTCGGTTGGGCCGAGGGCGTGCTGAGCGTGCTCGCCGAGGGCTGCTGCGACGGTGCTGCTGTCGCGCCGCCGCAGCCGCAGCCGGACGCGGATCTCAAATCCGCCATCGTGCGCACGCTGCATCGCGATGCGTCGCTTGACTGTTACGGTTCGGCTACGTTGCTTGATGTGCCGTGGTTGGATGGGCTGAGGCCGTTGGAGGAGGAGGAGGAGGGAGAGGGAGAGGCCGCCGCCGCCGACGACGACGACGACGACGGCGGCGGCGGCGGGAAAGAAGGAGGAGGAGGAGAAGGAGGAGGAGAAGGAGGAGGAGGAGAAGAAGAGCAGAAGCGGCGGCGGCGGCGACGACAAGTACAATCGCTTCTCGCCCGCGGCTGGGGCCCCATCTTGCGCCACGCCAATTTCGCCGACTTCCAACAGTTCCGCGCGAGACTGGACGAGGCGGGCTTCGCGCCGTGGCCGGGCCGGAGGTTCCGCGACTTCTTTCCGCGCGCGGTGGACGACGACGAGGTACCGGACGGATTGATGGAGAGAGGAGCGGTGGAACTGGAGGATCTGTCGCGGGACGACGGCCGCCGCGCTGAGTTCGTCGCCGCGCTCGACAGGCACGCCGGCCTCGTGTATCCCGTCTTGACTACTCGGCGGGGGCTGTTCGGGACGAGCGTCCATCCGACCCAAGTGGGTGATGTGGTGGCGGTTGTGTTGGGGTGTTATGCGCCGGTGTTGCTGAGGCGGGATGCCAGTGGCGATGCGTGGAGGGCGGTGTCGCATTGTTATGTGGAGGGGTTGATGAGGGGGGAGGCGATGGGGTGGTTGGAGAAGGGGGAGGGGGCGTTGGAAGTTTTGAGGATTGTGTAGCGGGATGCTTGCTTTGTTCCTCAGGGGTGATGTCTCAATTTAGATTTCATAGTCTCTTGAAGCTTTGCTCCATGACTCTTCGTTTCATACGCACAAAGCTGCGTTTGGAGTTGAAAGTTGATTACATCCCAAGTGTACATGATCCGGATGTGACCCCTTTTTGTATTCATGTACCAGTCAGAGGAAGCTATTCCACTTTAACCCTCCTATAGCCGCGCAGACTTGGGAATGCTTGAGAAACCAATGATACCATGCATCTCCTAACGTTGGCTGCGCTAATCACCATTATTTCATCAATATCAATGTCAATCTGCGAGTCGGCCAAGGTAGTGTCGGGAAAGCACCTTCTCAAGAAATGTTTCGGACCAGCCCTTAAGGCGCGATGAGGCCGTTCGATTCGAGTGTGAGTTCGGCCTTGGAGTAATGCTCCATCATGAATTCCCATTTGCCGGAATTCCAATTAACAACCAAAGATTTCACGTTTTGATTCCAGTTATTTTTGCATGTACCGGATAATCCTCCTTCGGTGAAGTGCACCACTCGACGTGACAGGCACCACTCTTGGATAGCCCAGCCTTTCTTTCTCAAAGGGCCGGAGCAAGGAGAGCAGTGACTAGTCTGCTTTACATTCATTTGACCTAGAATGCACACGCGACGCCGAACAATAGTATGTTTGCTGATGGGGTCGTGGTGGTCTGTCCATTACCTTTTGAATTCACGACTAAGCGAACAGTGATTACATGGGCTGAGCCTGTGGTTGTTCGTGGAGATGGTGTGCTGGAAGTGGAGTGAGAAGCGCAGATCAAGAAAGGTGGGAGGGAACGCTTGAAGGTACTTGTGTACTTCTGGCTTCAATGCGTACGTTCAATATACAGGGGTTATTTAGCGCAGTTCCATAAGTAGATGTCCTGCAGATACGATATAGCGCTCCAAGACCCGGTGGATGCGAGGGCGTGACGCAGGCTGCATGTATTTGCGGCTAAAACTGTTGCTGCCTAATTGTGCGGTGCAACGCAGGGCGGCTTATCAGCAGCCAGCACTCAGCCCCCTGCTCGGTGGGGGCCACGACTGGCCACGGATGGGCTGTGCCGCACAGGACACCTGCACATGCGGCTGAAGAATCTCTAGTCCTGCCTGTGTGTGGGCCTGCCCGGGTCGCTTGACCTGCTTCGTGTGCTGTCACTGACGGCAACGTTGATTAACCCGGCCGTTTGCATCCCAGGTGTTGCGACGACGACTGCCGTTTCCCTGCCTCATTCGCCTTTCCTGCTCACACTAGTCCCCTGCCGTTTATCGACGCTTGCCATGTGCAGCGCTCGGCAGACGCAGCGTTTCTCAAATGTCAGCAGTACGTTGTCTCTCCGACCACATTCTCCCGAAACGCTGGCTTCGGAAACTGGACCCTCGCCAGAAAAGGAAAAAATTCCTGCGTCTTTGCGCAGAGATACGCGGAGCTCTTCGAGCGTCCATGTGCCCTCCCGGCGACCCTGAACGGCAATTTGTCTCCGCGGATGCTTTGAACACGGTGTGGCTGTACCGGGAGGGAAGAAGTGCGAGTCGGCTCGACCTTTTCCACAAACAGCTCACAGCGGCAGAGCGAGATCCTGGCATAAATGAGAGATACCTCAAGTTACTCTCGGTGCTGGTCTGGATTCAATATCCCTACGAAGCATGGCGGGAATTTGCGAAAACCTTCCCCGAACTCAGCATCAGTGATCGCCAAGGCTGGCAAGACGACAAGTTCCCTTTCCAAGATGCGAAGCCCTTGCACGCTCTCTTTGAGAGCGAGATCGATTTCGATACCCACGGCCAGAGTTTCCTAAGGAACCAGTATCTGTTCTCACCCGCACGCATCCACGAGTTGCCACTCTCGGACTCCGAAACTGGCATCAGGCCCTTGCCCGACTCGATGCGCTTGCCCTTCCTGGATGCAGGAAAACTGCTCCATCATGGTACCCACAAAGTCACGAGGCGCAAGGTGGCCAAAGGAGAGATCCAGACGTTGAATGGAGAGCCCCTGCCATTGGTCGCCGTGAAGACGTTTTCGCCCGACCAGAAACGGCAATTCCTCGCCGAGCTGTATAATCTGAAGCTGATGAAAAAAGCCCCCTTGATCCATCCAAATATCCAATCCTGTTTCTCGGCCATCCAGATTGGCTCGACAGGTCATCTCATCTTTGAGCCCGCAGAGTGCAACCTCTCTCAAATCCTCCACTGGCAGGATACCTTCTCCGCAAGCTTCTGCGAAGATATCCGGCGCGATCTCCGCCCGAGCTACTTGCTCTGGGAAGCAAAAGATCTGAGCGATGCTCTTGACTGGCTGCACAACGGCTTTAGGCCTAGAATGTCGTCCGACATATTTAGGTGCTACCACCTCGACTTGAAACCGGACAACATACTGGTCTTCCCGCCGACCGACTCAGCTGTACACGGCGATATTTGGATGTGGAAGATAGCCGACTTCGGTGGATCCGCAATCAAGAACATGCGCGACATAGCGCAGGACAACCCCGACGACAACGGCCCCGCCATCGCCACGATTGGACGTCTACGCACCGGAGTATATCAAGCACCCGAGATCGAATCCAGGGAGCACGAACCCGGCACAGCTGCTGATATTTGGTCATATGGCTGCATTCTGTTGGAGATTTTGGCTTTCGCTCATGGGGGACCCGGTGGCGTGAAACGCCTTGAGGGAGTTCGCAACGGTACCACTACCGGCCGGTCTCACTTTTACGATTCAACGTTTGCCCTCAGAGCAGATATCCGCTCGTGGATAGATGAGCTGGAAATATTCGACGAGGGGCTGTGCGAATTTCGGGAACAAATCTATCGCCTTCTTCACCAAGACCCTGCAGCCCGCCCAAACGCTCAAGATCTCAAGAGGCCCTTCGAAGCTGCCTGGGATAAGGTCAGCAAAGGAACTGCAAATGGCTTGATATTTCCAACACCGTCCAAAGCCCCAACCTCGGACCAAGCAGCCGATGTCGACATACCAATCCATGATCCAGCCTTGATTCGTCTCAAAGATGGCCCCCAACAAGTTGACCGGCCAGTCAGCAACTTTCTTCGAAAGACGCCATCAATGTGTCGCATGTCCACCACCGGCGATTGCGCAATAGTGCAGGTAAAATCCGAACGCAATTACTCTGCCTTTGGTGTGTTTCCGGAGTGGAACGAAACATCTATACAAGAGCCTCGCAGTCTGCTGGAGGGAGAAGAGCCACGCAGATACAGCGTCGAGAAGATTGCAGCCCAAGGCACTGTTTGTGCGGCATTACTTCGTACTGTGGGAAGCGACGAATTCCAGGTTCGAAATACTACCTTGTTGACTGTTCTACTCCACAAACTAAGCTGACGAGATGTTACAGCTACTACTTTGTTCCCAGGACAAACGGACCTTCCATAGTTCAAGTAAAGGCACTGAACTATCAGTATCCGCACATGGAGACTGCATTGTTCACAATGACAACAGCCTGAAGATCTTTTTGAGTGGCTGCAATCACGCCAGAGAGCTGATTCTCCCCGGAACTTTAAAAGGAGCGTGTTTCAGCAATGATGGGAAGTGGGTATATGTCTGGTCGCGAACGGATGCAATGGACTACTGGCAGATTTTCGACGTTACATCCGGTGACCCGAAACCGTTCCTACAACTTCAGCGCCCATTTGTAAGCTCTCATGTTAATGCCCCTATACAACCAGGCTGACCAAATATTTATAGCTGAGGTCTCACCACCCCCGCTTTCGAAATCTCCTAATCGCATTGAGAGATCCATCAGAGAAGAGCAGCATCCGACCACTATTCCTCACCATTGACAAACACGGGAATGCAAACGCTCTCATCAGTAACGGGAATGCTTTTTACGTCCACTCCATTCAAGGCGAGTTCAGTGGCTATGACGGAGGAGCAGCCACCGAAGACGGCCGGTCGATCCTGCTGGTTCATCAAAGCCAAGCAAACAGAACACCCGATTTACACCTTGTCGACCTCGATCCCGAGAAGCTCCGGACTACCGACCCAGACCAACCTCTAGTGCTGAGGTATGATGAGCTTGAAGCACCCTACCTAAGGGACTACATGGCCGATACCGGATTCTCCATATCTTCGGAAGAATCAAATGTCTATGCTTACTTTGCTATTAAGTTCAGGGGCGACATAGTTCTAAAAAGGGTCCATGTGGGAGGATACAATGAATGAAACAAGTTTCATGCTGTTCAAACATCCGGCGGCTGTCTTCTCGACGCTCTTTTCATTCTCTGTCTCCGTGCTGCGCACCACCATGCCAAGCCCGTCACAGCCGTCAACGGGATAGTCACCAGAAGGTATATCCACGCATCTTTTGATATATTCATTCGACGCGAACCCTCGTCAAAATCGAAGAAGTTCATGCCAAACAGCGACTGCGGGTAGCAGATTAGCGAAAGAACAGGGATTCAGACTGAATCTTTCAATGCTTACCGCCACAAAGCTCGCTGGCAGGTAAATCAGCGTCGCCAGGGTTACGATGCGGGCGATGGTGCTGTCATCGACACTGTCCATGGCGAGGGCGTACACGCCCTTGCTGATCTCCGTGCTGACTGCTTGATTGTCGGCTGCGAATTTCTGGACTTTCGCAGCAGCCGTCTGGTTCTTCACGTTCAGAGCGTCCGTGACCTATGGCCGTCAGCACACGCGCGGAATCCGTTGGCATGATGTTTTGGTCCGCTTACAAGTCTCAAAATGCCCTGGACGCGAAGTTCAAGAGCTTCTGCGGATGTCTGATACCCTTCGAGCCTGATCATGACGGTCTTCAGGGCATTGGCAGTGATGGTAAACTCGGTTTGGGCGTACGCATCATTCTGGAGCATGCTGTGGTTCAGCTCTTGTAATGTTTGAACCAGCTTCTCGGTCTGTCTCAACGTGACTTGGACACTTTGCACTCTCTCCTCCAGACCTCGCAGCGACCGCATGGACTTGAAGCTCAGCGTCTCCGAGAAGCTGACCTCAGACTCGATATCAGCAGTCCACACCAGCTTTTTCTGACAATGTGTCAGCTGTCGCCCTCGACTTCAGACATGGAACTTACCAGCTCCGAGTACTGCTTTCCAATGTCGGCCAGGAAGTCTCTCCAGTTGTCTATATATGCAGACAAGATGGAGATGTGCAGTCGCAGCGGGTTGGCCTTTAGCGCACTCCATTCGTTGGGTTCCAGGGCCTTGTGGTTCAATCTTCTACTCAAGTCTGAGTCTTCCTTCGGATTGAAGATCAACCAGGTGGATCTCAAGCCATGGCTCGAAGTCTCAATGCGGTTGAATACCTCAGTCCGCCGAATCGACCAAGGAAAGGCTCGAGACCGGTTGTTTGCCTCTGCATATTTGAACTGATATGAGAGCTCTTGAACAGACGTTAAACCCGACCACACCACAGAGCCTTCGGAATGCGGCTTACCAAAAGATGGAGACGGCTCAGTTGACTTTTGCAGAAAAACATTCCCGTAGCTCTCTTCCGAGATGCACGTCTCAGTATGCACTGCGAACAGGACATCCAGGAATGGCAAGGGTAGCTGGTATGCATCCAGAAGCTCCCACAGCAAAGGAGCTGTGACTAAAAATGGACGGAGTGAGTCCTTTTGGACGAATGAGCTGTTTTGCATCAGCTTATGTCAAAGGGAGAAGCGTGGGCTGCGAACAATATCCTGCAGTCGAGCTCTCCAGAGCGAGACTCAGAGATTGCTTGACATGCGCTTTGCTGGTCCTCAACGACGCGCTGGATCGGTAGTTGGGAACCCGGTGTTGACTCAAAGACTTGGAAGTTCACTGTCTTCTTGGCTGATATTGACCGGATGTGTTTGTTGAGCCGGTCTTGATATTGAACTCGGTCTTGCCCCAGCGCAAAATCGTCGGGTAGGTTGAGCGGATAGTCGGAGAAGGGTAACGATTTGATTTCCTCGGCCATTTGGTCTTGGGATGCCAATCAGTCTCGAACACAAGTCCCGCGAGATGCAGGATATTCAGCAGGGGTACAGGCCAAGATATGCACCAGATTATCATTTGCCTTGTAGATACAGCCTCTGCGGATCTTATGTTCTGCAATGTGGCGGAGCAGCGAAAAAAAATGTGTTCTGGCTAGGCCCAAGTCGCTAAGCCCCCATGTATACGCCCCCGGCATGCCCGATAAGCTGTGTGACCGACCCCGCTTTCTGCCTTGCGCCCAGTTCAGCCGTGCAAAGCCCCCTCAGCCTACTCGTCCACTCCCCTTATGATCCTGCCACGGTCAGTCGGAGGCCACCCTTGATACGAGGCTTGACTTACTGGATTTCATCCTGTATAAACGCATGGGTAAGCGAGCGCGCATAGCAGGGTGGTAGGGTGGCCCACCTTGTTGAGAGCTCTGGGGGCCAGATAGGACCAGTATACGTAGTTTGCCTCGTCGGTTTTCTGTGCCACTGTCAGGGGGATACGGCTCCAGAGGGAAAGCGAAGGTGAAGCGCCGCCCAGACCTTAATCTCGTAGTTTTTGTTCGACCCGAACCGCATCCTGAGGAAGCCTTCCAGGGAAGATTCCTCTATGTACCCGGATTCGTGCTCTTCGATGATGTAGCGCTGCATGGCTGACAAGGCTGTCACGCTCGTTCTAGGCCGCAGGAGGGTAAGATTGGTCGAAGCGAGCGCTATCCGATCTGGATGCAAGGTTGATCTTCTATGAGTAAGTCTTGGCCGTGAATTTAACAAAGGTGGTGTGAAATGTTGTTGAGCGAGCCGACGCCGCTCCGGAGATGTGAAATATGATGAAAGCGCCGGGCAGGCAGGCAGCACTGCAAAATATGTGTGACTTTGGCTGCAGGGGCTGTCTGCTGCCTATCTGGTTACATTTGTCCCCCCACACGCATCCTGGTAAGCCAAGTGGGGGCCGAGAATCACTGCAGCGAGGCAACCGCCTGGATGCACAGCCCGGCCTATGTAGAGCCTTACATGTTCAGACTCGCCCACCGCTTTCTTCTGACACGCTCGAAAGTCATCATGCATTTTGAAGGGAGACAGAGATCGCCCCGCGCCACGCCTCTGAAGTGAGTATCTCCACAACGTTTTCAGCATCGCGCTAACCATGCCTGCACGTCAGCCGCGAGCTCGGGAGATGGCAGATCTTCGTAAGTCGGCCATGTAAGATCCTCACGTCGCGCTTGCTCACGTCTCGCAGATGATTGCCATCAGCACCATCATCGGCATCGGCTTCGTCTCAAGGGCAGGCGAGATCCTGGCGTTCGGCGGCCCTGCGACGGTGCTGGTCTCGTTTGCACTCGTCGGCGTGGTCGCCGTGGCAGTCATGGAGGGGATAAGCGAAATGGTCGTGACCTGGCCCGTTTCGAACCCGCTGGTCGAGTTTGTCCGCCGCTTTGTTGACCGTGACTTTGCGGTCGTGGTGTGCGTCGCATACTGGTACACCTGGGCAATCACCTTTGCTGCTCTGGTCTCCACTGCTGGCAACATTGTCAAGTATTGGAACAACAGCAAGGCTGCAGAAGCACTCGTCTACGCCCTGTGTCCACTTTTGGTCTTCTTCATCAACTTCAACACAGTCAGGGCAAGTGCTGCCCACCTGCTTTTGAACCACGTTCTCACATGCTAATGGATTTCCAGCTCTTTGGCTACATAGAGCTTTTTGGGGGAGTGCTGAAGCTTCTAATCGTGTTCATGGTTTTTGTTATCATGCTATGTTTAAAGGGAGGCGTGGACTGGGCTCATGAGCCATCAAAAGAAGAAGGATTCGGCAACTGTGAGCAATGCCTTCTCAAAACGTGGTATCCATGGTTTATTCTAACAGCGGGATGAATGTTCAGATATCGCTGATGGATTTCGACACCGCTGTCAAGTCTCGAGCAGCAGTGGGGTTGCTGTCTTGTGCGTTATTCCCCTTCTCCATCTCTGGCTGATATTGACTGCATACAGAATCGGCATCAACCTTGCAGTATATCCGTTTGTCGGAGTTGAATCAGTGACCATGACGGCGTTCGAGGCCAAAGACACAAGAGAGCTCAAACCACCCACCAGGAACATCAGCTTCATTGTACTATCCGTCTACATGATAAGCATCGTCAGCATGCTACTGAATGTCTGGTGGGAAGATCCGCTTCTCATGAGGTACTACGATCAGTGGACCGCCGGAGAACACAACACGACGAACTGTCCGGACTCAACCCCAGGCCAGCAATCCTTCGTCACATCCCGGGCCTCCAACAGCACAGGCGACGACGACAGGCTTCTCCCCGTCATCGCGACCGACCGCTTCGGCATCAAGAACCTCGGCGGCGTGATCAACGCCTGCCTCCTCTACTCGGCCTTCAGCGCCGCCAACTCGGCCCTCTTCGTCGCGTCGCGCACGCTGTACGGGCTCGGGTCCAGCATCCAGCGCGACGAAAAGTCTGCGTTCCTGCGCCTCCTCGCGAGCTTCGGCGACGTCGACGGCAACGGCGTGCCGCAGCGCGCCATCATCGGCTCCATCTTCTTCGCCTGGCTGCCCTTCCTCTCGCTCCACGACGCCCCCGGCACCCACAGCATCCAGGACATCCTGCAGAGCATCGGCACCACCAGCTGCATCCTCGTGTGGGCCTCGCAGGCCCTCGCCTTCCTGCGCTACCACTGGTGGCTGCGCAAACACCACACCGAGCTGAAGGGGCAGTACAGAAAGTTCGACCGCTGGACCCGCGCCGATCGCCTCAGCTGGCTGGAGTTCGCGCAGCCGTGGCTGGCGTGGTTTTCGCTCGTCGCGAGCCTGACAATTCTGTTCGTTTTTGCGAGCGCCGGGCTGTGGTCGTCGGAGACCAATGCGAGGGAGAAGCTGGCGGTCAAGGCGCTGGATCAGTACCTGGGGCCGGGGCTGCTGCTGCTGATGTTCGTGGGCCTCAAGGTTGTGAAACGGAGGGGCTGGGTGAGGTTGGGGAATTGGGACGAGTTGAGGGAGACGCTGAATGATTTGAATGAGTTGGTGATGCCGAGCAGTACATCGACAGGGGATCGACAGGCCAATGGCTCGCTTGAACCTAATGGCCGTGTGGATGGTACGGAGGTCTACGAAATGGTCAACGGGACTGTGCACGAGATGTGAGGGGATCATGAGGATGCGGACTGATAACCATGTATGTACCACCTCGCGATATTCCCACACAGATAGTCTTTATTCTTGATTTGCTTTGGTCTAGCCTCGGCAAGGACGTTTTCAACAAAGGCTTCTAAGATAGTCCCCACCAAAAGTGCATGAGATTGAAATAAAGTTTGCGGTTGCACTAAGGAATTAGTACCCCCTGTTTCCATCCACCGGCACGGCCGATCGCTCGGGAAGGGCGATCATTCCAGCCTATTGGTACCACGGCATCAGCTAGATCCAAATGAGTCATGTTAATGCATGCTTGAGTAAAAGCGTACAACCAGAAGAGGCCGAATGGAACGAAGCCTTGTACACCGAATACTCACCACCAAGCTCGACCTCTCCATTAAACAGCTTCGTAAACTCACCACTACAACACACAGGCTTTCCAAAATATCATCTAATGTGCGCCAGCGGACATGCTTCTCTTGTCTTGCTCGGAGAAGACTCAGCTCTAAGGAAGTAACGCTCAAGAACTAAACCATTTCCACAGGCAGATCGTAGCCTGATATGGACGGCCGAGATGAGCGGAGAGCTATACATCTCTGAAACAGCAAGGGCCGCAGTTTTTTGCCCGTTCCCTAAAAGAAATAACCCTCACGATATCAGTGAAACAAACGGCCGGAACAGATGGGGAAAAGGCTCTAGCGACTCCGGCCCTACAAGCACTGTCTAAACGCTGTCGAAAAGTCGTTTAGATAAGAGATGTACTGGATCACCATGGAGATTCATAGCTCTCTGTGAGATGTAGCAAACGGATTGGTTGCGTCCAAGTGCGCAGTAAAAGAAGAGAAGTGTGGCAACGAATCAAAATCTCCGCACGCCGCAACTACCCGGAAACCCTTTTGACAATCTGGTTCGCCGACGCCACGCATAAATGTGGAAACCCCGAATACGCGCTACTCGCACTCGTCCCGGTGATGATTGCGTGTTGAAATTCATCCGATGATTCCAGCTTCTAAATGGCTGTTGATAAAGATAATCTGTATCCATGCAGGTCTCACCGCTATGACGCAACATGATTTGAGGCATTAATTCTGGTCAGCAACACGTCAAAGCATACGCAGCCGACTTCAAGATTTCACTATATGTTTGCGGAATGAGGGCTCGCTGGATCATCAGACGGGTGTGGGGCCGGGCTTTGCTCGGTGGAGATGACCCTCACTAATGCATTGTCGTGCCCTTAGTGCATGTTGAGGTACGTACGCAGTATCAGCACTTGGACCGAAACCGTGACACGTGGGTGTGGGGCCGCGGTTCTGATGGTGGATTACCCTCTGCCGCTTGCTCCGTGCTGACGCCTTTTCAATGCTTATTCCCACTCCATTCCCGGTCTTCCCACTCTTAACGTACGTTGGGCTCACAAGCAGGTCCCGCTAGCCCAGCAAGCACAAGAACCTATAAGGTTCGACAAGCTTTTCGCCTTGAACACCACCGAGACGTTCGTAAGCACTAAGGCAGGAGAATGCGGGCCCATGCCGGGATTCAAGCCGATCCTTGCTCCATGTATAAAGTCAGCATTGCAGGACACGTACCGTCAGATCGCAATATGGTACTGATGGACACCGGTAGACCTTCACTTGCCGGCCGCAAACTCAAATAAATTACAGACAAGAATGATGCACGGGGCACACACAGTCATCTGCAGACGTGTTTCCGTCAGCTTGTCAGAAGAGAGCATCATTTTGCAGCCATCGTGCGATCTCGGTGAATCTTCCAGAATGGGGAGATAGCGATTAAGCATTACGATATCACGCGCTTCAAACAGTGTGCGGTCTTTGATATCAGGGAAGCACGTCTGCCTTCAGCCTTCACTCCAATGCCCCGCAGCCCAATCTTCCCTTCATCTCGCCAAGTTGAGAGGTCTTCTTTTTCAAACCTGCCATTCACCAACTCCTTCGCTTGAATTCCATCGCCATTGCATCAACCGTCCTTCGAGGCCCAATCATGTCTTGTGATAGCGAGGTATCCCTCCCCGCCATCCCTTATGGCCGGCGTCTTATAGCTGCCACTCTCGATGAATTGGCTCGAACTTCGCCCAACCGCACATATGCTTCCATCCCAAAGTCCGACACCGACATCACTCTCGGCTTCCGCGACATTACCTACGCCGAACTGGCCGCCGCCGTCGATCACACAGCATACTGGCTTGATGAGCATCTCCCTCCTCCGCCATCGCGTTCGCCTTCCTCCAGCGTCGCGTCCCTTCCATCGACTGGTTCCAAGAGCAATGGTGAAAATGAGAATGGATCCACCACTGAACAGGAGCCACGTCAAACATTCACCTACTTCGGCCCACGCGACTTGCGCTACATTCTCTTCCTCGTGGCAGCCATGAAAACCGACCGTCGCATGCTGAATACCAGCACAATGGGTTCTCTCGAAGCCCAAGTCTACCTCGCTGACGCTGCTGCATGCCGCGCCTTCTTCTACGCGAAAGATTTGGGAGGTGTTGTGCCCGAGTACGTCAGAGAAATCCCACAGAAGATCGAAGGCAGCACGACCATCACTGTCCCCTCATTCGAAGACCTGTTCTTCGGAAGCGTCGACAGAGCACAGAAACACTACCCGTACGAGAAGACATGGGACGAAGCGCGCGGCGACGAGATCGCCATCTACCACACGTCTGGCAGCTCCGGCTTCCCGAAGCTGGTGCCCTACACCAACGAGATGTTCGCCCGGGTCGACACGTGGAACCTGCTGGAGGACGTCGACGGCATGACCACAAGCAAAGAGTACTACGCCGACAAACGAATCTGGGTCGCTCTGCCAATCTTCCACGTGAGTCTGCACTCCTCCCTCCCTCCCTTCCATATATAAACCCCCTCACTAACCCCACCACCCCAACCCCACCAGCTCGCCGGCGCCCTCGTCTCCCTCCCCTGCGCCCTCTTCTTCTCCACCATCCCCGTCTTCCTCCCCTCCACCACCCTCCCCACCCCCTCCGCCTTCACCTCCCTCACCACCCACTACAACAACAACAACGCCACCACCCACCACCCCCGCCTCGACGGCATCTTCGTGCCCCCCTCCCTCCTCGAGGACCTGACCCTGCACCACCACGACCCCTCCTGCCCAACCAACACCCCCATGAGCACCCCGCACCCCGCCCTCCGCCCCCTCTCCACCATAATCTTCGGCGGCGCCCCGCTCTCCCCCGCCGCCGGCCGCGCCCTCGCCCCCCTCCGCTCGCTGCGCACCTGCATCGGCAGCACCGAGGGCGGCTACTGGCCGACGCTGCGGCCGGACGGCGATGGCGACGGCGACGATCAAACCGCTGCGCAAACGGACCTCTGGGACCACATCGCGCCGCATCCGCGCATGGGCGCCGCGTTTGAGCGGGTCAGTGGGGGAAGCGGCGAGGGCGAGGACATGTACGAGTTGGTCGTCGTGCCGGGGGCGGCGGGAGCGAACGGCGAGGTGGTGTTTACGAATTTCTTCGGCGCGGCGGGGACGATGGGCGGCGGGGATGGAGGGGGCGGCCGGGGCGGCGCGGTGGTGGGGGGCGTGTGGCGGACGAAGGATCTGTTCAGTCCGTACACAGGGCCGGATGCGGAAAGGGTGATGGGCAGGGCGGCGGGGGTGTGGAAGTATCGGGGGCGGACGGACGACTTGGTGGTGCTGACGGGGGAGGTGAAGATGTATGCGGGGGGGTTGGAGGAGAGGGTCGGGTGTCATGCGAGGGTGAGGCATGCGCTGGTGGGGGGGTATGGGAGGGAGGTGCCGTTTTTGTTGTTGGAGGTTGTGGAGGGGCCGGAGGGGGAGGGAGGGGAAGATGTGTTGGAGGAGGTTTGGGAAGCGGTGGAGGAGGCGAATAGGGATGTTGGGCCGAGGGTGGAGTTGAGGAGGGAGTTGACGTTGGTGGCGACGAAGGACAAGCCGTTTGCGAGGTTGGCCAAGGGGTCCGTGGATCGGAGGGGCACGTTTGCGAGGTTTGAGAAGGAGGTGGATGAGATGTATCAGAGGTGGCAGGGGTGATGGTCATGCTAAAACTTTGGGTTTGATGTGGTTCTTGCCTGTTCCTATCTTAATCTCTCCTTTTGGTAGTTCCAAGTCAACAGCCCGGTCTTACCTTGTTCAAGTCAGTCATCTTTTCCGTACGTAAAGCATTACAGAACAATAATAGAAAGTGAGCAAATGTCGAGAGCTTTATTAATCTTATAAAGGGGTGTTTGACGCTTTCAAAGGGTTTCGAGGCGGCGAGTACGTAAGTGTAGGGCGTTGTGTATTCGATCAATGTAGGCAAAACCTGAACGCACAACAGCTACCTGGAGAATGGCCTGATGGCCCCCAAATCTACGCATTGACCAATTACAATCGTTGAACCCCGCAGCCCCGTATTTTCTCCGGTCAGCTGAACTAACACTGCCCCATTCCTCACCCACAAGCCATGGAATCATTCTGCAACGCATGCTCAAACATCTTCATCGGCGGCAAGTCACGCAAGAGGGACGTGGGTGGAGCCACGTTCCTTCATCATGAGTCATTCGCCGCGTTCCAAGACGCATTGCGTACGGGTTGTTTCTTCTGCGAGATGATGGAGAGAGCTTATGTCAACGAACACGGTGGTTTTTCGGAACAGACACGGAATGGCAGTCAAAGCTTCAAGATCACATACATCTTTGAAACCGATGTCGAGTGGCTTGGCTATGTCAGCGATGACAATGAGGAGGAGCAAGAGGAAGTCGAAGAGACGGATGCACGGGCTGTTTCCGAACAACACGAAAGCGGCAGAGTTGATGACAGCGATTCGAACAGCATTGTGGAGGAGCCAGCGGAGACGTTTGATACCTTTCAGATGCTCTTGGTCCATTTCTGGCGTGGTGAGCACGATCGGACAGTCAAGGACTTCTGGCTGCTTCCAACTCAACGTCAGTGCCGCTGTTCCCGTCTCACTGCAGGCTAACTGAACCCCCGGTAGATGCAGGAGCGTATGCATCCGAGAAGGACCCCGGCATTGAGGTGGTCTACAGCCATCCGATCGAGGACAATACCGGCTCGGAGCCGAATCGTCTGCTGATACGCAAGTGGATAGACTACTGCACCAAGCATGATGATGCTTGCCCGCTACCACCGAGCACAGCTGTACGTCTGCCGACTCGTGTCATCGACGTGGGCAACACCGGAGATGGCCAGGTGCGCCTTCACGTCACGCAGGAATCGGACATCAAGCACGGCCGTTACATCTCGTTGAGTCACCGATGGGGAGAAGTGAACCTCCCCAAATGCACCAAGAGCAGTCTTTCTTCCCTACAGCAGGGCTTCGATGTGGCCGGCCTGCCGAAGACGTTTAGGGATGCCATCGAAGTGACGCGGGAACTGGAAGTCCGCTTTCTCTGGATCGACTCCCTCTGCATTCTCCAAGACTCGGCCGAAGACTGGGCGCAGGAGGCCGGCATGATGGGCGAGGTCTACCGAAACTGCTATGTGAACATCGCAGCCACCGCTGCGCAAGACAGCGATGGTGGCTTGTTCTTCGATCGCCGCAAAAGGGACGTCGAACACTTGGAGGTGGAAATCGACTGGTTCTCTGAAAATAATTCTGCCCCCGCTAGCGAAGAAGCCGCGTCTCGTCCTCGATACGTCTCCTGCCACTGCTGGGATCCCGACCTATGGAGCTTCGAAGTCGAGCTCGCCGTCGTCAACACGCGCGGCTGGGTCGCCCAAGAGCGCCTCTTCTCCCCGCGCATCCTGCACTTTGGCGCGAACCAGCTCCTCTGGGAATGCAGCGCGCGCGCCGCCTGCGAGATGAGCCCCGGCGGCGACCCCGACCTCTCCATCGGCCCCCAGCTGCGGCCGTGGAAACACCTCGCCGACTGCTTCCGGGACGCCGCCAACACGACGCCCATGCGCTCGTTGACGAGGCCCCAGCGCTTCAAGAAGTGGCAGGCGTGGTGGGACTTCGTCGAGGCGTACACGACGCGCGACTTCACGTACTCGTCGGACAAGCTCATCGCCATCTCGGCCGTCGCCAAAGCGATGATGGCCCAGCACGAGGGCGTGCCCGAGGACTACATCGCCGGGCTGTGGGCGTGGTGGCCGGAGCTGGACCTGTGCTGGCACGTATCGCACAACCGGCAGCCGCCGCTGTCGTTCAGGACGACGGTTCGGCCGGCGGATGGGAAGAGCGCGTGGCGCGCGCCGTCTTGGAGCTGGGCGAGCGTGGACGGGCCGGTCATCAGAGCGTACGTCGATCGCGGCGACGAAGCCGTTTTGCTGGTCCGCGTTCTGGACGCCCGCGTCGTTGCGCTGCGTGGACGCGACAGGACTGGCCAGCTGGAGGATGCGTCGTTGGAAGTCGAATGCCGCGTCTTCTCTGCAGCTTGGTCAACGCCTCCCCTTGCCGATGTTTCGAGAGATGGGGCAAAGCTGCTGGACGCCAGTGGAAACGGTGTGCTCACCGGGAGTATCAGCTTCGATGATTTCCATCAGGCGAGTGCTGTGGCTGCTTCGGATAGCGTCCGAGTGGTATGTCTGCCAATCACGCAGATATTCACTCAGTTCGATGATCCGTTGGGGCAATACTTCGTACACGGGCTCCTGGTGGAGGTTGTGCCGGGCGATGCCCTTGTCTATCGCCGAGTGGGCCATTTCATGGTCAACGGCAGCATTGATCAGTTATACGCTGTGGCGGAGAAAGAAGGCTTTAGGAATACAGGTCCTGTAGTGGCTACACTGCTGTGAGAAGATCAAATAGACCTTGAGATTTTATGTAAACGGATCTTGCCGCTCGCGAATGAATTATGATTCTATGAGTATTACGGTTTCCATATCACAACCAAGTACATTTCTTTCGCATTACCCCGTCTCTTCATCGTCCCAAGCCACGCACGACGATTACAAAACAGTCCCAATATCAGCAACACAAGCCGTCTCCACCAACCCCTCATACTCAGGCCCCCCAGTCGTGCACTCCGGGACCAGCTGGATCTCGGTACAGTTCCTCCAATCCTGGCTGTAAATCTCATCCGTCCCGAACCTCTCCACATCCGTCCAATACACGACCGCCCACTCGCGATACGCCTCCTTACACGCCACAAACGTCTGCTCCCCAAACCCCACCAACCCCAGCGCCGGCACGCCATCCGCCCCCTCGACGACCCCCGTCGCCGTCTCCGCCGTGTTCGTCCGCGTCGCGATGATCTGGTCGCTGCTCAGCGCGTACCCGCCGGGGATGTACCACCCGAACGGCGTCACCTCGCCCGAGTTGTTGGGCGCGTCGGTCCGCACGTAGCTTGCGGAGGCGTCGGACGACTGTGTCTGTTGCTGCGTGTAGAAGATGTCGCCGCCCCGCCCCGGCGAGAACGTCTCGTTGTACAGCACGCCCCACATGTCGTCCGGCGGCAGCCGCGTCGTGATGCCCAGGCGCCGGACTTCGATCGCCCAGCCCGACACATCGGGCGTCTTGTCGGTTTGGGGGCCGGTGACTTTGGCGCGGAGGCGGTAGTGTTGCGACGAGGAGGTGTCGGCGAGGGTGGCGGCTGGGAGGGTGGCGAGGAGGGACATGCCCACGGTGAGGATTGTGGAGATGGTCATGGTGGGTGGGGTTGAGCGAAAGTGTTGGGTTTTAGTGAAGGGGTTGGATTGTAGCGAAAGTATTGGATTGTAGCAAAAGTGTCGGAGTAGCGAAAGTGTCGGAAGTTGCTCTGGTGGTGAATGTTTCGATGGAGAGACGACGCCCGCTTTTATGGACAGGCAAAGGTGGTAGAGGTACAGTTGAGGGAATATCGCCAAGAAGTCACATTGTGGAACTATACGAGGCGAACGACGTGTAGTCTGACAGGAGCTGGATTCCACCGAGAAAGCGTCCGACAAAATTGTTGGAAATCACAGTCTCCTTATTGAACTCAAGGCCAAGAAGCGTGCGTGTGATCGGACCTTGAAAGCACCATTTCGAGGGTGGCGTGAGTTTGATTTTTTACCGCGGTTAAACTGTTTGTCAATAGTCGTAGAAGCCAAAAGTGTGACAGGACGCCGGTCGCGATCCGGAGAAGCGGAATCCCGCAGGATGCACGTCTTGCTAAATATAGCCGTCTCGGTCTTGACCTCCGGCCTCCAGGAACATCTGACGTCAGCGCCTCCGCATTCAGGTCGGAGTGGTCTAGAAGATGCATCGATCCTGGTGCAACCCTGGAGATCTTCTGAGCAGGAAGCTTGAAATAACAAGGTGCGCACATGATCGACAGGGACCACTTGACCGGGATATACGACGTTTGCCTTGGGAGTCTATCCGGACGGCTTGAAGCAAAGTCCAGCCACTGTTGTGCACCCAAACCTTTGCATCGTCACTACGGGTTTTTTAATACAGCGCAAACATACTCATAGGCATGCAAAACGGTGTTGCAGGTTTAATTCGTCATGTCGGGACTGCGCAACAGCAGGGTAACGAGGGTTTTTACGGGATCCACGTGGGTTAGATTAAAAAGTCTTTTGCAGGTGACGTGCCCAATTATACAACACGTACTGTCAACCTGAACTAATGAATAGTAACTATAGTTCTCATAATCCACAGGATTTCAGCTGATGGCGGCCTGGGCAATTTTGCACTGCCCGTAGTCAACCTCACTCTCCGCAAAATTACTACCGGACGCTTAGACAGTAAAACAGTAACATTTGCCTAACGAACACAAAACATAGTAGATAATGCAACGAACCCTCTCCCGTGCACGCGCTTGACTTCTTACCAGTATCATTTTTCTTAAACTCGAGGGTTGTAATGCCAGGCCCTTTTCCTTATGGGTTTTCCTCCATATAGAAAAGCGAGGTATCGAAAATGGGGTTTAAGCCGGCGTAGCCTCTTAAGCCCTATCATATCAATGCATGTTTTCCCTCGTGGTGGGTGTTATGAATAGCCAGAGGTGAGTGTTATGAGTAGTCAGGCATCAAGCAGTCAGCTCGAGTTGTATCGTGGAAGTGTGTTGAATGACTTGAACATTAAGCTATGACAGCTTGCAGCGCACACTGAGCAAACAGCAGAGGGTTGGTCAAACTCATCTGTCTAGATCTGAGGGTTAGTGAAAGTTAATTACTTTCACTCCACCCATCGACGAGAAAAGTGAACGGCTCCCACAACTAGTGACCACCACATTTTCCCAAAACGTACTTGGCCATCCATCGGCTCTCAGGTGATTGCGTCTCGCTTCGCCAATCAGTAACTGAGCCACCGCTACGTATATACTCCCGCGCTACTTCCCCCAACTCTTCTAATCCACTCTTCCCATCGCCTTCCACCTGCGCCAGACAACAGAACTCTCCACACCCAAAGAACTCCAGCTCCCCACGATACAGCCTGTCATGGAATATTCACGTCAATCCGCCATGCACTACCGCCGCCAGTCCAACCCCTACCAATCGTGTGGGCACTGCTGCAACCTCTTCTGTATTGTTTGGACGATGATCTGTGGGTTCCTGATCATGGTCTTATGCATTCCCTGGCTCTACATCAGTTTGGTCGGTCGCACCATCGTCTGGGCCATCACTTGCGGCCACTACGGCTTCGGCTACATGGTCAGAACTGAGGTACAACTTTCCACGTTACATATCTTGCAGACGCCTGACCTGACTGATGACACTATGTAGCTTGGGGAACCCAACCCGCGTTCTGCATTCAGGGCCCTCCGTCAAGGCTTCGGCCGGGTCCGCAACATCTTCAAATCCGACACGCACTCTGACCATTCCAATCGCCGTGCCTCCATCGACCTCGAAGCTCGAGATGACCTCCATCATGATATCCAAGATGATATCCGCGATGATCTCCAACCCGCTGCGAGGAGGAACACATATCATCAAGCCCTGGCTCAAATTGCGCAAAACAACCCTCGTGGCAATGGCGATGTCATCGAACTGAACACAATTTCGACCGTTCGCCAGGATAATGATGGGGACAACTTGACCTCTGAGGCAAGGAAGACGGCTGAGGCGGAGGCCAATACTTAAGGAGGAGCTAGACGGCCTGTGATGTTATATCAGTGTTCAATTCAATTTTCATGCTTTCACGCCGGAAATTAGTGACAAGTGCATTCAGAGGTCCCAATCTTCTTGTCATAATGATGGGCTGCTTTGAAATTTTTGACTTTCCTGTTCCTAAAGCAAAATCCTCGAGATAAGAATAACACCCCTGTACTAAAGGGTATCTATGTCGTTTCTTCTGCACCCAGCACCTACCGATCATGCAGCTCGCGACTGCAGAAAGCTGACCCACACTTGTCTTTCCTCACTTGTCGTCGCAGCCATAAGGTGCCTGACCTCACCTGCCTTCACGGAAAACACAAACAGCTCCGAGCCTCTCGGAACATTATCGAGGATCGAGGCCTTCGTTTTCCCTTTCTCGGTAGTGTCGAAAGAACACTCGAGCTGTTGGACTGGCATCGGCTACTCCTTCGATTAGCATGTAGACGCAGATTCCTCCGATCATGACACTTACCGCTTCCAGAACCCACAGCTTCTCCCCATACTTGTACTTCCCGAACCACATCTCCCGCGGCTGCTCCACGCGCCCCCAGAAGAAGTAGTTATCGAGCAACACACAATGAACCTGATTCCACAGCCCCTTCCCCTTGGTCCTGCACGCCAACGACCCCTGCCACACCATCCTCCTCTCCGCGCCAAACATATCCAACGCCTCCACATGGCGATAATCCAGCGTCTGAATCCTCCGATACACATCCCTCAGCCCCTCCGCCTCCTCCGCCTCCCTCATCACCTCCTCGCACGCCTCCCGCACCCTCACCATCATCCGCCTATACTCCCCCACCCTTGTCGCCACCCCGCCGCCCTCTCCCCCAGCCTCCCCCTCCAACCCCTCCACCGCCCCCAAAACCCCCACATACTCGCCCACCCTCCCCACCACCGCGCTCTCCAACACCCCGACCAGCCCATCCTCCGCCCCACACAGCTCCACCACCCACCGCCGGAACTTCTCCCCCTCTATCCCCTCCGCCGCCATCGTCGCCCGCACCGCCGCGACCGCGTGCGGCACCCGTCGCGCCACCGCCAGCACCTCCCCGCCCGCCTTGCGCCACCACACGCGGAACACGGGCAGCAGCAGGTCGGACTTGACGACGCTGGCGAGCTGCAGGGCGAGCGGGGCGAGGAGGTGGCGCGCGTGCAGGGCGGCGAGGGTGGAGAGGTGCGGGAGCAGCGCGTCGAGGTGCGGGAGGAGGTGCGGGTGGTGGGTGTGGAGGAAGGTGTTGGTCGTCGTCGTGGTTGTGGTTGTGGAAGAGGCGGCGGGGCGGAGGGTGGAGAGGAGGGTGCGGAGGGTGGTGATGTGCCGGAGTTCGGTGAGGAGGAGGGTTTGCCAGTGGTGGCGGATGAGGAGGTCGTGGGGGTGGAGGGGTGGGGAGGGGGAGGGTTCGGACGCCGCGGAGGGGGGATCGGGCGCGCTTGCGGGAGTGTGGTCGTCGTCTGTGTGGTCGAGTTCGTGGGTTGGAGGGGCAGGGTTTTCGTCGGCGTTGTCGGTTGGGGATGGAGGTGCTACGGCTGGAGTGAGAGCTGTAGGCCTCCGTGGAGGCAGAGGCGGGGGCGGTGCTTCCTCTTCGTCGGGTTCCTTGGTGGTTTGCTCTCGCGGCGGCAGTGGAGGTGCGTCTCCATCTTCTTCCAAGCGGGCATCCCCACTCGAGGCTGCTCCTTCTTGCGACTTGTTCGGCGCCGCCCCGCTCGCCACGCCTTCCTCCCGCAATTCACTCGGTCCACAATCTTCTCGCCCCATACCCGCCACCTCTCCATCCACTTCCGGCACTGCCTGTGCCACACAGCTTGGCCCGTGCTCCCCATCCCCCCCAGCTTCCTCAACAACACCCTCCACCACCACCACCTCTTCCGCCGCCCGCGCATCCGCCCGATCAACACCACCCTCACTCTTCCCCGCCGCCCGATCAGCCACAGCCGCCCGATACGCCGGCGACTCCACCACCGCCTGCACGAACCCCATCTCCTCCCCCACGGCCTGCAGCATCAAGTCCGGCCCCTCGACGCCCGGCCACGCCGCCCGCAACGCCCTCTCCCCCTCCCTCAACCCTGCCTCCCCGTCCGGCCCTTCCCGCGCCTCCCCCTCCCCCACAACCAACAGCCCCCTCACCCACCCCGCCAGCACCCCCCTCACCGCCCCCAACTGCCGCAGCAACCCCGCCACCGCCTCGCCCCTCCACTCCGGCAACGACGCCCTTTGCGCCTGCGTCGACGTCGACATCGACATCCTCTTCTTCAAGCGCCATTTACTCCGCGTGGGCGGCGGCGGCGGCGGCGCATTGCTCTCCCCCTCCTGTGCAGCAGCACTAGCACCGCCGGACCCGGACGACGGCGGCGACGGCGACGGCGACGGGTCTGCTGCTGCTACAGCCGACAGCCGCCGCACCTCGGCGTCGAGGCAGGCGAAGGCGAAGGCGGTGGCCCGTAGCGCGCCATCGACGCGAGGTGCAGCGGCGGGGGTGCTCGCGTCATCGTCGTCGTGGTCGCCGTGGTCGCGGAGGAGCAACGCGTGGAGTTGGAAAAGGGACGCGGCGATGGCGGTGGTTTGGGCGGAGAGGTGGGTGAGGGCGGTGGTGGCGGCTTTGGACGTGGCGGCGTGTTGCTGGTACTTGTCGTGCAGGAGGGCGTCGATGGCGGCGGTGAGGGCGAGACTGTGGTCGGCGAGGTGTCGGGCCTGGGGGGGCGCGTGGCTTTTTGCGTTAGCGAAGGGGGGGAGGAAGTCGTTGGGTTCGCGTATATACGCACCGCGCGTGGTGGAAGCGCGGGTGGCGGGTCCATGCTTGCTTCTTCGAAGGGAACTTGGCTCTTTGTCGGTGGACTTCTTTTTTTTTTCTTGGTCTGCTTTTCGCGGTGTCGGTCGATGTTGTCTCATTGGGAAAGGAGATTTGGTTGCCTGCGCCACTTTATTGGCGCGCGAAGGATCCGGTTAGCTTGGGGGCCAAAATTCTCGGGGGCGGCACAACGGCTGGCGGTATGTTTGAATTTTTTCCTACTGTGCGAGAGGTGCTATAGTCTTCCCATGGGTAGTTGGAACTAAATTTTGGACGTCCATGTGAGCGTCAAAACTGTCGTCGAACATCAAAGTTGACTACACATGCAGTAATTCGGGGAAAGACACCACGAATATATGTGCAGAAATGGACCTTCCTTCATACAAATGTACCTACATGACGAAGAGGCTTCGTTGTGTTGGATTAAGCTTAATTCCAGATATAGTTAGTTGGTCATCCGTGCTCCTCTTTAGTTTTTCAATTTCTTTATGTCTATTGACTTATGTCGGCGCAAAAGCATATTTCTCATCCACGTAGAATACATATAGGGCGGTAAAGCTCTGTGTATCACTATATACAAGATCGAAAAGGCAAACTTTTGGGCATGGTCGGCGGCCCAGGCGTTCACTCCCACCAGCCTCTACCATACCGGCAAAACCTATCTCCTATGTGTTTGATGAAGACAAACGACAGTCTGTTCGATTGGTCCTACCCACCAGTCCGATAATGAAGATGCCTGCTCCTATACTACGTCTAATTTAGTAAGGGAAAGGCTCTGGTAAGAGAAAGTCTGGACCGAAACTCAGCCGGTAGCAGCAGCCGGATCATTGTTATCCCAAGGTTCTAGACAGTTCCACTAGAGACTGCTACTGTGTAGCTGTGGGTAGATGTCTGCAGAGTCATGGTTCACATCATTCTCACCGGCTGGACATTCTGCCGAGCAAGCGCCCGCCAAGGCTTCAACAATATGGCGGCTCCTGATTTCCACTCTTATCTGGAGCGGCGAGAAGCGCTTTAGTCATGATCAGCGCATAAGCCGGTTGAGATGACACTCGGCTCGGCTTCGATTCAGGCACCGTCCAAACAAGAAGGTAGCAAAACCATCGAGACACTCGTCGTCACGCTTCTGTCGAATTGGCAGCAGGCCATTGGAAGGCTTGATAGGGAGAGAAGGCATCTTGGCCACGGAGCGGCATCGCTTGGGTGGAACCTTGTTCGATATGATAGCATGGAAGCATATACGACACCGCTGAGGGGCGGATCCCGCGTCGGCCATGGCCGACGGACCGCATCCTCCAGACGAAGACGAGCGCTTCCGGCCCGGACGGAACAGAAACTGGTTTTACGGCCGGATTTGACGGCTACCCAGCCTCTTTTCCGATGGCGAGACAACCCTACGCCAAGCCGCCAAGAGGTGCTGCCATTCCTTGGCCACGCCAGCGGTGACACTACCAGACGTGATTCTGCGGGACTTTGGACTCACAATTGCGACCGAAACCTCGGGTAAGCTCTCAGAATTGAATGACACTGAAAACCTTTGGCTTGATTGTTACTGTAGCCGTTCTCGAAGCGAGAGGCAGATGAAGGGATGGAGGAGCGGCGGGCGGAATGCCGGGGCGTGCCAAGCACCCCCAGACAAAAGCTTCGTATAGGAGCTGTGAGTACGAGTTATTCTCCGCCCCATGCGCCCCATCCTTGGCATCCCTCATGGGCTTGACCTGACGCTAATACGAACGGACCGTTTCAATTCCTTTCTCTCCTGCCCGATAAAGCAATCCACGCCCTCTTAGCTCCTGGGCTCGTTAGCCGCCTACTTTCTGCTATCGACCTTCACACTTCCAATCGGATTTGCTCGCCAATGCTTCGCGCAAGGTTGTGGGTTCGCAGTTCGGCCAGACTAATTAAGTCGGCTTGTGAGGCGTGTCATGGGCGATTCCGAGCTCAATCATATTGGCCAGAATGTACATTGTTTGGAGGGTCTCTACACGCACTTCCAGCTTGGCGTGCTGACATGCCGCACAGACATGTTTGTCTCCCGGTTTAGCGGTAAGGTATCTCCAGTAAATACCCTTGTATGAGGGACCATAGTTCCGTTTATGGGTCGGCTTCCGTAGCTTCCCACTTCAGTAGCTATCTTCCTGGCCACCACGGCTATGTTGGACACTGTCTTTACTTCCTTCTGCTTTGCGTAAGGTCATGCTATGGAGTTGGCAAAGCCTGGTCACTACAGAGATAATGAAAGCCGAGTGCTGCGGGCTATAAAGCTGCTGCAGTTCCTGCCACTGAGTTCGACAGCAGCACCTCAGCAGTTCAGCAACAGACTCATCCGCAGTTCAGTCTCCGCTCCGACCATTCTACAACATGAAGTTCCTCACCGGCTCCATCCTGGCTTTGGCCACCGTCGTCAGCGGCATTTCCGTCGATCTCAACAAGCGTGACACTCCTCTGGACGTCAAGCTCGAGATGGTCGGCAACTCTGAGGTCAAGGCCACCCTGACCAACAACGGCGATTCTGCCCTCAAGCTCTTCAAGGTCGGCAGCATTCTTGACAAGACGGCTGTGGAGAAGACCGAGGTCAACTCGGCTGGTACGTATCCCGCCTGCCCAGCACGGAACAGTGCAGTGTAGCCTGACTGCCCACAGAGTCCCGCGTTGCCTTTGACGGCATCCGCCTCCGCATGGCCACCTCCAACCTGTCCGAGGATGCGTTCCAGAGCATCGCGGCCGGCGAGAGCGTCGAGGTCCAGTTCGACATCGCCGAGGCGCACGACCTCTCTTCGGGCGGTGCTTTCGACATCCTCTCCTCGGGCGCCATCTCGTACGCCGCCGACGGCACCACCGACATTGCCGGCGCGGTGCCCTACATCAGCAACAAGATCTCGACCACCGTCGACGGCGCCCAGGCCGCGGCTGCCCGCGAGAGCTTCGTCAAGCGCATCGCCGTCAACGCCGACTGCACGGGCACGCGCCGCACCGCAACGGTCAACGCCGTGTCCGGGTGCCGCAGCCTGGCGCTGGCTGCGCAGTCGGCCGCGTCGTCGGGCTCGGCCAGCAAGTTCCAGGAGTACTTCAAGTCGACGGCGTCGGCGACGCGCAGCCAGGTGGCGGCCATCTTCGGGCGCGTGGCCTCCGAGTGCGGCAGCACCACGTCGGGCGTGGCCGACTACTACTGCACCGACGTCTACGGCAACGGCTGCCAGAGCGGCGTGCTGGCCTACACCCTGCCCAGCAGCAGCTACATGGTCAACTGCCCGCTGTTCTTCTCCGGCCTCCCCGCCACGAGCAGGACCTGCCACGCCCAGGACCAGCAGACCACCACCCTGCACGAGATGACCCACTTGACCGAGATTGCCGGCACCACCGATCAGAACGGCGCCTACGGCTATGCGGCTGTCCAGGCCTTGACCGCGGCTCAGAACTTGAGGCACGCGGATACTTACACTCTTTATGCTCAGGGTATGTCTTGTGTGCCCCTGGCTTCATTGATTGATACATTTACTGACGATGTTTAGCTATCTATGCTGGCTGCTAAGCGTATCGCTCCGCACTGCTATGGAATCGAGGGTGGTTTACTGGGCACTGGAAAGTGTGAATCACCTTTCTGTAAACGAAAGATCATGTAAGGTGGCGGCTGGTAAAATAGTAGAGTAGAAAGTATGGATACATTGCTGTGAGAAATGCTTTTCAACCAGAACGTGGTCGAAAACACCGATGAGTGCACTGATGAGCAAAGCTACGCCGCATGCGGCCCGAACCATGTGCTCCACGCAGACCACATGGACCCGGCTAACCCAAATCCGCCACTCTTCCGCGGCTCCGAATCCCCCAGCCTTCCAGCTCCTCGGGCCGACCTGTTTTCTCTGCACAACCCAATTTGCGCAAGTTCCGCGTCGGAGTAAACCTTCAGAAGAAGCTCAACGACTTCACCTTGACATGCCGCACCAATCCCGTCTCTCCGCCAGCGAATCTTACTGTCTGCCCCTCGCTCAACGAAAACACGAAGGCTGCCGTGCAGACGACGCCGGATCTGTACGTCGATTGATCGGTCGGCCATATTTCCGACGAAGTGTTCCCACAGCGTGCCATCTTTGTACACGGCATTGACGTCAGTCCCTCTCGAGAGCAGTTTGTCTATAGCGCTGCAGATAAGTTCGCAAAGCCGCTCTGAGCCGGATGTCCAGTTGCTTCTTGACATGAGGAGGACGTCGGGCCAGGGCAGGATTTGTGAGGTGCCTGGTTCGACACCGTCAAGTCCGGCGTCGAGGAGGATGTTGATGATCTGGCTGGTGACTATGCGAGTGGATATCAGATACTCTTCCCATCGACTGGCAGCTTCCGACAGGAATTCGTTCCAGATGGCCTGTAATGAAGTTCTCTGGCTTGGGTCCACGTGTTCGAGGAGCAACAGCAGCATAGCTGGATCTGGTATGCCCGTACTTGACGATGATTCTGACAGATGGAGCGAAGCTCGGATGAGCAGAGAACAGTCCTGAGGTGTTATCGAGCGGAACTCGTGCTGGAGCTGGTCTTGGACAAAAACAATGAGCCCCTTCCGAACGCAGTATACCAGGAAGTCGAGCTCCAATGAGCCGGTCGAGTTCTGTTCTGCTCCAAGAGCCGGAAGTAGCAGAACGCTCGCCTTTGTGGCCGTTTCATCCTCACATTCGCCCATGACTTTTCTCAGTTCCAGCATAAGCTGGATATGTTCCTGACGATGCTCGGGTCCGGTTGCGATTTTACGGACGCAATCGACGAGGTCCTCGACCAGGCTCGACATTGGACCGTTGTGGAATACGTTTCGCGGCGTGGTGGATACCCTCTTGATCTGGCCCAGGTAGGCGTGACACAGCTGCTTCCAAGGATTGAAATCTGCTGGAAGCTGAGCACGGAGTCGCTCCTGCATCTCGTCAGAGGTGAGAAACTCGACCACGGTGCGGTGCAGGAGCTCGACGCGGTAGGCAAAGAACTCACGGGCGCTCGCCTCGTTCTCTGGACTCCGCTGGCTTCTTGGTGGGAATGTTTGCTTGCCGGTCCAACACGCTTTCACCTCGAGCAAATCCTTGCATCTTGCGTTCAGTCTCTTTTGTATGACTTGATGGCGATGGATCAGCTCGTCTTGAGTCATTGGCCGCGGCTCCCATTTGATGGAAAACCCATCTTCCTCCTCATCCAACATCGAGTACGTCATCAGAGTGAGCGGCCTGTCCGCTGCCAGGGCGACGCAGAGCGTTCTGGCAGCCTGTTGCTGGTACGCGTCTCCAAGGTTGTTCCACATATGCAGGAAGTACTCCTCGAGACTTATCGGCAGGAGCCGAAGCCTCCTCTCCAGGTCCGACAACCGGTCCTCATTCCGCAGTCCATCCAAAAGCGAATTCACCACCAGATGCACCCACAGAAAGACGCCACTGGCCCTGCCGACAATCTCGTCAGCAAAACGATCCCGGCCGCCCTGCCGAACCCGAAACCCCCTATACAGCCCATTCCCCTCCAACCTCGCCGCCACATACGCCCGAATATCCCCCCTCGTCAAGTCCTCCAACCGCAGCCTCCCCGGCACCCCCCCAAACGCCTCCCGAAACACATTCCACCCCCGACTCGCCACGCAGACCTTGACGCACCCCGCCGCCGCCGCCGCCGTCGCCACCAACTCCCCCACCACCCGCACCACCTCCCCACAACTCCCCTCCGCACACTCATCCAGCCCGTCCACAAAGAAACAAAACCTCGCCCGCGGGGGCAACCCCTGATGGTTCCCGTCTGCCGCCCACCTCCCCACCCGCCGCCACCCCTCCAGCAACTCCTCCCGCGTCCAGGTCCACATCGCCGTCGCCGTCGCCGACCCAGCTATAAGCGCCTCCTCCCACCGCTCCGGAAACGCGACGCGCGCCAGCCGCGCGCCGAGCTCTCCCCGCGCGCTCAACAGTACCTCGCTCAGCAGCGCGCGCAGCAGGCCCTCCGGCGAGCGCTGCAGCGGCGAGCTGCCTGCTTTGGTGAAGAAGAAGGCGGCTGTGATGATGGTGGGGACGTTTTCGTCGTTGTCGTCGTTGGTGTTGTCGGTTTTGGTGTGCGCATCGCCGCTCCTCGCCCACGCGCGGAGCCCCGCGGCGGTTTGGGGGTGGTTGTGGAGGAACTTCATGAGGGTGGATTTGCCGGAGCCGGGCTTGCCGGCGATCCAGAAGGGGGCGGTGGGGTGGGGGTGGGCGAGCCAGGCGGGGAAGGTGGTGGGGGGGTTGGGTGAGGAGTTGGGGGAGGATGGGGGTGCGGAAAAGACCCATTCGAAGGTGTGGGCCTGGGCGTCCGGGATGGCGGCGTGGCGGGTCGCGAGCGAGGGGTGGTGGAGGCTGCGGAGGAGGCGTTGGTGGGCGGCTGTTTCTTCGCTTTGCTGGATCCAGGCGAGGAGCTGGGAGGAGATTTTGTCGAGGCCGGCTTGGGCTTGGGCTTGGGCTTGGGATCTTCCTGGGTCGCCGCGCGGGAGGCGCCGGGGATGATGTGGTGGGGTGCGGCTGAGGGTCTTTGCCATGCTTGAGGTGGCTCGTTGGAGGCTTGTGAGCTGCTGGAGGATCTCGAGGTTCTGGGCGTTGAGGTGTTGGATCTCGGTCATTGTGTGTGTCTGGCGGTTGCGTTGGTCGGCGGCCATGGCTTGAAGGGAGACGTGGGTGGTTGACTGTTCGTCACTTATTATCCTCGTCAGCTGTGATGTCTGTGGCCTAGACGCACAATGCATACTGGACCAGATATAGCAGGCAGGTTGCCAGTCTGCTTCTCAAACCGTCGAGCCTTTTCGAGAGCTGGTCAATTTCACCAGACTTTTTCAACCTTCGCAACACAGTCCGCACAACTCGTAGTCGTTTTTGGATGGTGCTTGTGCTTGTTCTGGCAAAAGTCTTCGATACATGTGAATTCTCGGTCTTCCCTTCTTCGACCTTAAGCGGGGCGAATACTTGCTGAAGCTCTTTCGTTAATGTCTGACATTCGCCAGCGATTTTGAGAAGTTCTTGCTCTGCTTCTGAAAGCACTTGCTGGCCTGTCGGAGCGCCGATGGAGATTGTAGACACTTTCTGGCTCGTAAGAAGCTCCAACGATTCGCAGGCGGATTGCAGCTGAGCGTCTTCGACTAAATGTCCCGAAGCGGAGCGATAGAGCTCACTGCCCATCGAATACATCTTGCAGCCAAGGTCGATGAACTGTGCCACGTTCCCAGCAAGGTTGAGAACTGTTATCGGATCCATTTCTGCGCGGTGAAGACGACCCCGTCCAAAACGAGGATATCCGAGAATTAGAAGCTGAAAAGAGAGATATTGAGGCTGTCAAGCTATAATGAAGCACTTGACTTACGCGCCGTGTGGCTGCGCGGATACAGCTGAAATGCGAGCATGACTAGCCTTGGCTGTCACCCCGGTCGCTCACTGTCCAATGGCTACATGTCAAACGTGCCACCAACGCCAAGCGCTGCCGCTGCCTCGAGTTGCTGCCTCGCTGGTCCCGGCGGTAAGCCCATATCGGCTTAGTTGGCAATCAGTGAAGGGGAAGGTGCGCAGAAGGAGACCGTACTGCTCAAGAATAGGAAACGCGCAATAGGCTTGAGAGCGTTTGTGGCTTAATCTAATCTGTCGCTAAACAAATGCTGGCAAGTAGCTTGCTAAACTCCAAACCATCGCCCTGCCCATTCTTTCTCCAGAACAGCTGGCGCCATGCGGACGGCAGTCGGAAAGGGATTGCAGCGGGGTTTAGTATCGATAAACATTTGGTTTGTACAGAACATCTCTCATTACAACGGCTTGCTCTACTGGGAATAGATAATCTTTCGGATGAAACGCAAGTAAGATACCCGACGCCGGCGTTGACATCCGTGGTACAACAACAAGGTAAGATTGCGCGTGTGCGACGGCTAATATGTCTCTTGTACATTCTCTTCGTAAACTTGAGAAAGCAAAATATCCTTCCGTGGAGTTGCTGGTCTTCCGATGGATGCAGTCGGTTCGTTCAAGAGGGTTGTCGGGCAACGCTCCCTGCTTCGCTGCCGTGGCGACTCTGTTGGCTCCGCTCCATTTGTTGCGGTGATTTTTGGAGCTCATTTATGTGTTTGTATAGGGAATGGAGAGCTGGAACGATGTGTCAGTGAATTTGCACCGGTGCACACATGTTCTGAGCTTACACTCATCCATCTCGAACCCCAGCTTGTACGAGGACGTTTCTTGATCCATTCGCTCAGACAGCAGTTCACCAAGGTTGGCAGCTGTCGAGATATAGCGAATCTTCATGTCAACCTCGTCCTTTTTCCAGACGTTGTTCTTCATCGCTATATACTCATTTTAATACAAAGAGAGAAGTCATCGTTGCTGGGTGACTTACGTTCTCCAATCAACCACTTGGGGCGATCTCCCCGGGCTTTGTGGAATAGCAGTACCAATTTTGCTCGCGATTTCAGTCCTTCAGCAGCCACGTTGGTGTTGAACAGCAAGAGGATGGCTTCATCTGTGTCGTGGCGGCGCCATTTCGGTAGCTTCTTTGCTGTTACGGGCGCGAGGAACACTAGTTCCCACCCGAACATGCCGTGCAAAAATTCCTTCAGGTCTATCGTGTCACACATGTCAGTGCTGTTTGGGTAGAGAGTAGATGGAGTGAAATGCTTGTACCAGTGGGAGGGCGTGTGACATCGCCATCATCGAGCTTGAATCTCAAGGCGAGTCTCGCCCCGGAGCAGACGACCTGAAAGAAACGTCCTTCCGCATCGTTTGCATACGGCAAGTCCCGGACATCTGAGTGGTAATCCGGAGCTTGAAGCTGTTCCAGGTTGACTACAGCCGTTAGTTGCTCTACATCTACCCGGAGCACGATATCGTGGTTTTGTGGCACGACGTAGATGTCGGACGTGCTGAAGCCGCGAATGAGTCGTTCCTTGCGAATCATGCGCTCGGTTCTGTGTGGAGTCTGGTTTGAAGGCCGGCATATGTAGACACTGGAGGGATAGTAGCGGTGCTCGCCAGTCTTTGCGTCTGCTTTGAAGCACCTTTCTTCAGAACTTCCTTCCTCGTGGTGACAGAGGTCATGATTCAGTAAGATCTGACGGACGTCTTCGGCATCTACTCACTGTAAGTGTCTATCAATCCCATAAAGTCAACGCACATTGGTACCTTTTCGGTCCAGAAACTGGAGGCGCAGACGATTATTTGGTTGGCTGGGATCAAAGACCCGGTAAAGCAAGAAGCTGTGGTTCCCTAGTAGTCAAGCATCAGTCACTCTTCAGCAACAACGTTGAGTGGGGGAGAGATGAAAGGAGAGGTATACCTGCAGGTTCTTTGAAGAGGTGATTGCAGTCGGACCATTCAAGTTCAAGTCCAACACCATCTTCATCCTGTAATTTGACCCTCAGTTTGTGAAGTGGCAACCCTATTGACGGTCAGCACAAGGTATGATAGATTAAGACCACGACGTACAAGCAGATTCCCTGGGGCTCCCATCTGATGCCTTGATCTCGAGCAATCTGTACCTTTGCCACAAGGCTTCGTCGTCAGACTCTGAGATATCTACAAAGTTGCCTGCAGCGGATATTGGATCTTCCCATCTCCCAACTTCACGGCTGGATAGGACTTGGAATGATGAAATCTTGGCCGAGAACTTTTTTGTGCCAGAGAACTCTACAGCTTGGGAGATCTGGGAAGTATATCCAAAGTATTTCTCACAGTTGCTTCGTGATGTGACACTAGAGTGTTGTCTGGATCTCGGTGCATCCGTGCTTTCAGAGGGCCTGTGTGGATCCGACTGTTCGTCGGACAAACTACAGCTTGACTCGTTGGTGGGACCCACTGGATACTCTGGAGAAACTGTGATATCCTGCTGCGACGCACTTCTCTGAGCATCGCCAATTGGAGTTCTGTAGCTGCTCCTTCCCGCCGGCTGGGGTACTGGAGCGAAATTCCAGCCTGGTGAGAAAAGGGGTTGTCGTGGTTCCCTCAGTCCCTGCCTCTGTTGTGGTCCCCTCAATTCCACCCTTCTCGGTTCTGAAAGGCGCATTCGATTCAAGCAGCATCTTCCAATGAATGTATTTACTTCGCTCTCGGCGAGAAAAAACTGCTCCTGTATGTCGTTGAGGAGTTTCTCCGCCGAGGGCCTGTCGGAAGATGCGACGGTGAGCTATCCGAGGAGTTTATCAGCTTGGCCGTCCTGGTGGCAGGCAATGACAGGTTCATCTCACCATTTCTTTGATCCACAACAGAGGTTCATTGGACACGTTGCTGCTTCCAAGCTCTTCAATCCATCCTTGAATCAGTTCTGGGTGCTCGCAGTAGTCGCCTCTTCCCAGCGGGTCGGGCCGGAAGAATCTGCGGAGGTCGTCAAGGGTGCACCGCTTGAGTACGGTGACGATCTCGAGGAAGACGCATCCAAGAGACCATATGTCGGCCTTCAGGTCACGAGGCCCCTCTTCCAAAACCTCTGGTGCAGAGTATCTCTTTGTTTGGCCGTTGACAGTACCGTAGGTAAAATCCTTGGTACTGTCAGACCAGTCGTGCGAGATTCCGAGGTCGCAGATGATGACGGAGCCGTTGTGGATCAGAATGTTGCCAGGCTTGATGTCGCGGTGGCGGATCTTCTTGCCGTGCAGGTATTTGAGCCCCGCGACCAAACACCCAAGTGATTTCTGCAGGATCTCGTCGCGATCGCATGCCATTTCTGCCGAGCTGTCCAGAGCCAAGAGCACCGCCATGTCGCACTCGGCGGCTGGCTCAAGGATCAGCGCAAAGTATGTCTTGTCCGTGTAGGTGCCAATGAGAGTGATCAAATGCTTGTGATTCAACTTCATCAGCTTTTGGAGATTGCTCCGCTCATTCCTGAAGAGCTCGTATGCGCTGGGTATGTTTCGGTCGGCCTTCTTCATATCGGCCGTCTTCCGCAGGAACAATTTGATAGCAAATGGCTTGCCCGAGCTCAAGTGCGTCACGCGGCAGATGCGGGCTGTATTTGAGCTGCCGAGGCTTTCGTTGACCTCGAAGTGAATGTTTCCGTTCCGCATAGGCCGGTGGCCAACGGCTTTGAAGGACTCTAAGTTTTCCACCGTTGCCAACGGCGCGAGAAATGAGTCCTGGTAGACCATGAGGTTCCTGATGTCTGATTCGGAAAGCCCACGGCTTCTTCGCAGGGCGGAATCATTGGGAAAGGGAAGCAGATCGTCATTGAAGTCGGAGGCAGAGAGGGCATGCATACCGGCTCCCTCGCGCAGCATGAAAAGGAGCGCAAATGACCGTGGAGACTCTGCCCACGCTTCAAAGCCTTCAAATGCTTCCAGCTCGCTGTGTAGCTCTCTTGCATGTGAGTCGCTGAACTCGAAGGTAAGGGTGCCCGTCGTGCCGATCTGTGGCACAAGCGGGCGGAACTTCATGAGGAACCGTTGGTTGGCCATGACCAACACGCTACACACATACTCCAATGGGAAGTTCTGGAAAGGGAAAGAAAAGCTTGCAGATAAAGAACGACACTAAGGCAGGACAGTGCGGAGCCCCACGGGGAATGGGATGATAAAAGTCGGCAAGGCCACGTAGGCTGCAGTGGCCAACGCCACATGAATCCGACACGTCAGCCCGCACACTGCCTCTTTTGAGGCTTTTCGATCCTGGTGTCATTGTGTGATGGATTCCAGGGCCCCCATGCTCTCGGTGAAAGACGCGAGTGGCTGGAATGTCTGCGTTACACGAACGACGCGGGTGGCCGCATCCTTGACTCCACTGACTCGGATGGTCGCTCAGCTCTATTGATTCGACGTGTCAGCCTAGTTGCCTACTTTTGTATGACCTCATGGCAAGATTCTGCCTTGGCTGACTGACTCCAGAGGGACGAGCCTCGTCTCCTCAGCCGCAGTCCTTCAAGCCAAGGGCATATATACCCGGGTGGAACGAAGCATCGCTCAGCATCAAACAGCCTTCCATCATGGAATCTGATGGTCCTTCGCGACGGAACCCCACCCCGGAGCAGCTACAGCGCATCACGGCGCCTTTCGCAACATGGAAGCCTGGCAAAATGGCCGTCGAGATTGACCTTTTCGTCGCCGAGACTGGCTTGGAAGACGACAGGGATTACATTAGCCGCGGTGCAAAGCTGGCCCAGGACAAGGACGCATTCAATCGTCCCCGAGATGCTCTCGAGTACCGTGAAGGCTCGGACGAGAAAAAGCGTCTTCAATGGGAGGCAGAGCAGAAAGGTAGAGATAGATTCCGGCAGACGTGGACCCTATACGCACTTGTCGTCATCTGTTCAATTGGAGCCGCAGTCCAAGGCTGGGACGAGTCGGCTGTCAGCTCAGGTTCGTAGCCTCGTCGGAAAGTGTAGCGAGGCGAGTGCTGACTGCTGACCTTCTGCCCACACTCAGCCCAGATCTACTACCAGTACGCTCTCAACATCCAAGGGAACATCCTTGGTCTCGTGAACGCGGCGCCGTACTTGTGCTGTGCTGTTACGTGTTGGTGAGCGCCCCTGCAGCCCCACACTAAGGATGTTGATCATGATGTCATATCTCAGGCTGAACCATCCGCTCAACAAGATCTTTGGTCGTCGAGGTATGGTACAACACTGGTGCTTTGTGACTTGGCTGCTAACACGCTACGCCTTTACCAGGGACGATATTCATCACTTGTTTCGTCTCCTTTGTTACCTGCCTTGGTCAAGGCTTCGCTCAGACATGGCAACAGCTCTTTGTAGCTCGCCTGCTTCTCGGCTTCGGAATCGGCCCCAAAAGGTATCTTCGGCAGAGGTCATTCCAACTGCTAGTGTTCTTACATCATCACAGCGCCACCATTCCTGTATTCGCAGCAGAATGTGCACCGGCAAATGTTCGAGGTGCTCTGGTCATGATGTGGCAAATGTGGACTGCTGCAGGTACCTCTCCATCTCGTTGTTGCATCACAAGCACCTAACGTAAACAGGGATAATGTTCGGATACATAGCTGGTGTGGCTCTACACGCCATCTCAGACGGCTCCTCTAATGACTGTCGCGCCTTCGGAAATTTCACTTTCGATCTGTCCGAGAACGACACGCGTTCCCAGGGTGCTTATGCAATCCACTGGGATGATGCCTTGGGAAAGTTCAACAGTTCTGGAATTCTCCCTCCTCATATTCACGGTGCTTCGAATATCCAGTACACGAATATCACAAACACTGTACATCTCCTTGGTACCAACTGTGTAAGTATCCTGCTTCCGCAGCCTCTCCCGGAACACTGTTGAGCACTTACAGCGGCTGAACTCGTATCTATAGAGCTTGAATTGGCGCATGATGCTTGCGGCGCCGGTAAGCCGGCTCGATAAATTCCCATAGATCCAAACACTGATGACCTTATCAGATGATACTACCTTTAGTCGTCATGGCCTACATCTATACCGTACCCGAGAGCCCTCGATGGCTGCTGGACAAAGCTCTTGATACCAAGGACAAAGCCGAGCAGAAGAAGCTCTATCTCAAGGTCTGGGACTCGCTTTGTCGACTGAGACATTTGAAGCTTCAGGCAGGGCGTGATTTCTTTCTCCTCTATCATCAACTCAAGAACGAGCGCGAGGTTTTCGAAACGCAAAGGGGCGCTAAGCAACTCTTTGGACTGAAACAGCTGCTTGGTCAGCCAAGAAGTAGGAGAGCGCTCCAAGCCAGCCTCATTGTGATGTTTCTTCAGCAGGTATACTTCACTGTACCCAAATGGTTGGGCTTGACGAAGCTGATCTTGACGTTTAGTTCTGCGGTGTCAACGGTAAGTAGCAGCTCGCAATCCACTCGGCTTACGATCTGACACACCTGCCATCAGTCCACGTATACTATTCGGTATCGGTTTTCTACGAGCAGGCACACTTTCCGGTTACCTCGGCGCTGCTGGTACGTTACCGTAACCTTGGTGAGACAACGCTGCTCACATACGACAGGCCGGAATGGGCTTCGGCATCATAAACTTCCTGTGTGCCCTGCCGGCGGTTTTTACTATTGATACCTTTGGCCGCCGCAACCTACTCCTCAGTACCTTTCCGTTTATGGCCATCTTCCAAGCCTTCATCGCCATTTCTCTAGCTGCAAAAGGGACCACGCCTTTGCTACTTGTGGGCATGTACCTATTTTCCGCCGCATACAGCCCCGGAGAGGGACCTGTTCCGTTCGTAAGTCTTGGCTTCGCCTTTCACTATACATGCCACGAAATAACTTGCTGATTAATCTCAAAGGTCTATTCCGCGGAGAGCATGCCCCTCCACAGTCGCGACCTGGGTAAGTCGACGACCTCTCCAAAAGCTCTACTGCTGAACAACCGCAACAGGGATGGGAATCGCCACAGCGGTGCTTTGGCTGTTCAACGGCATCCTCGGTAAGTACAGACACTCCCTCAAAACCACCTCACACTGATCATACCGCGAAGCCATCACGTACCCGCAATTTCTGAGGAGCTTCACGCCAGCCGGCACCTTTGGCTGGTATGCCGCCTGGTGTTTCGCAGGGTGGTTCATGATCTTACTGTAAGCCTCCTCCAGGCACCCCAACGTTCTTTGCAGCATTCATCTTACTCGTGGGGCGCAGATTTGTCCCCGAGACGAAAGACCTCAGTCTCGAGCAGCTCGACAAGGTCTTCAACAAGAGGACCTCAGAACACATGTCTTACGGCTGGCGTCAGTTGTTGTTTTGGGTTCGGCGGTATGTGCTCTTGCGCAAATATGCCAAAAGCCCTACCCTATGGCCGACGGACGAACAGGACAACTGGGAGGCTGGGTCCAATGATGACCGTTCGATAACTCAGGACTCTGAAAATGGCCATGAGATGCGGGAGCTGGGTCCGTCCGTCTCCGTCGCAAAAGTAGGAAACTGGTAAAGCCGCGGGCTGCAGGAAGGCATGTCCCGAGGGTTGCAGGCTGAGCTTATTCGAGCCAAGGCGTTGGTGGCGCAGTCGGTTGTACTCTCATGATTGGTATTGATGTTTTCTTTGTGTTACGTAGCCGCGGGGCAGACTTGAGCATGATCGGGGGGGTCGCATAACTTGCCGTTGCGCATGAGGCTGAGCAAGATGCACGCCCGGACAGAACTACCGGAGGCGTGCAGTAGCCCAGTAGATAATGTGTGTACGGTTTTCTAGCGTAGCTGAAATGCAGCATGCGTGCAGCGTTGGTGGTACATAACAAGGGCAGCAGTTTACCCCGCTTTCTCAGCCTTGCACCTCTGCTGCCTGAAAGGAATGCTAGAGAGAAATATGTGCCACATAGATGCCTAAATCTCATCAGCGGAAGAATATTGCTGGTGATCGACATGGTGGCCTCCCCAAGGACAATAATGTACCTGTCAACGGGGTGTCATGCGGCATAGTGCTGGCGGAAGCTTGCCCAAAACGTCACTTTCCATCTTGTCACACTTTACGTCCTGGTATATGATATGACATGTCAGGTCTAGAACGGCAAGCTGCAGCTTTCAATCCCGGTGGTGCTTCAGACCCGCCGCGCCGCGGGGCCTCAGCCCACCACCACCACCCTTTAGTTCCGAGCCCTCAAAAATAAGAGAAGTAGCAGATGTTGACGCCGTTCCAAGTTTCTTGGACCAGATTGAACAATCATCGCTCTGAGCCCACGAAGAAGCGGCGCGGGACTTGTTCGTCTCTGATCGCGCCTCGTCGTCGTCGACCGCTTCCTCCCGTTCTCGCCGCCATTCCGAGCCCGCATGGGCGGCGTGGCGGCTCAAGGGAAGACCGTCGAACAACACTGACGGCTCATACTCCTGGGCTTCGGTGGCCGATCATGTCGCTTTTTCCGCGTGATTACCGGAGGCGTACAAACGAAGCTGCCGCTGCTGGCCCACCTCACGCATGAGCATTGTCAAATGGACCAGCTCGTCGATGACATCCTGCAGCTTGGTTTAGCAAATTTTCCGTCTTTTTGATGCCAAATATTGATGGAGCCTACCGCGGAGATACTGGGGTCCAGCATGTACGAATCCCATGGCGAAAGCTTGTAGTCAATTCCGTGACTCTCAAGCGCATATTCATCAACCCAATTGCGGCCAATAACCAAGTATTCTAACGGTGCGTTTCCGTCTTCACATCTCTCTGGGGAAGAAGGTTCGATCTGCGGTCAGTATTGGGGCGAGAAAAAGTATACGTGAAGAGGCTGATGACCCATAAACCATGTCTGCCCAAGTGCTGATTTCTTTAGCTCTTGCAATCTCCTAAAGATGCCTTCGAATAGACCTACCTGTAGTCCTCATGTATATTGGTTTCCACCCCTGCGAAACCATTAACTGGTACAGCTGGCTCCCCGCTGACGACTTTTGCGGCTGCCACAACAAGGTGGCACACGGTGTGATGACCTGCGACACTGCTCTCTCGGAACGTTTTTGGCGGACTGGCGTTGCATACCGCATATGTCGGCTCGTGCCACTCTCCGCTCCTCCCTGCCCGCGAAGCCATGCTTCCCTTTGCGAAGCCCCCAGATCTGCAGCTCCAGCCGGCTTCTGTAGTCCTCCATCAAACTCGTATACTCTTTCACAATCTCGACTTGCTATTCTTCCGCCCTGCGCTGCTCTACATCCCTTGCATTCTTCGCAGCCTCCGCCTCAGCCAGCTTCTTCGATCTCTTCGCTTTCTCAGCCACAGCCTTGGCCTCCTACGTCATCCTGAGCGCTGCCTCCGGGACCTCCGCAATCTTGGCATCGCATTCCCTCTCCGTTTGAGCCACAGCAGCCGCAATCTTCCGATCAACCTCCTCAGCACGCTGCCGCTCCAGCACCGCTGCTGCTGCTGCTTCCGCTTCCGCCTCCGCTTCTTTCCTCATCCTCTCCCGCTCCGCCTGCCGGTCCGAGTCCGCCTTCGTTTCGGCATCTCGCCTCGCCGCTTCGCGTGCCGCTTGCGCTTCTGCCTCGGCATGAACGCGCTTCTCCTTCTTCTCGGCGATGAAGCTGTCCACTTCCTCCTGTATGGCTTTGAAGCGGTCCTCGTGGGCCTGAGCTTCTTTGGCTGCGTCCTCTTCGACTTTATTGGCGCCTTCTTCCTGCTGCTTCCGCAACTGCTGCTCCAGGAGGATTTCTTCGATGGTGCCCAAACGCTCTTCGAGGTCTGAGTTGCTGGAGGACTATTCTCTCCATGAGTGGGGTCATTCTTGCCACTCACTTCCACATCAGCCTTTTTGAGCCTTTCGACAGCAATGCAAGTAGTCTCGACAAGCTCTCCGCACTTTGCCGGTAGCGATTCGGCGTTGAGTTGATGACTGTCGTGTCTGGTGCGAAGCGGGTACTGTGTGGAAAACCAAAGCTGACAAGTGAATACAACCAACGGAGAGCCCGAGCAGTGGGTAAGAAAACTGGGAGAGGACTCATTGAACTTTGACAGTCCTGATGGCATGCGGCCAAACGGGCATGCACGAGGCTGAATGAAAGCGAGGAAGCCTGTTCCGGGACGCAGGATAATAATGCAAGGCTGGGCAGATGCAAGTCAGCAGTGTGCAACCAGCATCTCTTCGCTGGGGCTCGCTGGTAGCATAGCCACGGCCTCTGATGCATACAGCTGAGATGCAATGCAGCCATGCCTGCAGGCCATCGTAAGCACTAGCTTGTGACAATCGGCGCCGTCCGCCAGAAGTCTATGGGCTTGCAAGGCTCAGGCTTTCAGGATGGAGTAGCCATGCAGATCGAAGCAATGTCCAAAGTGGAGCATCCTTACTCGCTTCAATATGTGAGTGGTTTCTTATGAGGTCGGACTACCGGCAGGGCCGTGTGAATGGGTCTTCGGGACGTTAGAGTGATTGGAAGAAGGGCATGAAATTCTGGGGGGGACACAAGCCGGTCCGAGGCGCATTGCGGACCCACGATCGCAAGGCGGCGTCAGGGCTTGTCGAATCATACGTACTTGGAAAGCGCCATGTAAGATTTATCTCGATTCTGCCTTGAACTGCACCTTGGGAGGCGCAGCAATCAGCGTGGTCGGTCTCACCAAAGGTAGCAAGGATGTGCATGCATAGCCTTGCTGGCTTTGGGGGCGAACACATGTCCAAAATACGGCCAACAAGCCACCCATCTTTTTCAACTCGCTTGGTCTTTTGTCCTTCCTTGGAATATTCCCCATTACGTGTCGAACTAAGATACGACCGTCTCTCACTGAGAATGTCTGATTTTCCGAAGGAGCAACCTGTGCCAGATACCCACATCGACACCGTGCCTCCCTCACGGTCGAGTCAGGAGAGACTCAAGGATGCGCCGACCCTGCCCAACGTAGATGCCTCGAAGAACGATCGTCCCTCATGGTCAACTCCCACGAGTGACTCGAATGCGTGGGTACGGACCAACGCATCAAATGTCTTGAAACCCGACAGAGATGAGAGTTGGCAGGTGAACGGAGATGTCTGGAGCATGAATGATGCCATTTTAGCTAGACTTCACAGGGACGATATGAAACAATCGTCTCTGCGTAACGAATCCAACGGTCGCGCGAAGAAAGGATCCAACCCTGATGCCATGGCTCCGGACCTAATTTCCGACAACTTGACGTCGAAGGAGGCTCATGATACCGAACGGGAGCCAGTCTTTTCTGATTCAGGTTACCACACTGGTAAAGGGACTGATACAGCGTCGGTGAGCTCAGTGGAGTCCTCGGGAAGCTCTCTTGGCCTCCCACAAGACTTTCTCCAAAACTTTGTCGCAGTCTTCGGCGAAATTCTGATTGAGCAATCCGGCGCAAAGGCATGGGCTGCTTACACCTTGGCTCACAGCTCTCCAGAGGTCCTTGAAAAATGTCTCCATGATTTTCTTAGAGACTACTCAGTTGGCCTTTCTGCTCAAATAGTGGCCTCTGGACTGAATAGTCTCTCGCAAAGGTACGTCCCCTGCATCAAGCTGGATGGAAGGTCAATCTGAATCTAACCGAAATTGCGCAACAATCTAGAGCACCACATGAACAAGACGGGCCCATTTACCTCAACGATGAGCTAATCGAAGGCGCTACCCGGCTTATCAGGATATGTGGGCCAAAAATAGCGGCTTACTTCCGTTTCAATGCCCTGAAGACACTTGAGACTGGCCGACCATCCCTTTCCCGCCTCGGAGACCTCATGGCTCAGCCATCGCTATTTGAGAGATTCAGTCTCTTGGGCAAAGCGATACAAGCCAATGGTCCTCCAGACGACGAGCGAGAGATTGCTCTTGGCGATGGAGATGGTGATACAGATGCCGAACTTGTGTATGCCTTCAAGGTCCGAGATTCCCTCGATTCTGGAGACCCATTTAAGAACTTGGCAAAGGCAATGCGGCGGTCCCTGTACTGTGATGACCAGGAAAAGATGAGTAGCATCAGAAAAACCGTCAAAGCTACGATCCGTGGATTCAGGACAACTCGCCGATGCGTCATGTGTTTTCATAAACACTTTCGACATGGCATTGCTGCCAGTATGAGATCAGCAGCCCGGAAATCAGGCCCATTTTACCACGCTCTCTTTTTCGTCGACTGGAATCCCCGAGAGTTTTGCAACTTTCAATTCGCTGAGAACAAAACGCCGCTGAGAGAAATTGTAACTCTGAATGGTTCTGCCCTTTACGCCTACCCAACAACCTGCGCAGAGTACCTTCGTTTGTTTTGGCCAAACACGCACGACGTGCTCCTTCCTCAACTGCAGATCGCGATGGAATCCGGGAGGTCGTCAATCATTTTCAGCGATGACACGTTTTTACGCGTGGAATTCAAAACGGGAGTTCTTGAGATTCATGTTCATGGGCCAGAGGACCTACTCATTGAGCTAGCGCAACAGGTCTGTTGGCTAGGAGCGTCGCTCAGAGAAAGCTCTTCCGGCTCCCCGACAACATACTGCGAAGCCAACATTGCTAATAGACGCCTCGTGGGGATAGAAGGCCCGATATTCGATATCTCCTTTACCACTCGACCACTCCATTCCACTGAGGCCCCGTGCTGGTTATCCTTGTTCGACAACGCCATGATTGCATACAAGTTCCCAATACCGGAGCGAGAAAACGAAGTAGGCTTGGAGATCTCGATTGACATTCTTGCTGCAATCGTGGGAGCTCGCCACGCGGTCGAGTATGACGGAGGCCTTGTTCTAAAAGGTTTCTCCTCGATTCTTTTCCCAGTCAAGAGACAGGAGGAGAGGGTGCAATGGCACCTTGTACTGGGAAGAGATCCTGACAAACGTCTCACTTATCACGACGCGCTGAGTCTGAGCCAGTCCAACACTCGGGCGTTGATCGAGGAGATCGACTTGAACTCGCTCCACTCAACGAGAGCAATTGTCGGTTGGTGTAGCGCTACTGAAATCCTCCTTGGAAGCGAGAAAGTCAACTACGAGAACATTCATTACTCTGGCGCCAAAGATGCTAGCCAGAGGCTCAGCATTACCGGTGGGGCGATCGGCTTTCAGCAGTTCGGCGCGGGTCAAATCGATTTCAAGCTTGGAGCAAAGGAAGGAAAGTTCCATTTCCAAAGGGTAGGTGGTCCATACAAGAGGATCATCTCGGTCGCCGAAAAGACACCAGTAGTTCTTTACGATACGGCTGAGAAGAGAGGCTGGCTGTTTTCTGCCTCCGCCGTGATACTTCACATCGCCCAAACTCGACACTACGAGGATCCAACGAACGACGAGGGCGAGCCCATCAAACTATTCTCCAAGGACACATCCACGTGTTCCGCCCGGGAGAGGCTGTTGCAAGACGCCGGCAACCTCCTCTCCAACTCCGACGGATACCACCTCAAGAACATGATCCTGGACATATGGTCGCTCCTCGAGTACCTCCTCGACCAAACCGTTCGAATCGACACCGCTCCCGGCGCCACCCCGAAGGCCACGCTCCGCGACACCCTCTGCGGCTTCGAATTCAAAGCGGTGGTAGAAGAACGCTCGCCGTTCCGGCTCAAGAGCCGACCCATCGAGAAAACCAGCGGCGGCTGGCCCGCCCTCGTCAAAGACATCGACGCCCTCGTTCTTTTCGCCAACGGCTTCGAGGACCTCATCCTGCCCCTGACAACAGCAACAACAACAGCCGGCAGCGCAACGCTGTCGACCACAAGAAGTTGCCACCCCCTCTGCCACCGCTACCGCACCGTGCCCAAAGGCCTCGACTACCTCGCCGCCACCGTCTCGGCCCTCATCGACCTCTACGATGTCACCGGCTGCCCCCTCGCCCGCAACCATCTCACATCTTCGTCAAAGCTGCAATGGCACGTCGGTGGCGAGGTCAGCAGCACCAACAACCTCTTCGGACCCTGCACCATGCCCTCCGACTTTCGCTGCCGGTGCGAGCGTCTGAGCCAGGTCGTCCCGGACACGGCTATTGGGACTATCGTCGGGCCTTCCGCTGACCTAAATGCGTACGCCGCGAGGGGCGCGGCCACAATCTTCGGGCAGAGTGGTAATCTGCTGAAAAGCTTGGTCGGGGCGGGACAACAGAAGTCCACACGTTTTTACAGTCAGCCGAACGCGCATATTAATGCTGGTGTCACCGTTGACGGCGCCGACGATGCTGGGATGGACCGGCAGCGACAGGTGCTTGTATCGGCAGAGGAGGAGGAGAATGAGGAAGAGAAGGAGGTCAATGATAGCGATTCTTCTAGTCAGGATGGCTCGCGCAACAGCCGGCCCTCTCAGCACTCGAGCTTTACGACACCGACCTCTAGCTATGGCACGGGCGATGGGGGAAATGACGAGGCGTCAATTTGCGTGAGTCACGAGTCGGTGGGCGCAAAGAAGAGACAGCTTAAATTCGGGGAGTGCTACGATAAAGACCATGTGGTTCAAGACACCGACGAGATCCCCGACGCCCACTTCCTGAATCCAGCACAGCCAGTCATGCGAGGGAGGTCTGAGGCACCATTGGCGCGGAAGCCCCATGTTGTAGAAGTACGGGGACAACAGAACCATAAGCTCCGAAGCCGGTCGGGGGAGGAGAATTTGGCAGCGATAGCGAACGGGTGTCAGAAAGGGGAACTCGATCTCACCCATGGATCGGTGATAAGTGCTCCCTCAGGCATGCGTGGAAGGATTTGATGGCGTATAATTGCGGGAGCAACATACATTTGCTCGGAATGATGGAATGTCAGCTTCTTTTTCGTTAATGTAGGAATGGGTGCTTACAACTGCTTTGGTATGCCGCAACAACATGGAGTTAATTTTCTGCGGAACATGCTGCGCACCAAGGTTTGACTCCATACTTCTCTACTCCAGCCATCGAATGCCACAGCCATGGAAAATCGGAACTCCCCATATGGCAACAGCAGTGAACAACCCTACAAATTGAACACAATCAAAACCCCAACCTCCAACCAACATTCGCGCAGCACTCCCCCCTTCCAAAACACCTCCACCCCAACCCACCTCATCCCCCCCTCCCCTCCACCTCCTCCACCAACCCCTCCGCCCACCTCCTCCTCTCCTCCCCACACGCACCCTCCAACATCCCCGCCACCGCCTCCCCCCGCCTCCCATCCACCTCCCCCACCAACCCGTCTGGCTGCACGTCCTCCCACGTCGTGAACTCGACCCACCCCATGTTCGCCGTCTGCAGGTTCACCACCACCACGCCCACCGCCTCCGCCCGGAACGTCCACCCGTCCCACCCCCGCACGTACGCCGCCCCGCCGTCGCCCACCTCCCGCAACGCCCCGCCCCGCTCCAGCGTCACCACCGTCACCCCGGCCGTGCGCCACGCCGCCGTCTGTGCGACGACGAGTGTTTCTGCGTCGAAGAGGCGCGAGTACCACGCGGGCGAGTGGCGTAGCATCGCGCGGTGTGCGGCGACGACGTGTGCGATGCGGCGTGGTTCCTCAGCGTCGTCGTCGGCGTCGGCGTCGGCGTCGTCCGCGGAGGGGAAGAGGAGGGCTTGCGGCGCGGGGTGGAAGATGTTTCGGGTCACTCGGTTGTTGTTGTTGTTGTTGTTATTGTCGTCGTCGTCGTCGTCGTCGCCGCCCCACGGGCCGTTCGCGACGAGGTCGCTGTGGCATGTGCGCGCGATGGCGAGCAGCTCGGCGTCCGAGGCCGGGAAGAGGGCGTACAGCGCGACGAGCCGGCCGCCTGCGGTTGGTGCGGGCGCGTTGCTGGGCGGGAGCTGGTCGGGGGCGGGGAGCGGGATGAAGTCTTGTATGGTTTGGGTGGTGTCTGCGGGCTCTGGGCTGGGTGAGGGGCTGGGGCTGGGGCTGGGGCTGGGTGGTTGTTGTTTTGGGGATAGCATGGTGTGTTGGTTTGGGAGCAAAACGGTGGGTCTTGTTGTGGCGGGGAGGGGCGAGTCGGGGGATGTCGAAGATGGGGAAAGGCTTGGATGCAAGAGGTGATGGTAAGGGTCTGCCAGGGGAAACCTTGGTTGGTATACCAACAGGAAAGAATATCTAAGTTGACGTGTGCGCCGGCGCTGATGTAGGATACCTACTCAGTTGCCCAATGTGGTGTTCTGCCTTGCGGCATTGCTGCAGTGTGGAAGTCCCAAACTGCAAGCTGTTATTTAAAATCGTCAAGGGCGGAAACAGCGCGGAGTTTAGATGGAGCGCACGGACCATGTGGTCGACGTCAGTTTGGCAGCTGCGGTGTTGACCGTTCGGCGCCTGCCTGGCCCTCGCCCACCACTCTGTCATTCCACCGCCGCCAACGCCAACATGACCGACGGTGATGTGCAAATTGATGACTTCGGCGTCGACCAGGATGCGCTGAAGAGCTTCCTCGGCGGCACCGGCTTTGGCAAGCAGAAGCTCGAGGCCGACGTCCAGGCGCAAATCGACAAGTCGAAGCGCAAGCCCGCGAAAGACGACTCCGACTCCAACTCCGACAAGGACAGCGACGACGACAGCGACGACGATGACGACGACGAAGACGAGTTTCCCACCTCGCACGAGATGGTCATCAAGACCCACGACCGAGTCATCACCTCCATCGCCCTCGACAAGTCGGGCAACCGCCTGGTCACCGGCTCCACCGACTGCTGCATGAAGTTTCACGACTTCTCCAACATGACTCCCACCACCATCCGCGCCTTCAAGTCGGTTGATCCCACCGCCACCAAGCAGACAACCAACGTCGAGGCCCATCCGATCCACCATGTCGCCTTCAATCCCAACTACGCAAATCAGCTTCTGGTCGTCACGGCCACATCCCAGCCCAAGATATTCAGCAGGGACGGCGAGATCGTCACCGAGTTTGTGAAGGGAGACATGTACCTGCGTGACATGCACAACACCAAAGGCCATGTGTCCGAGGTGACGACGGGCTGCTGGCATCCGACCAACCCCGACTTGTGTCTCACCGCCGGCACCGACAGCACCCTGCGCATATGGGACGTAAACAACAAACGCTCGCAAAAGGACGTCATCGTACACAAGTCCAAGCTTGCTGGCTCCGGGGGCCGCACCCGCATGACGGCTGTGGCTTGGTCTTCACCCCTACAAGGAGGCCCCAACCTGCTGGTCGCCGCCGCGTACGACGGGAGTCTGGCCATGTGGAGTGGCGAGGGTCCGTTTGCCCGCCCGGCAGGCGAGGTCAGAGACGCTCATACCCCTGACACTTGGACCGGTGGGCTGGACATCAGTCCGGACGGGAGGACGGTGGTTACTCGGGGCGGAGATGACACCATCAAGATATGGGATACGCGCAAGTTCAAGCAGCCCGTCTCGACCGTCTCCCACCCCTCGACGTCGTTCCAGTTCCCCAGCACCAACATCCGCTTCTCCCCCACTGGCGCGAACATCATTACCGGCTCGGAAACGGGCCACCTCCACATTCTCAACCCGGCGACCCTGCGCCCGGAACTCGTCACTCCGGTGACGCCGGGCTCGCCGCTGATCGTCGTGCAATGGCACGACAGGCTGAACCAGATCGTCACGGGCTCGGCCAACGCTGAGACGCACGTGCTGTACAACCCGGAAATGTCGCATCAAGGAGCCAAGATGGTGATGAGCAAGGTGCCCAAGAAGCGGCACATCGACGACGACCCGAACCTGACGATGGATCTGTCCCAGGGCGTGTCTGCAGACAGCATCGTCACGCCAGGCACGCAGTCGGCTACCAGCTTTGCGGCACGGCATCCGACGGTCGGGCTCACGGCATCGGGCAAGCCGCGTGATCCGCGCAGGCCCCACATTCCGCAAACCACGCCGTTCGCCAAGAGCCAGCCGGATAAGGAGCACATTCGCAAGAACATCCCGCTTAGCTCGATGCGCGAGGAGGATCCGCGCGAGGCGCTGCTCAAGTACGCGGAAAAGGCCGAAAAGGACCCCCTTTTCACCAACGCGTGGAAGGACACCCAGCCCAAGACCATCTATGCCGAGCTGAGCGAAGAGGAAGACGAGCCGGACAAGAAGAAGGTCAAGCGGTAGACGGTTCGTGGCGCAGCAAAAAACGGATTGAGAAACAGCATTGGGAGCATTCAGGGACACAGGCGCTCGGACATGGGGATTGTATAAATATACAGCCTGCTTCAAAAATAGCAGGCGTGCTGATGATACCCGCGACAAATAGATGATGATGTGGAGCAAATCTCGCCGACACGAATGGGTGTGATTTGCTGCGAGGGCGTGGTGCGATGATTGGATGCACGATGATGGTGCTGGGGCTGCGAGAGGGTGATCATCTCGCCTGCATGTGAGACGCAAGAGACCCTAGCTGCGCTTGCTGCGCTTGCCTTGGCACACCCGCGCTTGCACGACCAACTGCCCAAATCTCTGTTTCCCAAAGCGCGCTTGCATGGAGCATGGCCTGCACCACCACCACCCGCGATTCCTCCGAATAGGCCGATGAGTCTGCTACAAGCATCCCCAACTTTTGCCCCGACCTCCGCCCAGCGCCCGCCGCGCGACTGACACGCCCGACCTCCCGTCTCCGCCGCCGACACCCCAGACCACCCTCCGCAGAAGCGCGCCGCCCCTCCAGACCCAGCAGCACCGAGCTGCCATGATGCTCCCAACCGCCGCCCAGGCGCCGCTGCACGATGTCGTCGCGAACGCCGCCCTGGCTGCTGCCACCCACGCCGCCGCCGCCATGTCCGCCGCAGCTGCGACAACCCCGTCACCATATCCCCACCCGTCCGGCAACCACACTCTGACGGACCACGGCGGTGCGGGCGGGGACAACTCTGAGCAGGGCGACTGGTCATCCATCATCGGAATCACCACCGCCATCGTCGGCAACATCCTCATCTCCTTTGCGCTCAACACCCAGAAGTACGCCCATCTGCGGCTCGCCCACGAGGCTGAGGAGCGGCGGCAGCGGCGCAAGCGGAGCGCCTCCGGCATGCAGACCCCGGACGAAGAGATGGCCAAGGCGAACGCGAAGGCGCGGAAGATACTGGGCTTCAAGCTCGGCAGCGACGACGGCGAAGGCAACGACGACGAGGAAGACGACGGCGAGCCGCGCGAGACGGACGCGCTCCTCGGAGACGGCCGGCACAGCCACGACGTGGATCGCGCAGCGGTGGGGAGTGACGAGGAGGATGCCGCGAGCCTGGAAGCGCAGGCGAAGCGGCTGCGGAACCCGCCCAAGAAGCAGACCAGCTACTTGCAGAGCCCGTACTGGTGGATCGGCATCGTGCTCATGATCGTGGGCGAGGCGGGCAACTTCCTGGCCTACGGCTTCGCCCCGGCATCCATCGTGTCCCCGCTCGGCGTCGTGGCGCTCATCTCGAACTGCATAATCGCGCCTATCATGCTGAAGGAGCCTTTCCGCAAGAGGGACGCTCTGGGCGTGCTGATCTCCATTGGTGGCGCCGTCACGGTTGTGCTGAGCGCCCAAGATAACAACCCCAAGCTGGGCCCGCATGAGATCTGGGAGCTCATCAAAACTTGGGAATTCGAGACGTATTTCGGCGTGACGCTGATCACCATATGCGGGCTGATGTGGGCGAGCACAAGATATGGCAAAAAGAGCATTTTCATCGACCTGGGTCTGGTCGGTTTGTTTGGTAGGGCGTTGTGATATATCGTTTGGAGTGACCACCGCTGACGTTCTTGCAGGCGGATACACCGCACTCTCCACCAAGGGCGTGGCCTCCATGCTCTCCTACACGCTGCTTCATGCCCTGACCTTCCCCGTGACATACCTCATGGTCGTGATTCTGGTCTCCACCGCTGTGATGCAGATCAAATATCTTAACCGCGCACTGCAACGCTTTGACGCCACTCAGGTCATCCCTACGCAATTCGTCCTGTTCACGCTTTCCGTAATTCTTGGATCGGCCATCTTGTACCGCGATTTCGAGCGCACGAACGGTAAAGGCGCGGGGGAATTTGTTGGCGGTTGCCTTATGACTTTCATGGGTGTGTGGGTCATCACGACGGGACGTCCAAGGGACGACAACGACGAGGAAGAAGAGGATGAGGAAGAGGAGGAACATGCCATGGAGCAAGAACACGCCATTCATCTCGGACCCGAAGAATACGGAGACGACGAAGTGCATTACGGTCCGAGCTACTCCAACGACGTCTCCTCCATGGCCGCACTTACACCCTACGCGTCCGCCGGCTCGCATCACCGTCGTCCATCAGTGCACCGTCTCAACACCCCGCACATCACCCTGACCTCGGAGCCGCCCTCTCAAGCCGTGACCGTGTCCACCACCCCCGCCGGCCTCGACATCGGCGACGACGACTCCCTCACCGCCAACCCCTGGGCCGACGAATCCCTCATCTCCAGCCTCACCGCGAACCGGAAAAACAACCAACCCCCCCTCCTGCACGCCACCACGTCTTCCCCCATCCTCCCCTCGGAGGCCGAGGCCCTCGCCCAGCGCCCCGACAGCCGCCGCCGGGACACCTCGCCCATGGCATCATCATCCAGCGCCACTCCAGCAGCAGACGCCGAACGCCCCGCAACGCCTCCCGGCCCCGGCCCCACCCCCCTCCGCCGCAAATCCCTCACCACCCCCTCCCCAAGCAAGAAACCGCCACCACCACCATCATCATCATCACCATCATCATCATCCAAACAACACCAACAACAACAACACCCCCCACAACCCAGCCCGCGCATCCGCCCCGCCCAAACCGAACCCGCCACCCCCGCCTCCACCTCGTCAACCCTGGCAAAAACCCCCACCTCCCACCTCAAGCGCGGCTCCATCTCCCTCGTCCCCGGGCCCCTCACCAGCCCCCTCAGCTCCTCGCTGTCCGCCGTCGTCGCCGACAGCCTGCGCAAGGGCGTCGAGATGCGGAGCTTGACGGGCGGACATGGACATGGTCATGGAAGGCCCAGGCGCAACACGAAAGATGGAGCTGAGGGCGTTGCTGGTGGTGGCAGTATCGGGTTCGGTGGGTGGTTGACGCAGGGCGCGAGCGTGGCGGGGCCGCGGGACGGGCCGAGCGATGCGAGCGCCGCGGCGGTGGCGGCGGCGGCGGCGAGGCGGAGGAGCAGGGGGGTCAGTCAGAGTGAGGGGGTCGGGGTCGGTTCGCCTCTCGCTGCTGTCGTAGCTGCTGGGGGGGAGGGAAGTGAAAGTGGTGGCAGGGCGAGGAGCTTGAGCAACCCGTTCGGTTCGTTGTTGAAGAAGGTCAGGAGTAGGGGGGATGGCGTGGCGGAAGAGGAGGCGGAGGCGGAGGCGAGCGCGTCGGCGTCGGCGGAGGCGTCCGGTGCGGACACGCCGGTTACGGTTGTGCCTGCTGAACCTTCTTCGCCTGCCCCTCTTGCTGCTGCTGCTGCCGAGGAGGAGACGCGGGCGGAGGGGCAGGGTCGGGAGGTTGGTGCCGATGGCGATGGGGAGCAGCGGAGGTAGTGGTACCGATACCGTTGTTTCCTCCCCTACCCCCCACTCCCCACCCCCTTTTTTTTCTCTCTCTCTTTTCATGGTTTCCCCGAGTATCTCGTTGGGGGGCGGGAGTTATAGAACGAGCGAGTGGGCGGGTTCAATCGTGGATGGAATGGATGTGGATGTTTTGTCTTGATATACATGGTTTTTTGTTTCAGACATGGGAGGGTGCGGTAGGTGGAAAGGTCTTTTTGTTCATTCTTTTTTCTCTTTTTCGTCTTCTTTCTTCTTCCCTTATTCGACACAACCTTCCCTCCCCGGCTTTGGTGGTCTCTGGTTAGCATTTTGCGCGCCCTCCCCCATACATGTGCGTCTGGGCATTTCGTCTTTGTCTGTGTCTCTGTTAGGCTCGTCCGTCATCTCTTGTTGCATTTATATGGGCGTTCATTGTGGGAGTCGGTCTCGTGTTTTGATACAGGAGTGGGGAGAAATGAGAGGGTCCCTCTCTCTCTGTGTGTGTATGTTTTGCTCGTACGTACCTAGTGTCTGGCTCTTTTCCTTTGCTTTCTCCCTTTTGACTCTGAAAAGTGCTGCTGTGTGTAGTTTTATGTCTGTATTATCCGAGGGAAAAACAGGTTTTCCGGCAGCGCATCTCTCTCTCTCTCTCTATATATATATATATCTAAACGTGTGCGCCAATTTGAGGTGTTTGAGGTTCCCTTGCAACGTTGTAAAGGAGGATGGGGACTTGCAATGACGCCACCGCCCTGTCTGTTAGTGATTATCAGCTGGAGGGAATGGCCTATTGTGTATGCCTTTCACAACAGCCCTCGATGCTTTTGCGAGGTCAAGCATCGGAACGGATTCGCCATCGAATCGTCTACCATCACGCTGTGTACGTCTGGCGGCAGCATTTCCGGCTGGCTGTGCTGTGTCGGCGGAATACGCCAGCGCATGGGCGAGAGAGTTACTGGGATGGACGTCCATCTCTTTCGGCAAGATGCTTCCGAACGTGGCAGGTAGAAGGTTACTAGCGGGTGGGGGCCGAGTTCGGTGGTTGGAAAGACGTATCGTACTGCGTCGAAGGGTTGCCGATCTGATTGAGCAGTCCTCGGGTGCTGGATCCAGGGAGGAAAGGTGGTCGAACTCATGCTGCTTCTTCCGATTGAGGGGGCCTTTCCGCCAGAACTGCAATCCGTTCAACGTAAGTACTCTCGTCTGTTTTCACCCCGGTTGATGGCCTCGAGAGAGAATGCTTGCATACTTCAAGCCCCCTTGTGCCACCAACAAATGCCAGCCTCGGCCCCGGATCTATTGGCGCTTGGTAATGCTTAGTCTCCGACTTAAACTGACGCTTGAGGCACATCACCACATACACTAGGCTATCGTTTTCCGGAAGTGATGAAATGGCGCGGGATGGATGGGAACCCGCTTTTCTTTCTTCCCTTCCCATTTCCCATTTTCGAGCTGCATTGGCCGAAAAGTGAACGTGCTAAGCCAGCTACATGGCAAGACGGAGGTTGTTGGTTCTTAAAGGGGGGAAAAAAAAAAAATCATGAGACGGGAGAAGGCGCGCGGAGCCACGCTGCTTCTGGAGCATTACAATTGTCTCCGCTAAGGTTAGGCCGTTTCGCAAACGAGGCGACTTGTGCCGGAAACCGGTGCCGCCTATCCACATTATATTGCGAGCACCCCCCAGCTGCTGGAGCGCGTTCCCAATTGACAGTAGGAACGCATGGCCCGAATTGCTGGCCCCCGAAATTATTAAAGTATGAAGCCGGGCGGAAGGAACACCCCCCCACGAGCGGACCAAAGGAAATTTGAATCCAGGCCGACGGACGTGACCATTTCAAGGAACAAATCGGTGTTGCAAAACGCCCATCACCGATTGGATCTAGCGATCGGCCGCTTATCACGCCCATTGGTAGCGCGGCCAAAATGCCCCCACGAGACGTGGCAGCGTGGCGATAGCCTGATAGCCAAGGAGAAGCACATCCGCACGCTGGATTTTGTAAGTTCGCGGCGTAATGGAAAACTAAGGATGGGGAGAACAGGCCTTACGGAGGAGCTAAGGGTCGATAGCCTGAGGGTATGTATGTTGGTTTAAAAGCCATACCGATCGGTCCACATGCCACATGCAGCTTGGTGCCGAACTACAAAGCTTGGTGTGACGCGCGCGAGGGCGGCTTGTATGCTCCATTGGGCAGTAGGTATGGTGAAGAGGCAGGGCTCGGGGGGCAAAAACGCCAACAAGCTGTTTGGTCGTGAGAATATCTCACGCCACCCACTCAAACTTTAAAACCACACCCTCGCCCCCACTCTCTGTGTACACATGAAAGCCAAAGTGGATTCCTAAGAGCTTTTTCCAAAAGTGGAGCGTTCATCCGCAGTGAGCGGCCACTCATCGTAGATCTTGGCCCCATTTTCTGCATCTTGTCACCACCGGGTAGGACGCGAGCTGAAAGCTTAAGCTTGGAAAAACAAATGCGGCGCTAGAGCGTCAACCTTCGCCGTGGCGTAGCGGGATGTGAGGGGGGGGACATGCAAGAAACGCGCCGCGTATAAGACCATGGCATCTGCTTTTGTTAGTAGCACTTTCTCATCGAGCTTTTTGCAGTGCACGTTCGAATATTCTGCCCACCGCGCAAAGGCCCGTTGCCTTTTCACTCACCATTCCCAAACAGCACTTCGGGATGCTCAGGTATGTTGGTGACCTTTTTTTCCTGCCTTTTCTTTTACAAGCAGTCCAGCTGTGCCCCAATGGCCTGTGCTTCATATTTACAATTCCTTGTTCAGACTCTCAGACGTTTGCATACCGTCCATGCCCATGGTCGGCTTCCTTTGGGACGACATGGTTACTGTGCCCGAGCACTCCGCCTCTTGTCCTCCTCGACTTGCTGCGCCCTGATGGCCCACCAAACGGCAGCAAGGCACACCAGTCCAAAACTTGTGCCGATGATCGCTCTTCCTCTTGCGCCTTGCTTTCTCTTCAGTGCCTCGTCGGATCCCAAAATAGTTACAGCATTCTTGAGGATTGCGTAGCTGAAACCGCTCCACACAGTGGTTACGCCGACAAGAACCTGCAACCCTGTCACGGCGGAGGAGAGCGTTCCTGCGTTTGTGGCTTTGTAGATGGCTGAGGAGATGACCGGTCCTCTGGGTTCACCTCGTGGGGTTCCGGTCGAGGCGACTGCGGCTGAGCTTGTGGTTTCCGCGGTGGGGGAAGGGGGAGCAGTGGAAAAGGAAGGACGAGAGGCGTCAGCATGGTCGGAGCGGCCTCCTTCTGTGGCAAGAGAAGCTGATACGGCGGCGTCGGTGGCTGCATCATGGGTAGGCGAGGCTGCAATCACAGGAAAGAGAAGAGTCAACCCGATCAGGGCAAGTTGGAGGAAAGTGTTGAACTTGGACACGGTCGTCGGGTGGACCTCAGCAGACGGCAGAGAAAAATCCCAGTAACGAGCAAACGTCTTGGGCGAGGGCAACGAGGCGTAGCGAAAGTAAATGGCGGCGATTGCGAGCGACGCGTCACGACCGAAGATCAAAATAGCGAGCGAACCTAAACGTCGACAAAGGTATCAGCAAGCCGGCCAGTTGTCTCCGACAGATGACATCTCGGCCCAACGCAAAGCCCAAACGGGGACATGGATGGGATGGGATGCGGGGAGGAAGGGTGGACCGGAGCGGGGCGGGGGATTGACGGCGGTGTGGATGATCACAGATGCGGGGAATAGGGGGGTGTGTGTGGGCGTGTGCGCAGGACTCAAGCCGGGGCATACCGGGCAATGCTCCCTTGACGGCCAGACAGCCAACAGTGACGGCCATCAAGAGTTTGTCAGCCATGGGATCGACAACGCTACCGACGACAGTCTGCAAATTCCACCGACGAGCGATCCATCCATCGAGGAGGTCCGTGATGCCGGCATAGGCGAAGAGGCCCAGAGCCCATGCATGATGGTCGTGCAGAATCAGGTAGCCCACGACGGGGGCGGCGATGAGGCGCGAGAAGGTGAGGACGTTGGGTATGTTCCAGACGGCCTCGTGCGTCGTCAGCGACTTCAGCTGGTTCCGGAGTTGCTTGGTCTTCTCGATCAGAGGCTTTTTTGGTTGGGGCTGGCACCAATGACTCGTTAGCAGATGTGCACAGGGATGGGCTGGAGATGCATGGTATCCTTGCGCGGATGCTGTCATGAATATACGACGGGGGTGGAGGGAGCCACAGGACCCGCGACTGTGGTAAATGAAGGCTCGAGAACGACAAGGACGGAGGGAAAGAGCAAAGATAGGCAGCCAATGGCGAGGATCAGGGCGCCGGTGGGATAGAATTCAAGCAACAACCTCGGCACTCAACTGCCGCGCATCCTCGGCATCGACCAGCGGCGAGTCAGCGAGGCAGCAGATCGTACGACCGTAGGATGGTGAGGGTGAGGGAAGCAAATAGATGAGAAGCAAGTGTTATGACGTTTGAGGTAGTGCAGGCGCACGTGGAAAGCCGCGTCAGGGCCAGAATAGCACGGAGTTGAGCAGACGGCAGGAGCAGTGTGCATTCGGGGGCACGATTCAGAAGGCGGACACAGACCAGAGGCAGGAGAGCATGCGGGCAGCGGATGCAAAGAAAAGAGCACTCACCGTCTGGCCGTGGCGGCGGTCTCCCTGCGGTCCCTCGGGCTGGTCGTGTGCCGCCCTACAAGCCGTCGCTGTGGAGAAGCTGCTGCCCCTCACGCATGAGTAAGGCGTCAGACACGGACAGAGGGCGGCACTCACCTGGGCGCGATAGCACCTCGAGGCCGGACACCCTGCTGCGACGGTCTGGTCCCCAGCGCAGCGATGCGGGCGGCGGTGTTGCAGCCCAACGGCAGGCGCGGGCTCCGCGCGGGCTCAGAGGCAGCAGGCGAGGCAGGCGAGGCAGGCGAGGCCCACGTGCGGATTTGGAGCAGCGCTCGCGGCCCAATGGCTGGGAATTGCGTACGACGCGGAGGGTACGACAGCGGCGCTGAGCGCGCAACCAGCCGGGCGAGAAGGGCGGTGGGCTGCTGCGTATTGATGGCCATGGCACTATCGCATGGTGCTGGGAACGGCAGGCTCGGCGGGACAGGACACGGCTGGTGGCGATGGGGGGGTGGCAGGGCGAATGGAGGCTGGCTGTGTGAGGTCAGAGCAGGTCAGAGGAGCGTCCTGGCGCAGAGGAATTGGAATTGCTTGCCCCGGCCTTGGCAAACGTACGGCGCGTGCACGTCAAGCGAGATCCGTCCCTGTCGCTGCGCCTTGTCTTCCACGCCTTCCGGTGCGCTGTCCGCTGCGCTCCAATTTTGCTGCTCGACTCGCACTCTGCTTACTCGTCGCGCACACGCCCCAGCCCGAAACGGCGCGTCCGCCGCCGCCCCTGACTAAGCGCCGTGCCCGCGCCATCGCCCCCCAGCGGGCCGACGCGAATCTCTCATGTCAGCTCGTGGTCCGCCCGAAGTATATGCAGCCACACCACCGCAACGGCTCTGCTATAGGGCCCTCGAGCCAGGGGCTGCGCGAGGCTCATCCACACCCGCCAACGTCACCGACGACGTGGGCCGCCGAGATGGTGATTAACTCTGTCTCTTCGACGCATGGTCCTGGACGCGCCTGTAGGGCACCGGACGCAACCACGTTGAGACATTAGTGCATTGCCTTTATCATCTCGCGACGCTTTTTCCATACTCGGTGCCAGACTCAAGTAGCAGCCGGCCAATTCTAAATATATCTGCCTGACAATGTTTTTTCGACGACCAAGTGAAGCAGACGCCTGACCCCCCGCCCTACGCTTGTGCAGCCCCGCCCTGCTTTTGGCCCAGCCCTACCTCAGGACACAGTGGACAGCTAGACGTATTCAATTGGTGATAACGAAGCAATATACGAGCAAAAGAAATGAGACGCGGAAGTATCCGGATGGGTATCGAGAGAGCTCCCGACATATGCAGGTAGCGGTGGAAAGATGACTTGCGGCCTGAATGCCCAGCTTTCCACGATTCGGGCCCCGCGTCAATCCGAAGGGAAATGTGGTATCGAGAGCGAATGAAGCCCATGTGGCCTAGCGCCACCCAGTGCAGAAATGTTGTGAACAGAACGATCCCACCAACACCGAGACTCGCCAGTACATCGTACAGAGAACAGGAAACAGACAAAAGAAATCCAATCATTCGTAGACTCGGAGAATTTGACGCATCATCGTCGTAAGAAAACCGCTCAGCTGAAGTTGTTCGAAAAATGAGGGGCCTTCTCGTCGAAGGCGCCCAGTGTGTCGTGCCGCGAGTGCTGTGCTTCAGAGCTCGAGTAGCATGGATATGCTCCACCCGGTTGCACCGACCCCTCTCCAAACATGTGATCCGGAGAAACCTGCGAATCCTCGCTGATGTCGCTGATGCTGCCGTGGTACGGCGCTTGGCTCGCCATTCCGTGGCTGGACTGCTCAAACCCAAAGTTCTGGCCGAAAGCTGAGCCTGCTGCCGTTGTGTACGACGTCTCGTGTTGGTACGGCGGGTAGTCGAGGGAACCCGGCCCTTGCATCTCCGTGGCGACGTTTTCAAATCCAGACCGGGGCTGGTGTCCATGCGGTTGCCCCAACTGCAAACTGTTCAACGGGCTTATCAGGCCTTGAGATTGCCTAGACCCAGGCATCATCTGTCCACTCCCTCCAAATACGGCCGAAGGACTCGAAGAGCTCGTGCGAATCGCGGAATAGCCCGCGCCACTGCTTGCGGATGCGTGAAGGCTGGCCATGGGCTGCGAAGAGGTGTGATATGCGGGGTGCATGGCGCTCGAAATGCCGTGCATGACAGGCTGGTAAGGCTGGTGAGGGTGATACTGAGAGGCATATGAGCCAATGGGGCCAGACATGCCAGACATGCCGATATAAGGTGGATACGGAAGCACATCATCGGGGTCCTGGATAGGGCCTTGTTTTGCTGTCAGCTGTGATCCAAACAAAAAAAAAATCTACGGGGCGGGGGACTGCTCACTCCGGAACTTCTGTTCAGTGATAAGCTCCTTGCGAGGATGGCAATTCGCTAGACGATGATCGTGACCCGGTCGAAAGAGAGTGGACTGATCTTTGGCATCCTCGATAGTGTAGTACGCGATCAAGTGGTGTGTGCAGCCGTTAACAGTGACGCTCAGGGTCCTCTTGAGCAAGCCACCGCGTTTGAAGTCATAGGAGTCGACCAGTGAACCGGTGATCTTCCTATCTTTTGAATCGGGGATTTCGTATGAAGGCTCGTCGCCGTAGTGAGAAGGGGGGCCACTGGACCGGGAATACGGCTCGGTGCGAGCACTCTTGGTACGCTGGCGGTTTGCCCTCTTCTTCTCGCCTGGTGGAAATGGACGCTCGAGTTCGCGGTAGACGAGGAAGTTGCCCATGATACGGCTGGGACTCCAGGACAGGCCATCGGTCCATCGCTTGATACCGGAGGTCGACTCTTCATATACGAAGACGGAACCGCTCCGGATAAGGGAGGCCCTTTCTCTGTCGTGCGGTCGGCGCGGGCAATGGACAAGAGTACCATTAAGACAGGCCTCGATGATGGTCAGAGCGTCCTGGGTGGTGTGGACGAAGCCGTGCCATGTAGGCTGCATGTTGGCATTAAGATTAGACGGGACGGGCGGGATGGAGTTGACGTTCGGCGCGACGGGCGAAGCGCTGGTCGTTCTTGTTAGGCTGAGGCGGTCGCTGTCGCTGGTCTGAGACTCGGAATAGCTGCCGCTGGTATAACGATGGGCGAGGGAGTGGGCCGGAAGAGCACCCGGCAGCTTTGCCAGGGCCAGACTCTTGGTGGCCTGGGAGGGGTGGGCGTGGGTGGCGTGGGCAGGCGGAAAGTAGGAAGAATTAGAGTGCACTGGCGAGTCGCTGTACGGCGAGGGAAACGAGCTGTCGTGGCGCATGGTCGAGGGGGCGAGCGAGTAGGAGCCATTGCTGGAGCTGGTCTGGCTCTGCGGCGACATGTAGGCGCTGCTGGAGCGGATAGGCATCAGAGTCCTGGAGTTGTGGGCTCTGTGATCGTCGTTGAAGTCCATAGCGCCGGGCTGCAAGACTCAATTAGGCAAGGTAGCTCGGTGCAGCGGCCGGAAGGGGAAGGATAGAAGCTTATTGATGGAGGAGCTTATGCGAGTGTTGCGGAGGCAGGGAGCGCGACTTACAGCTGCTGGTAGCGAAGGGCTGGCGATGGAGGGTTTTGGGAGTCCGGCGTAGGCCAATTGGTCGCTGGAGGCGAAGGTCCTGAGGCTGTAGTCGAGCAGCGGGGAGTAGAGGTCCTTTCCCACCACGTTTTCGCGGTAGTGGTCCCCACCAAAGCGGGACTCGGGGTGCAGAACGCGAAGCATTCAGCCTATGGAGCGCGGCGACCTCGGAGGGCAGGCGGCGCGGAGGCGGCGGCGGCGGCGAGGAGCAGCGCTGGGGCGGAGCTTGAGGAGTCGTCGTCGTCGGCGGCGGCGGGCGGGCTCGCTCACGTGCGACAATGCGGTGTGCGGGCGCGGAGAGCTGGGCGGGGAGCAGGGTGGTGCAGCAGGGAGACGGCGAAGGCGAGCGAGCTGCGAGTCTGCGAGGCCGCGATGAGCAGAGGGCTGAGGAGCGATGACGCCCTCAAACCGGCCGGCGAGGTCCCTTAAAGCTGGAGGACGTTAGGCCTGGCGGGTAGGGATAATCCTCCCCGGCAGGATGATCAAAACGTCGCTGCTCACAGAGGCGATGCCGCTTCTGGGATGGGGTGGTTTGCCGGTAACGGCGTGGGAGGCTACGCAGGACGTGCGCGAGGAATTGGGACCGCTCTAGGGCGTGCGGTGCTTGCGGTGCGATACGGAGCGCAGTGGGCAGCGAGCTGGGACGTTGGAGCCCTTGCTTGGCCAGCGGCTCGGCGACGATCTGCCAGCACGCACAGGCACAGGCACACGGCGCGCGGCGAGGGCGAGACAACTAAGGTTGACCCCGCGCAAACCACGGGTTCCTGAGTCGCTCGACGGCCACAAACGGTCCGACCGCACCGTCATTCCAGGCCTGGGAGGTGAAATGAGCGCGCGCGCCAGCTGGCGGATGCGGTGCGCGGGCTGGCACGGTCGAAATGAGCGTGCGGCGGGGGGTCCTGGCGTCCAGATGCGGGCGTCGGGATCTACCTGCTAGCAGATCCTGGCCTTGATCCTCGTCGTCTTCCCGACGGGGCCGGTGCCGGGGGCGCGCAAGTGCAGAGCCGGTGTTGCAGATTGCTGGGCGGCCCATGCCGACCGGGGGCGCGCCCCGCTCGCCCCCAGTCACCAGCCCGCCGTCGTCGCTCTGCCGTAACGTCGTTACGGCGGAGCGCGTAACTCCGGCAGGGCCGTCGTTCTGCTGCCGTGTCAGCAGCGTCGACCGCGAGCTCGCGTATCAGACCGCCAAGTGGAGCAAAGGGCCAGTTCACCCATCGTTCGGACATGGCGTGAGCTTGGCCTGGGCAGACGAAGCCGTTGTCTGCACGTTTTGGTCTCCGCTCTTGCCCGGCTGTGCCGCCTTTGACGACCACTCAGCGGCGGCCAGCCGTCCTGAAGTGCGAGGCCGGTCGAGATCTGCAGCGCCATAGTCGAGAGGCTGAAGTCGCCGTTCCCACCTGACATCAGCGGCCGCGGCAGAGTACAGACTTCTCAAGCCATGGGCCAATCCTGCCTCGGATTTTCCGATGCTAGACGACTTCGGAGGATTAACGTGGACGTCGATCACGGGGAAATAACGCTGAGGAGCTCGCAAAAGCAACGCGGATGCGATGTGCAAGTACCTATACTACGTAGTTGGTGTGCTAGCGTACAAAACAGGACGTGTTGTTGATGCGAAGGAGCACTCGTCGACGAAAGTTACAATACGCTCGCTACCCAGGCCGGCTCCCCCAGCTGTTTTGTCCGACCCTGGTCCGTAATCCAGGCGATCGTCCGGCTCGAAAACTGCTCGCACAGCTGCCGTGTGATTTCCTGCCCCGCTCTGCCTCCAACTGCCTGCACGATAAATCCCCGAGCGCATCGAAACACTTAGCCTTCTCGCCTCGCAAGGGTTCGCCAGCCCAGTCGCCGCTGCTGACTACCCATGCCTGCTTCCACCGCCTTCCGACTCCACGATGCACAACCACCGCCAGCTCCAGCGCGCGACGGGCTCCAGCTCCAGCCCCAGCCCAACCCACGCCATGTCCTGACGAAGCCACCCAGCTCATCACACCCAGCTCACAGCCAGCGCGCCATGGAGCCGCCCTAGCGACACGGCTGCCATCTCCCGGCGACGAGTCCCCCTGGTGGGCCGGCTTCCGAACGCTGCCCGTTGCGGCGTAGCGGCGCTGCGGCCAATAGTCGCGGGCCGGGATCGCTCGACTCCAGGAACCGCACGCTGCCTGCTCCGCGTCCGCAGCCGCCTTGCTCGATGCGTCGCGACGACACGCAGCGCTCGCCAGCTCTGGCCGGTGCGAGCGGCAGGGAATGCTCAACAAGATGGTGAAGCATCGCTCTGACCAGCGGCCACCAGAGCCGTCCAGAGCCAGCAGCGCCGGCAGAGCCACCACAGCCAGCAGACAGTCTCGCATGTGTGCACGCCCGCGCTACCGCCCATCCGTCGCCGCGCTCGGCCGCTCGCCGCATCCCGGCCTTCCGCTCATCAGCCAGCCAGCCAATGCCGCCAGCCGCTATGCGAGTAGCGCGCTCTTGCGCTTGGCGAACCGTTTCATCAGGCTGCGCAGGGCATGGCTGCGTACTTGTCACGGCTGCCTGTCGAAACCGACTATTGTCAGAGACCGCGCGCATGTGGCTGCCGGCCACGAATCACGCCGACAGATTGCATTCTTCTGCCTAGCTCACCGGCCGGCCAGGGTGCTGCGGCCTCGAGCGCCGCCGATCTCGTCCGTGTCGAGACGCCATTTCATTACATGGGGGCTAGCCCGCTCGAGCACCCCGTACGCCTTAGGCCCTGACCGCAATCGAACGACTTTCGTACACCAAGCGCACTGGCTGAGCAATCCCGTGCTGCGGAGCTCCACGCCGCCGCCGCCGCCCCTCGCCGAGACAGCGTCGCCCACGGCTCCTGTCCATGTATATTGCGCCGCCGCCTCCCGTAGCCCAAGCAATTTGCCCGCCCACTCGCCTGACTGCTCTGGGCATGGCCGATCTATATTTGCACTCGCGCACCGTGCTTCCGCCTGTTGCCAGACGGCCCCTCTGCCCTATGCACTCCACACGTGCCACCGAGCCTGCTGGCCCTGTTTCACGATGGCCATCCCGTCGACAACCTAAAGTCTAACGGCTGCTGACCTCATGGCCGCGTCGAGACCGTCGCTCCCCAGGAACCGTACGTGATGCGAGGTGATGCCTGCTCGCGCAATGACGTCCGCTTTGCGCAATCTGACCTGAGTCTGCCCGGGCAGTCGACATGTTTGACACTCGTGTGGCGCCTGCTCTCAGAGGTCTGGAAGCGCGCTGCGCCGTGGCACTGACATCATGAAGGTGACGACGCAGGCGGGCTACCGGCAGACTAGCCATTATCACGCGGCAGTGGGCATCCAAGAAGCGCAAAGGATCGCTCGTACCTTGGGCGTTTGGCCTCTTCAGGAAATCCTGCAACCTTGAGGGGAATGCGGCTGGGATTTTGGCTGCCCTACCGCCAAGCGCCAGGAAGGCTGCATATACTCAACCACCAGCGCTCTATCTTGATCTCCAGACATGCTCAAAGGTCCAGGCCGAGCACCCCCCAGTTCTGCACAGATCCGCAGCACCATCCTACGCACGATATGAGGAAGGATCATACAGGACTGCTGTCTTAGGTATGGTGATTCCAAATGCTCGGACGCCTGTGGCTCATTCTGCTACAGCTACGGAGGTGCGTCGCAGCGGCTAATGCACATCACGGAAACATTTTGGCCTTCCGCGCAGCCTTCTATCGCACATTCCCGAGCCTGATTGACCCATCAGCGCATGGTTGCATCCGTCACACTCGACGATGCACGGCATCCCCATGAAAACAGGCATCACGAGTAGAGTTAACACCAGTGGCGAGTTCAAACTCCACGGCTGCCATTTTCCATCTCAACGTTCGTCACTCGCTTTCTGAAACTTGGCAATCAAGCGCGTGCGAACCCTAAGTGGATCTGCAACCTCTAGTTCTGGAGTCATGTGCTCAGCTTTATTCCCGCTCCTGCCCATGTGACCGTGGAAGTTGGTTCCTTAGGTTGCTGATGTGCGGGTCCCAAAGCTTTCGCGCCGTCGTTCTCCGGGTTTTGGAACGGTGATTTATATCATCCCTTCTTTGATGAGATTGTCCTTCGCGTAGGTCTAGAGACGACTGCGGGTCCCGTTCAGCCGCGCCACAAACCATCTTGCAACGCCTCTTCAGCATGTGCTCGCCACGCAATTTGCGAGATCCAGATATCGCGCGCGATACACCTTCTGTCGTTCTTTTTACGTACGTTGGCATCGTGGAATCGCCGAGGTTATGGCGACAAGATTCAGGACTTGAAGCTCTCTTTCAGAAGGGGTAGTTCGAGCACTTCCTGTCCACCCTCGTCCTGATAATTTCTCTAGTTTCACGGCTTGCATTACCCGCCTTTCGCAGGTGCTGCAGATCAAAATCGTGATGGGTGCGCCGACGCCAACTGGCGGCTGTGTTCGATCGCTGGACCATCCCAAGTGAATCCTTACGGAGTAAGACTCTGCAAACTTGAGTTTGAGTCCCCTCAGAATTCTCCTATATAGATGACTAATACCTGAAGAGGGTCAAACACATTCTCTCGCCGCCGACTCCTGTGCCCGTTCAGACCATGAGCGGCATCAGCACCAGTTACGACAGGTTGGCGCTGTATGTTTCAGTCCACCTGCGCCACGATGTGTCTGAGTTCATTTGCTCAGGATCGAGTCCACAGATAAGCATTTGTGGGCATATCTATATGGGAACATACGTCTTGGTCAACGCTTCCAGCGTCCCTCGGCGGTTGCCATGCTAGGCTGACTGATTTCGTATACGCTCCCAGTAACTTGACATGTGCATCAACCCCTCCCGTCTAAGTATTTATGTACTTGGAATCTTGGTCCATCTGCTGCGGCTCTCCCGCATATGCACGGAGCAAAACTGGCGTTTGTAGACTTGATATGCACGGAACATCTATCCGCTACTCCCCGTAGCAAGGGGAGGTAAGGAATTTCCAAAGCGAGCACACAGTTCGCTGATCAACAACGATTCCTAGGTAAGACAATCGTCCGCGGGAGCCGGGTATGGGTTTCGAAGCTCGTGTACGTAGTATAGCACCTTCCCAACTCTGACAACGACCGACGCATAGTGCTGACCGGAATCTAGGCCGTTGATAATTGAGTGGGATGGGCATGCATGGGGC